TGGACACGTTCCTCCGCGAAACCCACGTCGCCTCGAGAGTAACAGACGGAGCTTTTCGGCCGAATTGCCTACTTCGCCCCCAGCATCACCAACTGTTGACGACTTAGAAACGCGGGACGCATATCCTGGAAACAACGATGATGGACCGTTATCCAGTGCTAGGGCCCCCGTTAGGCGACCGCATCGTATAAGTAGCCTATTTGCAGGCTTCGACGTTCAAAGCTCAGATGAACAGGACGAATTTGGTGAGGACCAGAGCGACTCCGAATACCGTACGGCACTTGCCCCGAGACCTAAAACTGGCCCTAGTAAACCTAACAAGCGAGTAGCATCAAGCGCAGCCTCTGCTTCTCCCGAACAAAGTAAAGCCGCCGTTAGACAATCGACGAGTGTCATGAGCAAGATCGGAGGTCCAGAAGTTTACAGCAGTTTCCGCCTCGCCGAGGCTCCAGAGGGTCTAACACGAAAACCGTCTCTCATGGTAGCCACTGGAGCAGCTGGTAGATCGCTGGCATACAGCACGGGTTCCCGAGCCAGTGTTATGCGAAAATCAGCACTGATTCAGAGCGGTATTGCTTCACATCAAGGCCATTCGCGGACCCCCGACTTGCTCGAATCGAAGGACCCCCCGTTCCCAATTCCTACGAGAGCGAGCTCAAGGAAGCCACCATTTAGTGTTAGTGCCCCGAGCGACGGCCAACGCAGTCCTACCTACAATGGCGAGCATTGGCCTCGTAGAGGCAGGAAAGCTAGCGTGTATAGGACCAGTAGCATCCGTAAAGTCCGTTCAGCGGCAGCGATACCCCTGAACCAGAGGTCCAGAAGACGTGGTAGCCGTTCGCCGCCACCGCCCATGTCTCCTTCGGAAGAAGCCCCTGAAAGCCCAGGTCTCCCGCCACTGCCGACCAACGATATCACCACCCCTCGACGGGAGCGTGGCGGATCTCGATACCGTAGCCATAGATCTCAGCCTTCGACCAACACTGCAAACACCGAAAATACCAACACGGGTTCCGTCGGTAGCAACCAACAATCATCGACTGTGGTAGATGCTATCGCGCAGACAATGGTTGGCGAATGGATGTTCAAGTATGTTAGAAGACGCAAGTCGTTCGGTGTAGCCGATGGTGCCGGCCGCGGGGAGGAGAATAGCAATGACCGCCACAAGCGGTGGGTATGGCTCGCGCCTTATGAACGCGCGATCCTATGGAGCAGCAAGCAGCCTGCATCTGGCAATGCGTTAATGGGCAAGCCAGGCCGGAAGCGTAAGTACTGCCGAACTACTAGGTTTAGGATGACACCGCTGACCAGATCATAGTGACCATACAATCTGTGCTTGATGTAAAGGATGACAACCCGCCACCCAAAGGCAGCACCCAGATCTTCAATCGCTCTATCCTTATCTTAACACCGCAGAGAGCATTGAAGTTTACCGCCACAACGGCTGAGCGTCACTACCTTTGGTTGACATCACTGTCATTCCTGGCACATTCACAGCAAGATGTCCCCGAGATCATCCCAACAGCTAACTCGCCAAATATCGGCCCGGCGCCAGATTTCGAAGCGCCTCGGACAAAAGCGAAAAGGGGCGGCATTCGCGACTCGATTAGGCTAACGAAGGGAAAAAATCCTGCTTTGATGGCCCGTCATGACCCTGTTACGACCACCAATCATCTAGAGGAAGCCCTATCAGCCCAACAAGAGACGCTCCCTCCGATACCCATTCATCAGCGTGACCTGTCGCGCGATGCAGCTGAACCTCCCTTCATCCCGCGGTTTCACGAAAGGTCACATGAACGAGTACACGAACGGGCGAACCAGGTTGTTCTTCACGGCCGTAAGAGGAGTAACACTGGTGGCCACATCCCCCCGCCGCTCTCGTTCCGAGGCTTTTCGGGACCGGCAAGCCACAGCAGCTCCTACCATGCCTCGACCAACAGTACCGCGGGTAACAGCGTGGATACGGCGGGTTCGTCTGATATCTATCAATCACAGGGATCCAGCAACATGACCTGGGGTATGAGCACCGCCGGTTCCCAAAGAACGTCGGAAGCATCATCTCGACCACCGGGTAACTTCTTCGAAGCGATCGGCACCGTGCGAATGGAGGCTTTTATTAGCCCATTGGCATTCCCGCGATTCGAAGACCACCCAGACGAGCAAGAGGAGTGGCGATACAGAGCCCGTCGACGGAGTAAAGAAGCCCGTCGCCGCCGTAGCCGGAGCAGACATCGGGATAGCTATGCTTCTCGTGGCACGCGCGGCACAGATTCTTATTATTCCGGAAGTAGGGCAGGGGAGGAGGATTACTTCCGAGATGATCCATTTAGAGGATTCTAATCGGGTCGCTTGTCCTTTAAGTACTTGTGTTGTGCGCGGAGATACCCCCAAATTCGTCGTATTAGATGATACCGTTCGTTTAGCAAGCAAGAAGGCCAAGGATTCTTTCTACAATACGGTTTGTTTTTGTTGGTGCTTTGGAGTTTTATGCGTCTTATACTATTGTAAATATTGCCGAAATCTCGGTGTACGAGTACGATTTGGGTTTCCTTGTCTCATATTCTTCCAGTTCTTTCAACTTGTAACTTGTTTGTCATTTGTCATCTTATATATCGGAAAACAGTTGTTCATACTCGAAGTCTTCCTTCTCTGTCGAGTATTCTTGTACAATAATTTCAGTTAGTTCTCAGACTATGTTATGGGGGTGGAAAATGGAAGGAGTTAGATGCCTAAGGATAGGATCTGAACAAGGACCAAACAGGACTGGAGGGTGGTTTAGGTAGCCCGGTGTTATTACCAAGGCAAGGAAAGCAACCTTAGATGAGCGATTGGCTTGGGTCTCAGGACCGATTCTGGGGTTAAAAAATAGTTGGCTCAACAGGGTTGTTGGCAAGTTATCTGAGGATAGGTTTAATTTCTAGCTAGTTAGAAGGAAACAAGGATAAAATCTCCTGAATTGGGTACTGTTGTGTTTATTCTGATTCTGATCCTGATTTTGATTTGATTTAATTTGAAATGTTTGATGTACAGAATAGGTGATATGTCTAGGAGGTAGGTAGTACCGTTTGCTTAATGGAAGTTGTTCGGGTTTGTACGTATTGTACATGACTAATGGACGTTGACATTGGGAAGGAGGGGCAGAATTGCGGGACATGCCTCGCTAATTCGATAATATGGATAGGTAGGTACCTAGGTGGATCATGACTGCCCAGCGTGGCAACGCGAGACTTCCAAAACTTATGCCTGAGCCTTTAATTCAGGTAGGTAATAGTCTTACATCTTTTACCTGTAATATCTTTTACCTGTAATAGGTACACCGAGTTGTCTCATCACGCGAAACAGCATCTGCCATTTCTACCCTTCCTTCTAGATCATTGTCACTTTGTAAGCGTCATAAAAACCTACAAACCTCATTCCGAGCCGACGCCTGTGTTTTCTTCCCCCCATATCTGTCACCCGACTCGTCTTAACAAACACGCCTCCGCTCTACAACCCTCATAATGTTGAAGATATGGTCTATGGTAAATCGCACGAGCCGCTTTGTCTAACTATATAACATATCCTAACGGTTATTGTACAGAAATCTGCCCAGCAAAAAGCAGAAAATGCTGACGGCGCAGCTGGGAAAAAGAAGAAGGTTACGCCCGCTCAACTACGAGTACAAAAAGGTAACTATTAACATTCTACTATTTAATAGTTTATCTTAATTTTTTAGTTTTTAGTATACTAACTATTCTTATTGCTTTAAATTAGATCTCTCCGAGCTATCTTTAGGATCGACTATGAAAACGGTATTTCCCGACCCGGATGACATCCTCAACTTCGTGCTCGAAATCCAACCGGATGAGGGCATATACAATAACGGATTATTCACCTTCACATTCACCATGGGCCCGAACTACCCTCATGAGCCGCCTAAGGTACGCTGCCAACAGAAGATCTACCACCCTAATATCGATCTTGAGGGCAAGGTGTGCCTGAATATTCTACGCGAGGACTGGAAACCGGTGCTTAACCTGAACGCTGTCATTGTCGGTCTACAGTTCCTATTCCTCGAACCGAACGCCTCGGATCCCCTAAATAAAGAAGCTGCAGATGACCTACGTTCGAGCCGCGAAAACTTCCGACGAAACGTACGTGCCTCTATGAGCGGCGGTTCGATACGTGGAGTTACATACGATCGTGTACTCTCTGGTAGGTAAGAACTGGCGGGACCCAGAGGACTTAACGACGGAGAATTTTGCGAACAAAAGGGCGTTTCAGTCCAGTCGGACTACACAATATACTCGAGCTGGCACAATAAGAAACCCCATGCAAATTGACTGATGCTCAAATGTAAGGGGACAAGATGAGACCAAAGGAAGAAGTTTTAGACTGGCTTTGCGGACGGCACATAGCAAGGCGTTTATGAGGGGGCCGCATTTACTCCAAGGTATCAAGTCAAGGAGACTGTCCATTTCGTCTCTGGTTTTGGTATTTTGCAGCTATAAGTCACTTTATGGCCAGGCATTATGCTTAATGCTTTTCACGGACGACCAACGACTACATCACGATAGATAGATACTGGTATATGAATATGACGAAATTATCACTACAGTATCCACGTGGGTGTATGTTCTTATACAACCCAACTAAATGCTTAATTAGGTACCTATACAATTTATGATGGTTGCGACTTGCGACTTGCGACTTGCGACTTGCGACTCAATCGTCACCGCCTATTGAAGATGTGGAATTTGCCCTTACGTGCTTTATCGCAATAGTACATGTAGAGGTACCTAACCTAACCTAAACTTAGGTAGGTACCCAAGTACCTGTATTGTACAATACGATGAGACTTACCACAGGCACTGCACCCCAAGGCCCGCTCTAGCCAGACCGGACCGGTGATTTACCTACCCCACCATTGGCTGGCGGGCAACGGATTGATTCGACTCAGCGCCGAAGTCGCAGTTTACTATGTAAGCTCTGCAGGAGCTCCCAAGACCCTGGGAAAAAAGGAAAAAAATTAAAAATAAAAAACGTGGGTAAAAACTTTGATCTGTGAAACAACAGCGCATTTATAGACATCGTAATACCCATTGAGCTGTCTTTACACCTTTCCTCACCCTAATCTCCACTCAGTAGACTTTTTCACGATGGCTTCTAGAGGGTTTTCCAAGGCTCTTCGTAGCCAATTGGCCCGTCGAGTGGCTTCGCCCGCTGTCCAGCAACGTTCTTTTGTTGCTGCGTCCAACATCGCCAGAGCCACTATCAAGGCTCGTCCTGCTCTGGCTGGTGCTGCCCAGCAGCAGGTTCGCGGTGTCAAGACCATTGACTTCGCTGGAACCTCCGAGGAGGTCTACGGTAGGTTAAAATATTATATAAGAGTATTCATTATTCATTATAGGTGTCATGGACTAATACCGTTATATAGAGCGTGCCGACTGGCCTAAGGAGAAGCTCTTGGTAAGTCCTCAAACCTTGAAGATTAGGCTGAGCGAAGACAGAAACAATAGCTAACACCGCATAAAGGAATACTTCAAGAACGACACTCTCGCCCTGATCGGCTACGGTTCGCAGGGTCACGGTCAGGGTCTTAACCTCCGTGACAACGGCCTGAACGTCATCATCGGTGTCAGGAAGAACGGCCAGTCGTGGAAGGATGCTGAGCAGGATGGCTGGGTTCCCGGCAAGAACCTCTTCGAGGTCGACGAGGCTATCTCCAAGGGTACCATCGTCATGAACTTGCTCAGTGACGCTGCCCAGAGCGAAACGTGGCCTGCTATCAAGCCCCAGTTAACTAAGGGCAAGGTATGCTAATATGAGTCACCAATTCTGAGAAGCAAAAAGCTGACAATTTATTTATAGACTCTGTATTTCTCTCACGGTTTCTCGCCTGTCTTCAAGGACATTACCAAGGTTGATGTCCCCAAGGACATTGACGTCATCCTCGTTGCCCCTAAGGGCTCTGGCCGAACCGTCCGATCGCTCTTCCGTGAAGGTCGGGGTATTAACTCCTCCTACGCCGTCTTCCAGGATGTCACTGGCAAGGCCGAGGAGAAGGCTCAGGCCCTCGGTGTTGCTGTTGGCAGCGGATATCTCTACAAGACCACCTTCGAGAAGGAGGTCTACTCGGACTTGTACGGTGAGCGTGGCTGCTTGATGGGTGGTATCCACGGTATGTTCCTGGCTCAATATGAGGTTCTCCGGGAACGTGGCCACAGCCCCAGCGAGGCCTTCAACGAGACCGTCGAGGAAGCCACTCAGAGTTTGTACCCTCTGATTGGTGCCAACGGCATGGACTGGATGTACGAGGCTTGCTCTACTACTGCCCGACGAGGTGCCATCGACTGGACCCCGAGATTCAAGGACGCTCTGAAGCCCGTCTTCAACCAGCTCTACGACTCTGTCAGGGATGGTACCGAGACTAAGCGATCTCTCGAGTACAACAGCCAGAAGGACTACCGACAGAAGTTTGAGTCTGAGATGGATGAGATCCGCAACATGGAGATCTGGAAGGCCGGCAAGGCTGTGAGGTAAGAATCGCTCGGGACTAAGAAGTCCAAGCTTAGGCTACTTTGATCATGGCTAATCACTTTGTTTATACAGATCTCTCCGACCCGAAAACCAAAAATAAGTGTATTTGGCGTTAAAACTAAGAGTATCGGAACGGTAAATTAAAAGGCGGTGTGGCATATTCCCCGGGGGCAAAGGGAGCTTTTGTACTTATATTCGGGATCCCCTAATGTCGTCTCACGAAGATCTAGGGATATTCCCCAAAAAGTGTTCCTAGTTGAATTTTCAATGAAGCTTTTAAAATCAATTGTCTTTGTCTTCAGACTACTTTCATTCCTTACGGATCCTCAAGTGTTGCTTCTCCGTTATCGGACCCCTAATAACAAATCGTAGATTTTTGACTGGATGAAATCTCGTGGCCAGGCCAGCCTTAAACATCTACCAAGTCCTTGCCACTCTTGGTATAATCTTGTTAGCTTTGACTTGGGAGCATCTGAGGAGGATTGGCTAAGTATACGATAATTAGATCTTGACTTGCATAGCCCACCTACCTTATAAGAGTTTCGTTCGTTTATTTATCCATACTCCCTTTTACAACCTCCAATTATTCGCTAAACCCCTCCTTATTATCCCCAAAGCCAAGGTCGAATCGAGGAATTTCAAAGTCAACTATGGCGGACCCATCCACGTCGCCGCCCCTGACGCGGGCCTCGGTGGCAGCAGCCCGGGAGCTTATTAAGCCGTTCGTGCACCGGACGCCGGTGATCACGAGCACGTCGCTCTCGGCGCTAGCTTCCGGCACGGATGCGGGTGCGGATGCGGGAAAGGCAAATCCGAAGCTGAGGCTCTGGTTCAAATGCGAGAACTTCCAGAAGGTAGGCGCCTTCAAGGCCCGCGGCGCGTTCCACGCTATCGAGAGGCTGAAGCAAGAACCTGGGTGGCTGGAGGGAGGAGGGCCGGAGAAGGGCGTTGTTACGCATAGTTCTGGTTTGTTTTGGGGAGTTTCTTACTCTGGTTTATATTCTTTCATGTTATCCCGATATTCTGATTATAATAAACAAGGCCTCATATCACTCAGCATTAGTCAAGACTGACTGACTAACTACCTAACTAACTAACTAACCAACCACCACCAACCAGGGAACCACGCACAAGCGCTCTCCCTCGCCGCGCGCGCCAACGGCATCCCCGCACACATCGTGATGCCGCGGATCTCGGCGCCGCCCAAGATCGCCGCGACCAAGGGGTACGGCGCGCGGGTGATTTTCAGCGGCAGCACGAGCGTCGAGCGCGAGGCCGCCACCGCCCAGGTCGTCGAGGACACGGGCGCGCGCCTCGTGCCGCCCTACGACCACCCGGATATCATCCTGGGCCAGGGCACGCTGGGCCTCGAGTTCCAGGAGCAGGTCGAGGAACTGATGATGGCTGCTGAGGAGGAGGAGGAGGAGGACGGGAAGGAGGAGGGGGCGGGGAAGAAGAAGAAGGCTGGGAGCAGAAGGGGGCTTGATGCTATTATTGCTCCTTGTGGTGGCGGCGGTAGTAAGTATTTTATTTTTTTAAGGTTATTTTCAGTCTTGCTTTCAGAGTCCGGTTGTTCTAAAGATATAGATATGTCGTGCCCGTACATGTGATTAGTTGTTTTTCTTGGCCCTTTCTCAAGCCCCTATCTTTCTTTTCTGGTTCCTCTTCCATTCTCCCATGTCTCTCCCTCAGCTATCTACTGTATATACTCTCCTCTTGCCCCCTTTTTTTTAAAAAAAAAGGGGAACAAGCCACGACCAACACTAATCCCTTATAGTGCTCTCCGGCGTAGCCCTCTCCTGCGAAGGCACCGGGATCCGGGTCTTCGGCTCGGAGCCCTCGTTCCAGGGCGCCGACGACGCGAAGCGAGGCTACGAGTCGGGCACTCGCGTGGAAGCCGTGTCTTCGTTAACCGTAGCGGATGGCCTACGCACGCCGCTCGGTCGCATCCCCTGGTCCGTCATCTACGAGCGCCGCCTCGTGTCCGGCTTTTACAGCGTCAGCGAGGCCGATATCATCCGTGCGCTCCGCCTCGCCTACGAGCGTCTCAAGGTCGTCGTCGAACCCAGTTCCGCCGTGCCCCTCGCCGTCGCCCTGTATAATGAAGACTTTAGGGCAATGGTCGAACGCGAGGCCGGTGAGGACGGTTGGGACGTAGGCATTGTGTTTAGCGGAGGGAATGTCAGTTTAGAGGCTTTGGGTAAGCTATTCTCCGAGAGCCCTGAAATGGCCAAATAAATATAGAGATTTTCCACGTAACTAGTGAATATAATTATGTGCATTGAATGTTGGTTAAATTAGAGGGCCTTGCTAATACTCGGCCTATATGCTAGAGATGGCGGCGCTATGTGACTAAAATGATACTCTACTTCAACCTACATGCTTCAAAGTTTTATCATATCGACAGCGTCTCGTTATGTCGTGAATGAGGCCTCTTAGGCTCGTTCCTGTTAAATAAACCAAAGTCATTGTTGGGCTCATTTACTTAGAGCCTTGTCCATTTGTTCCCTCCATTTCCGACTGTTCTTTCGCAGGAACCAGATTGACAAGTTGCCGCTTAGCCAGGCGATCAAGCCGACCATAGTCATCAGCCATCCAATGCCCATAGCATTGATGAGAGGTTGGCCTACTATACCACCCACGCAGCTGAATATATTTCGCACGAAGTTATTAAGAGCAACACCGTTACTACTTCTCTGCGGCATGAATTCGGTGAGCATAGTGGTAGCAGCACTGAAAACAAGCATACTACCGACGCCGAAAAAGAAGTTAGCTACAGATGGTGCCATCCAGTGAATTCCATACTGTATCGTCCAGCCGGACCAGATTAATGCTCCAGGATACAGTGTGGCGGAGATCCATGCGTTTTCGCGCATACGATCCTCTGGCAGATAGATGAGCTTCCCATTGGCGTCGTATCTTTGGGCCTTCTCCGCTGCTCGGACCATGATCCGGTCGATCCATCGCCCGCCAAGCAGCGACGCTGCGAAGTAACCTAGCGAGCTTGGCAGGTACAAAAGCCCTATGATGATAGCTGAGTAACCATACGGAGCTGACGAGAATGCCGATTGAATGGCTATGTTAAGTACGTATAACGACCCAAAAGTGATGGCAGCATAATACACTGTAATTGCCACAGCGGGGAAACGCAAATACATGATTATCTCAAGCGGATCGACAAAGCACTTCTTTAACTGCACGAATGCCTGTTTAGTGTGCACCTGCACGGAGCGTGTAGTAGAAACGCGCGACAGGCCGTCAGGGTGCGATGGTTCGGCTGCAGCCATAGGCTTACGCTTCGCCAAGGTCTCCGGGACACAGAACAAGACAAGGACGAAAACGACAGCGCCATAAGCAGTTAGGAACCATACGGTACTCCTCCAGCCAAACCCTTCTGTGAGAGCACCGCCTATGATCGGGGCCAAGAGGGGTCCCATGAGCGGTCCAAGGTAGAAATATCCCATAGCGCGGCCGCGTTCCCGGGGTTCCCAGCAATCAGCGATTGTGCCGGCACCGACAGCTTGGACGGAGGCGGCAGCACCACCCGATAGGATACGAAACACAATCAGCATGCCAATATTGACACTTAGGCCGCTCAGGAGCGAGAAGACAATGTTTAAGAAGAAGGACGAGAGATAGATATTACGACGTCCTAGGGTTTCGGAGAAAGAACTCCACCAGAGCGGGAAGATCGACATTGCTAACATGTATAATGCTACCGTCAAGTTTACGACTGTTGGTGAGGCACCGAGGTCCTTTGACATGTCCGGAAGAGCAGCTAATATGATCAGGTGAGTCTTCTAATACACATCAACTAAAAGGGGTTTGTGCTACACTATAATGGAAGATATATATTTGCTTACGATAAAAGATGGCAGACCCCATTGGCGCTGCACAAGCCGCCAAGGCTATGAAAACTGTTATTGTCCATTTCACTTTGTTTGGATAATCGTAGGGTCGCTCGACCTCTGGGATCAAAGTCAACTGCGCAAGGAAACCCCGCCGTTTCAATCTTGGCACTATAGACAGCGGCTTAGACCGAGCAGACGACGCTTGGGACCTAACTCGGTCCATTGGTACTGTAGCCGCAGCCTCTTCGTCCACCAAGATGCCATTTGGAGTTAATAGCTGGTCAGGAACGGCATCTATAGATTCATCCTCCACATCACGGTCCGTGGTAGTTATAGACGCGGCAGCATCCTCATCTTTTGGGTGCGTTCCTTGCAACTTATTGTTCTCTGCCTTCTCGTCCATCTTTTCTGGATCGACAGCCATATTCAATTGTTTTTGCTCACCAGAGCAAAAGGGCCTAGCGGTGTGATCGCGTTAAGACAATGGCTGGTAACCGATGTCGGTGGGGTAAGATAAAAAAAAATAAGCGAAATACAGGTATTATGATATTGGAAGGCTCTTAGTGCAAGGAGCTTCTTCAGTCAACCCGTGGTGAAAGCCCGTACGTATGTGATGATAGCTATAGCGATAGGAATGGGTTTCCTAGAGACTGGGTGTTGGAGACGATGAATGAGCAAACCGACATTAAGATTGGAAAATATAATCTTGTCTGTCTGTCTGTCGACGTTGTTGGATGATTTGCTGCATTAATTTTGTGTGGGGAAAGTCTGCAGAAACGGGAATTGTAGTGCATCTGAAAGTTGAAATGCCGACAAAACCGAGACCGTGACTGATGACTGTTTGGGTCAGCGATTCCGTTCGGGTATTGATTCCGATACGCCAGACCGTAGCCGGCAAGAAGAGCGATCTCCATCGCCTTACATAGGTCGACAAGGTTGCAATAATCGGCACAGTAATCGGCACACTATTTCGGATGAATGTTAGCATCAAAACGGCACCAATACTTATCCGCGTCCATGGAAGATGTCGGCGATACGAGCAGTTCCTCGGGAGGCGTGTAGTTGACAACGATTATCCTAGTATCTGACTCGAGGTTGGATTATCATTAATTGGATAAATTCTACGACGGAGGAACAGGTTTAGATATATCCCGGAAGCTGCCGGAAGTTGAACTGTCTATGAGAGGCTCTTATGAAAGTGATTTTCGGAAGTTAGGTCCCCATCGGCTATCGCACCTTGAAGACGTAATGTGTTACGGATATTGGTATGATCATTCTTATTGGATGACGATATTGAGTTGCACAAAGGTCGTAGAGTATAATGGATGTGTTTTGCGTAGGTACGGAATACAATACAATGGAATACTTCGTAGCAGATAGAGGATAGAGGCTGAGGCCCACTGTGGCTTGTCTTCCTGTGTAACAACTGCCAAGCAGCCATGGAAGTGATAGGGCAAATCTTTATTAGCCACTTAGATCGTTTTCTCGACACCATAAAACCTTCGATATACGTTACTTAGAGGTACCTACCTACCTGAGGTATACCGCACGTAGACACATAGATACATTCCACTTTCTACATTCTACATTTACAATGTCTCTCACAAACGCATCCCCTTCGGAAGCCGCCAAATCAGCCAAAGAAGCATCGCATATTCTCGCCACACTATCTGAGTCAGCGAGAAACGATGCTTTAACAGCTATCCACGATAGCTTGACTGCTGCTAAGGATGATATACTTGCCGCAAATGCTCGTGACCTCCAAGCTGCACGCTTAGCAGCAGAACATGGCCAGTTAAGTCAAAGTTTGGTATCGAGGTTAGACCTCGGTAAGAAAGGAAAATGGGAGGACATGCTCAAAGGGATACTAGACGTCCGAGGTCTCGAGGACCCCGGTGAGTCACTAGCAGAGTTGGGCTCAATATGCGTAAAACTAATTGCTAATTATATTAAAGTCGGCAAGATTACCTTAAGAACTAAGCTTGATGATGGACTGGAGCTGACAAGAGTCACCTGTCCCATTGGCGTTTTACTAATCATCTTCGAGGCGCGACCTGAGGTTATTGCCAATATCGCTTCCCTTGCGGTAAAATCAGGCAATGCCGCTATCTTGAAAGGTGGTAAAGAGTCGACAGAATCCTTCGTTGCCATTTCCAAGGCCATTTCTGCAGCTCTGGACAAGACCAAAGTCCCTAACGGTGCCATCCAGCTGGTCACCACAAGAGATGTTATACCGCAGCTGCTAGATCTCGACCAATACATCGATCTTGTAATCCCTCGGGGCTCCAACGAACTGGTCCGATATATCAAGTCATCCACCAAGATTCCAGTCCTCGGTCACGCCGATGGCTTATGCTCCATCTTTCTCGAGCAGTCGGCAGATCCGAAGATGGCAGCAGATGTAATCGTTGATTCGAAGACCAGCTATCCCGCAGCGTGCAACAGCTTGGAAACATTACTAGTGCAGGAATCCTCTCTGGACACGCTTCTACCCACAGTAGCCGAGGCCCTGATTGCTAAAGGCGTCGTCTTACGCTGTGATACCAAAACCAAAGCAGCACTTTCTAGCAAGCTACCTTCCGACGTCTCTACAAAACTCGAGGATGCCCAGAGCGCCGACTACGATACTGAATTTCTTAGCCTTACGCTTGCAGTCAAGGCGGTTACAGACATCCATGAAGCAATTGCCCATATCAACATCCACGGTTCCAAACATACCGACGTAATATTAACCAGCTCTTCGGAACTCGCCGAGCAGTTCATGTCAAGCGTAGATGCGGCAGGCGTGTATTGGAACGCCTCAACTCGCTTTGCCGACGGTATGAGGTATGGTTTCGGGACAGAGGTTGGCATCAGCACAAATAAGATCCACTCTCGGGGCCCCGTAGGCCTGGAAGGCTTGATGATCTACAAATACAAAATCCGAGGGCAAGGTCATGTCACAGCAGCCTACGGCGAAGGCGAAGGAAAGAAGAGCTATAAACATGAGAAACTTCCCTTGTAGGTTGCTGCGCTCTAGGAGCGACATATGTTGAAATCTAGTGGCGTTTAGGAAGCATGGTGCGTGGGTAAAAAGTTATATAAAAGTCTTTGAATTGCACTATGTAGCAAGACCATAGTGATTATATAATTCCCAGTCCTCGACTGCCAAGAGTAAGATTATATCTCGGTAGTACTTACTGATTGTAGGCGAAGCCCCCATAAAAGCTCCCCATGCTTGTCGTACTATCAACAGAGTAAAAGAAAGCTGTAGCTCTATATTGAGCCATGCGCTTTCTGTAAAGTCACCTATGCGTATCAAGATATCATGTTATTGATGATTTTGCTTGACTTTTACATATCGAAGCAGCATATGCGTGCAAGGTGTTTAAAATATCAGATGATCGAGTAGGATAGTAGTTGAATATGTACTAACGAGCATTATAAAAGTGCTTGTGCCTAGCAGCTAAAGAAGCTAGGTTATATTCCTGATCGCCGTATTCCTAGGAGCCTTTTACGACAATAAATACAGATCGGCTAGTAGGAAGTAATAACTTAGAACTTTCCAGAACATCTTGAAGTAATGGCCTTTGCGAGCCAATTGTTTCAGGAAGGCTATCAGCTTCCGTCTTTGAACATTACCCTTCAAGCCGTTGAAGGATCCCAGATCTTAGGGCCGGGTATAGTATAGTTCTTCCGGGAGCCTGGGGTAATGCCTAGTAGATCTCTTTAGCGAAGAAAGGCCCCTACTTTCTCGTATTCACCACCAATGACAATATACGATAGTGTAGAGATAACTCGAGGACTAGAGTAGAAGTAGAAAATATTATGACAAAAATAGTAAAAAACTACCGTTATAGTGGAAGAATAGAAGGTGTTGACGGCGTAGCTGATTCCGTACTGCGACGTAGATGAGGTTACGATTGCAAGTATAGATACCTACCTAGTAATTAACCCTACTAGGCTTGGGAGTTTTTCGTGGAACTATAAGGTGGAAAATAATGTAGTTAATAGAGATCACATCGAGTTGAAAGATAGAAGGTGTCAGTTCGTACCAACATAGAAGGTAGGTTAGGTGGACTTTAATGATATTTAGTATTTAACTATTCGAATCATAGAACTCGATCTAGAGGGATAGTTGAAACACATCCGTAAACTATATTATAGATTAACGTTATAACTAATTTTCTAAGGAGTTAGGGTAGTGGTTTATATGACTTTCCCCCTTGATATGGTAGGATAGAAGGACTATATAGTTGAATGCCTTTGATAGCAATATCCTACCGGGCGTTGTAGTAGTTAATAGGTACCAATAATAAGAGCTTTATAGTATATTTACGAAGGACGAAATCCAAGGATAAGTTGCTTTTGGGTTATCTTGGGCCTGGACTAGCTTCCTCGCTACCCAGATCGAATGTAGTAGTATCGGGAAATATTTTCTGACGTAAATGATTCCTATGCATTGTCTCCACAGCCGAATTCCTTAAAACCCTGCAAGATGCAAAGCGAGTCGACCCATAGAAGCTCCAGTCTCACGTGCCGAATACATAGTGCTAACCGTATTCTAGTGTAAAGGCTTTGGTGCAAAGCCAAGAGAGGGATTTTGTCCTTTTCCCCTCCCGGTTCCGCACTGCATATTTCTCTGGCTCTGTTCGAATCGAGCCCGTAAGGCGCCAGCATAAAATGGATATGCAGCAGTCGAATAATAGTGAGGCCAACTAGTCGCAGATACGAGGCTAAAGTGGCAATAGGGATGGCCGGGCTTACATATATACTATTGATTTTAACACTTATACTCATTGCATGTGATTGGATCGATATGCTGCTTGAGGTTAGCTTCCTAGTTTTATTTCGATAATAATGTGAAAGAGTATAAAAAAGGGGCAGTTAGGTAAAGCATATGCAGTTACTATCCAGTTAACACAGTGGGACATAGGGGCACAGGGGGCAAAAAGGAGTATTCTCGAGTATTTCTCGTGTTGAGACTTCTCATTGTAAGCAATCATTTACTCACAACCTTCTATTCATAGAACTTTTACTAGACTCTACACCTTTCGTGTCATCGTGGTAACAGGTTTCCGACGCGAGAAAGGGATGGACGTGGATGAGTCACGTAACTTCATGTTGACTTGGCGTTGATATTCCGTCTAACACACTAAGAAAAGAAAAGAAAAGAAGAAAATGTCTGGCCACTAAAGGTTGGAAAAAGTGGTATGTTGCTGCATCAACAACTTATAGACTACTGATGTATACTACTGTAGAGATCTAACCTACATTGCCTACTTGATGGATCGTCTGCATCAGTGCATGCGCTAATTACCGAATATAGCCACCACAATACCCACCGGTTTGTCAGGTATGGAGAGTTGTTTTCAATAAATATTCACGAAGGTTGCGATGAGTAATTGCATACCTTGACCGGACACATACCTTTGACACGATTACCCACAAGACTGGCTGGATCTAACGAATGGAGTTGTCACAAATAATAATGATACCATGCAGGCACCGATTCGGTATGGCCACAGAGCCTACTTCGCAAAGGGCGGCAGATCAGGTCACGCATTATACGGACTTGTCTACGTGATCTGTCTGTCCACGTTGTCGCGCACCGGACCCGACATCACGGGGTTCAAAGGAGAGTTCCGCTGGGGGCTGGGGGCTGGGGCGCTGAAGTAGGGACCACCTGCGATCGGCTCTTCCGACCTCCCGAAGCTCTCGTGGCGCCGATAATTGCTGGTTCGATTTGACGTCAGTGTACCGCAATCGCGGGTTCGTGCTTCGCAGCATGGACCGTCCGTTGTGGGTGAAGAAATGGGTTTTCATGCGGATTCTAGAGTGCAGAAGCAGAGAAGGGAAATCGAACACCCCGCAGCGGGCCGGGAGCCCAGATTTCCAGATTTCTCTTCGAGTCCATAGGCAGCCGTCGGACACGCCAGACCCGATCAAGGAGGAATGTTCGAGAGTTAAAGTGGAATAGAGGGGGTGAGGGGGAGGGGGGGAGAGAGGGAGGAGGGTCGTCTACCTAGGTATCCTAGGTATTGCATGGTGGATGAAATTGCCCTTATCGCAGGAATCGTTTGAAGTTGGCGGAAGCCAAATGGCGGTGACGATGTGGTCGATTTTCTCTGGCTAGCTGAAGGGCCCTAGTATCCACTTCGCCGCCTCATTCCCCGGCGTCCGTTGTCCCCCTTGTGATCTGGGCTGACCATATGTATCGCTTGACTAGGATATCGGAGGACAGTGGAGCCTCATCGTTGATGTGGCCATTAACAACTACAGGAGAAATGCATCTCTATGCATATCTGGTGGAGTTGGGCAGCATCACCGCCTAGACAATTCGACAAATAATAAGGGGTTTCATTCACTACTAACATGTACTACATAGTAAACATTACTAGCAAGAGAGAAAAAAAGAAACCCCCCCTTCTAATTACTACCTATTCCTTTTTCTATCCCCCCCCCTTTGAAATCCCTAATCCCTAAATATAACTCCGAACGAAATCGGCCCTCCTTCTTAATGCCCCCTTCTCTCTTTTCTTCTCTTTCTTCTGGCTTCTCTTCTCTCTCGTCAGAGATGGGACCCCGCGATCAAGCTACTATTAGAAGTGACTCAGGCTATGGGGACGATGCGTCCGAGGTGCCGCGGGACGGGCCAGATGCTCATCCGCTGAGTAAGTTTGATTTGTAGTTATTGGAAGAATCTATGATTTACTGTTTCCCCGGTGCGAGCCTGTGCAGTTGGATATGTGAAAATACTTGTATCGCTGACATCTTCATTCCGCAGCCCTTAAGGGATACGACATCGGACCGGCGTCAAAATTACAAATCGGCGACGTGAGTTCATTTTTAATCTAGTTACCGAAAATGTAAATTTAGAGAAGAAGGGAAATGTGCTAAATTTTGTGCCTTTTAGGTCTTCGAATTTCTCTGGGCCGACGCTCCGGAGTTCGAGTGGGAGTGGAAATGTCTCGGATACACTCGCTTCATCGTTTTGCGCCATAGCGATACCTTTCCTCATCATTGCGCTTGCATGTAAGTAAACAACCATACCGCTCCGGTTCACCGACACCATAAACTTCCTTTTTGAACTACTCCGAGTGTTTACGTATAAACACAAGAAAAGCGAGCGAGAGTTAGCTTCACGAGGGATCGGTTTCATCAATATTTGACTGACCGTGACCCAAATCAGACCTATTTCCATAGGAGGCAAGCATGAGTTCGCCAAGCCTGGCATTGACCATTTCCAGCAAGGATACGTCTTCGGCAACGGTGATCCGACCCCGGGCCTCGACCAGGGCGGTGTAGGGCAACGCCTACCGTATTCCCCCGTGGGGATCGAACTACGCCCCGGAAAGCTCCGCGTGAAAGAAGACTCCCGGGCCAACTATGCCGATATCGTCGACGTCGATCACGATGCTCAAGTCATGGTTATCGGTGATGTGGTGCGCTACTTCGATCGAGTCCGAAGGAATGTCAATAAGGCCTTCATGCGTCAGATTCTGAGGAGGGCTCTGGAAGAGTACAAGCGCCATAGGGCGAATCAGGCAGAGAATAACAGGATGTCCAAGATTCCCCAGTTGGCACTCGACGGCGACGAAGCTCATTTCAGCGCCGCGGAAAGCGTCGTTCCACCTTCAGAATCAGCAAGCACAATCGGGGAGACAAGATATGAGAGGGAAGGGAGGAGACACAGAAGATATTCGAATTCCAGTATAAGCTCTCGAAGACCGGGGGTCTCACGGGCGGGCAGCGTCAGACCGCCTCGGGAAGCCCCCCAAGACGGCCGGGACGAAAGTGACTACGACATGAAGTCCATGCACAACGTTGCGATGGCCGGATTGAGATAAAGAGAAAAAAAAGAGGAATCGGGACTAAATTCTAATTGATGAAAAGAACCTACCCTGCATGGATTTGGCGTACGGAGACGAGTTAACTCGAGAAAGGGGGCTCGAGCATTTCCCAAGATGCAACATGCAACAGAACAACAATAGACAGGCAACAGGTACGACGTGTATATTACGATTCTACGACTCCCACCCCCGAAGTTCAGATAAACGACAAACAGCACTTATAATGATTTATGCCAGATTAAATTAGTTAAAGACGCGAAAAACGCGCATCAATGGTTATGAAATGATATTTACCGTAACTATACCAAGCATAGGGAACCCTTTCGTGGAAAAGTGGGAATACCTGCAATATTTTGCAGAGGGCCAGACAGCCGGGTCACGCATGTGACGATGGGCTGGCTGCTTGAGATTTGTCGTCCAGTGGTTTTGTTATAGAGCTCACTGGTAGAGTTCTTGATATCTCATGAGCTTGAAGATATAACCCAAGCCACATGATCATATCATCCACGTTAATAATATATAATGGTCTCAAATTTATGAAGATGCATGAGAGTGAATGAGTTATACTAGAAGCTACCTAGGTATATAGATAAGGTCTGCAGACTATTAAATCTGATTTAGCATAGCATCCTGTATGTCTTACTTGCCGGCGCGAATTCGCCCATTTGTCTTTGCGATCTGACCCGAAAATGACACCAAAGTCCCAAAAGCGTGACGTCCGATCTACCCCCCTGATCATTGGATCCCTTGGTCTCATGGCCCCTGAAGCGAACCGAGGCAGCCGCTGAGAATGAAGCATTTCGAACGATCGGGTAAGATTAGTTGCATCTACAGGGAAGAGGATCTCTGGCACGAAATTTCTCGGGATTATTATATGTGGGTTCGAGGACGAATAAGTTGAGCACCTCCTCTATTTGGGGGATATCGCAATGCAAACGGGCCGATCTACCGGGTGGTTAGAAGCAGTACGACCACCGGATATTGACTCATTGGCTCGGTGGAATTTCATATTACCGGTCCAGCATTATTCTAAGTCCCGACTCCGTCGTCATTGATGCAACCTAGGAATTCCTAGGAATTAGACCGTGTCTTCTTACACCATGATGCCCAATATTTCAGCGCCAGGTATTGAGGAAGGCGGGCAGATGGATGTAATATGTTTGATTCCTATCTGGAGGCCTTGCCGATCCTCGTCTCTGGATAAATGCCGACATGCTTGTAAGGCTTTCCATATGGTCTGTATGGTACATGACCAATAGGCGCGCCGGCTTGAGATTTCGAACCTGTGATGGTGGGCATAATGTATCAGTCGCCTTATGGTATATATCATCGCTGAACCCTCCCGACTAGGGGTTCTCTAGGGATTTGGGTAGTCAGTATGAATTAGTCGATTCGTCCTCGGAATTAGATCGCCCAGCATGATCCCAGAAGCAGATCTCTGGGGAATGCTTCCCCTAGAGTTGATCGAGCGAATCTTAGACCTTTTGGTAGACGACTATGACCAGGACCCTGCATATCAATGGACGACCTTACGGCATACAGCAAGAAGACAGATGCGCCGCATCGAACGCCATTTCTTGCGGTATTGGGTCCCGAAGCTAACTATTACGCTGTACTCGGGGCCGCGATGTCAGATCGATTATAAACTCTCTAACCATAGTAGTGAGGGCGGCTTTGAAACTAGTCGCGTTCGATTTCAGACTTCGGGCGCCGGCCTTTCGAATTCACTAAACAAAAGGGAAATCCATACCTTGTGGAGTCAATATAGCTTCGAGAATCGAGTCGCGCATCTCAGATTAGGAGAAGGCATCTTAAAGAAGGGTATGACGGGGGGTTATATCGTCAACGACACCGACATCGCTGATCTGAAAGTGGAAAATGATGGTCTCGATATTATATTTAACTGGCGGAAAACACTTGACGCACTGCTTCGAGAAGAGGTAATGATGCGTAGGCTACAAGCAGAGATGGTATGCAACCTCTATTTCCACCTTGCCCAGTCTCTTTCCGAGACCTCAGCTTATCGTCGAATAGGCTTTGGATAAGAAGGCGAAATTAGCAGCTGAGCATCGGTGGCCGCCATTCCCCAGGATTCAAAGGCTAGCCCTTGTCAAGCACTTCGTGCTGGACATACAAATGGCTAAACGAGTTGCCGTCCAACAACACCGTCTGAAGCAATACGATGCATCCAACGAGATTAAGCTAGGGAGCCTAACTCACGAGTCCCAACACCTGCATAAGCAATCCCTGCCCCCGTTACCCCCAGTGACGAAGCCGAGAAGAGCGTGTTGCGTAATTTGCTCTCGCCAGACGGGCCCATCCATATTCGAGGTTGTCTCCTGCGAGGAGAGTGTGGTTCTCAGCCTAGACGGATGGGAGGAGCTCGGCAAGGAGGAATTACTCGACTTGTATGCCGAGGCGTACGGTTGGAACTGTTACCGGTGTCTGGGACAAGAGAACAATATCGAGTGGCAGCAGATAAGTAAGAACGACTGGCTCACCGTATGCGCCAGCGGTGCTGAGAAACTGCATAACGTACAGAGGTGGAACCCTTGGTTCTAGACGTGACTATGGAAGTTTGAAACTGTAGGGTTGGTTTCTCCTCTTGAATCGACGATATAAGCTCCAAGCTGGGTCATCTTAAGACAATGTATAACTAGGAAGAAGAGGAGTGTCTCAATTATATTTTATAGCTGTAAGTTAGAGGACGCTTTTAGTTAGGGAGTAAGGAGAAGTTAGAGTACAAGTTTGCTACCTTAGGCTATCGGTGCCTAGGCATTCAAGAGTTTATATAGCTTAACTAATGAGGATATATTAAGTATAACTGCCTTTCGCTATGCTAGAGTTTCAGGGGTTTCGGATTTCGTGTATCTTAGACTGCATCCAAACAAGAGCTCCAAGTCTAGCTAATGATCACTATTAGGTTGTTAAGTTAAGTCTGTGACTGACCAATATTACAGTTACGAAGCCTAAGTTTTAAGGACTCGTAAGTGGGTAAATGGTTAGGCGATCCAAGTAAAAATATATAATGGCCTCGCCGTAAATCCCCTCGACCTTCCCCCGATTGAATCTCTACGCTACAGTAACAAATCGGACAACAAGTAACCAATCTTACCACTTCATTCCCACCAACACCACGATGTCCTCAAGCAACGCCGCCGGTAGCAATGATCCGTCCGGAGCATCCAACTCCAAGAAGGGAGGCGATACGGCTCATTCGCCAACCTCATATTGCTGCGGACTTTGGCATCCCAACTGGTCGTTCTCGAAGAGTATTGCCCACTCAGCTCTACACAACTGCGATCGACGTCCAGAATTCGTCGCCAACGCCCGGCAGCGGCCTCAGGTGCAGCCGGAGTCGACAAAGGAAAGCGGTGGTGCCGGGGCACAAGGCCACGGTACGGAATCCCAGCCGAAATAAAGGCGTGAGGCTTAGAAACCTACCTCGAATGTGATTTTCTTTTGGTATCTTTCAGAATGACGGAGGGATCGATCTCCCGATGCAGACTGCAGGTAGAAGGCAAACAGGAGCCTTGATGCTATTTGGTTTTAGAATATATCTTAACACAAAGACAATTTTCATTCAAGGGGGGGGGGGGTTGTTGTATAAAGAAGCCTGAACCTGTCTAAGGTGAGGATACTGATACTGATATGACGCGGGATACTCCAGAGCGCAAACCTCAGAGATACAACTAATAATTATTCATATAACCTTATACATGAAATGAAAGTTAAATACGGCGATGCCACTCTTAGTAGCTAGTAAGGTGTTAATTTGTGTCAATGGTGTTTAATATATGCCACCAAGACTTAGAGGGGGTATATTGTCTATCTTCATATCTCGTGAATTCGTACATGCCCTTGATCAACGTCTATTAGTTCGTTATAGAACTGTATGATGTACGCAATAGTTTGTCTTTGAATACCGTTGTTTGCGATTTCAACCCAAGCCCTGGCCCCAACATTTCTGTAATATTCTGTTGCGGTGTTCGACTAGATTTGGGAACTCGCTTACGATTTCAGTAAGCCTCCGATCTTCCCATGCTAGTCCCTGATCGAGTAAAAGGTGGGTATAACTGAACACTGTAGAATCAAATAGACTTGGCTCTGGCGCCTCAAAGAACCAATCCCCTGAGCCTAGTACCGTTGATAAGGCTTCAAAGGCTTCCCTCGCCCCATCATATAGCCTTTTCGAATCAACAGCTGGCGTGCCTATGGATCTTGATATCTGATCCTCCGCCGCATGGCGCAATTGGTATAGGGTTGTCGCTTTCACGATTTGCGATGCGGAAACCGGTGTGACGTAGAGGCGCGAAAGAAGGGCGGAGTTTGGGCGGGATAGATATAAAGAGTAGAGCCATGCGTTCCGTATGCGGTGATCGAGCAATGATTCGTAAGCTTCAAGCTTCAAGCTTGGGACTTCGGAGATCTTGTGTGTGCCACTTTCAGCTGCATATTGTTCTAGTTTGTTGGACGGTATAGGTAAAGGTGCAGCGAAGCTGTTAGGACTCGACGAAGGCATCAGAAATGGCAATGCGCCTGTTGGTGAAGCGTGATTATTTGAGGGTATTAATTGGAAATCGACCCCGGCCAGCTTGAGAAATGTCTATATCGACTATTAGATACGTAAACTCGGAGCTTAGACAATATACTTGTGACATACTTGCCATTTGAGACAAGATGGATTAAAGCTAGGTAAGCCACTCAGGGCATCTTGATCAGATATAAAGACGTATAAAGTCGCTACATCTCTAACTCTAGGTGAACGAATAGGAAGCTCGTTGGGAGGATATGTTAAGAGAGGAAATTTCTTAAAGAGTCGAGCTAAGGGAGCTGGTATGGTCAACCAGCCCGTTGCGCCAGAGGGCTTTGGGTTGGTAACACCGTGAGTTTTCGAAGACATGTTGAAGAAACCGTGGCGCGTGTCACTCGTCTTGCTTGTGAGTGCTTATAATAGATGAGATTTGAATAAGTTGACCTGCGACTTCGACTTCGCGCTCATGTTTCTAATCGCATTTAGGTAATAGTAAAACTCCATCTTGAACCCGCAAAGAAGTCATAGCTTGGCAGCTTGGCTAGCCTCATATCTTATCGATTAGATCTTTGATAAGCACGTGCATGGGGGTACGGGATATAGGTACAATACTTTATGGACCGAGGATTTAGCGAGCTACATTAGGTACCTAGCGAGTCAGCGAGTTTCCGACAAATTCGCGTGTCCTAAACCTAGACTCGCTAGATTCCGCTAGTCTCGGGCATTATGTGGATTATGTGGGGTTATGCAGATATTTTTCAGGGTCCTCGTGGTGCTTAAATAGGTATTCCGAGGTACGATGCTTTGACATAGTAGGTACCTAAGTATTTCACGGGTGGGTGGGCTGAAATCAGATGAGGTGTTTAAGAACAACATCATTAAAACATGCCAAAACTTGGAGATAACATCTTATTGCTCAGATTAATATCCTTAGCGCTATCGATATTACAGGTACGAATCTAAGATGTACAAGATTGGTGCAGGAGGATTCGCGCGAAAAGCAGGAGAGAGCGCCGATCACAAGCTAATTCCGACAATGTCAGACACCCAAGAGTCCGGGGCGCATTGCGGGGTGAAATTCTATTTTACCTCATCCGTGGGGGGCATAAATAGCACACCAAATGGTAGTAATTTTGGGGGCTACGATGTTAATGCTCATCTATGTCAACTGTTAAAAAGTGGAACAAATTATATACCGAAAGTCCACGTAGGATAGATGATGCACTTCCGGCTTGCAGAGTCGGGCATCAACTCAGCCCATATCATCCTATCTGAAGAGCTGTTGGCTGGTATCGCCAAATGCCGATTGCTATTTTGATGTTTCTTGGTGGTCAGATATAATGACTCATGAGTTTCGAAGCCCATCCGCAATTCTTCGAGAACATCGCGTAAGTTTCCATTCGTCCCATTTGTTCTATTGCCAAGGAAAATACATGGAAGATGGAAGATGGAAGAGATGGAATAATGGAAGAACCCAACTTCTTCGTCCTCCGGTGGAAAGATACCTCGACATGGTGGTGGGGGGATGCGATAGTGATGGACTAGAACACTACAGTTTTAAATAACTTTTGATCGCTTCACTTGCGCTCGTCGGTGCGCGAGCCGTTCATCCGTTCACAAGAGACCACCGATGACGCTAGGAAGTCTCAGTAGAGTAATTGAAAATGGCGGTTATATTCTTGATAGATAAGATCTACCTGCTCATTTGAATCATAGACCGCATTATTACGGATTCAAGCGGAGGACAGACTTATATTATACTGTTTCTGGGCATGGTCGACAAGATCGACTCAATTTTCCGCTGCTAAATCTACTTTTAGATGTACTATGATGTAGATTCTCAGTAACGAGATCTGAGATCAGCGAGGGGGATCGAAGCTTAAGAAGCTTAGGAAGCTGAACGTGATGTTCCATTGCCAAAGTCGCATTTGGGACCTCCCTAGCTGCGTGGTACTCATTGCTACGACACCTGACGGGATCTGTTCACCTTCCCTGCGGGATGTTGTTAATAGTTTGGTTCGCCGAGTGAAGCTGAATATAGGCAAGTCTAAGTGTCTAAATAGGTGACTTACATATCTGGGTAATGTACCTACGGCTTACAGCTTATAGGATAAATTACCTATGTATATGCATGTAAGCCAGCAGGTAAGCCGGGACGGATAGTCGCTGTTGCAACTGAAGTGAAAACTGGTTACTGGGATCAGCATTGTCCTAATTGCCTTTTCTACATCTAGCAGTGAGATAATCAATATGTTCTTTGTTTTCCCTTGCTGAGGGGTCAAGTACTTGACTGAATACTTGGAAGAGTCGGCAACTAAACATTAAATACTTACCCGAATAGGTTATCCTCGGTCTTGTTGTTAATCGCCGGTTGGTGTAAATAGGTATGTTGGTACATTATAGCCACGCTTAACTTAACTAGTACGATAACTACTGTGATAGATGTAGATATTGTTCCGGACGGCCGTCGATACAAACCCATACTTCCATATCGCCGTATTGACATATCACCGTATCAAAATATAGGTAAGTAAGGTGAAATATTGAAGGTTAGGTTAGGTACACATACATACAATACAACGTACCTACGTTCGGATCTCGCCTGACTTGCTGCACGGGACCCTATATGCAGTCCCCTCCTGAACCTCTCGAATAGCCTTTTTGGTTGCTACTATATATATTAAATGGCTCGATATCCATAATTCTGAACTGTTCATCCAGATCCAGCCCATTCGACAATCTGCACGCACTTGCAGCCGCTACTGTACTTGGAAAATAAAAAAATTAAGGGCCGGTTGGATAACCCCTGGTCTTGAACGTGCATTATTGAACTCAGAATTGGGGGGTCAATACAGTAAAGGGCCCTCCTCCACTTTACACTAGATTGTTATCAGACAGCCTTGGAACAAACAAAGGGAAACTAAAAAAACAACATGATCACGATACCTTAATACCTCAATACTTGAATACTTCCAAGATACATAATTTGATACTTATATCCCCCACGCTACTTCCCCTCGACCATATTTTTTATTATTATTTTACTCTCAAGCAACAAGCAAGAGACCATCGAAAATAGGAAACAATCATATCATCAAGCTTTTCTCCAACTCAACCCACCTTCTTTCTTGTGAAAGGGAAAAAAAAAAAGAGGAAGGAATTACGACACGATAACCTTCACACCAATTTCGTCACCGCCTAACCCAAATCAATTCTTGCGTTGCATCGTGATCGACGACTTGGCTTATATAGTCAGACTCGCCTTTAAAAAGCCTTTACCGCCAGCCTGCTGTTAGCCCACGAAAAAAAAAAACCTCTCGTCCTCCTTTCCCTTCACACATCCTCAACTTTGGAAGCGAGACCTACAGTCTCGCGCCTCTCTCTCTGTTGTCAACTCATACATATAACCGCTTCTGTACACCAGCAGCAAAACTCCACCTGTCGTACGACATCGCACCATCTCGTGCTTTAGCTACCAACAGGACCTACCCCAGGATAAAAAGGCCGACGTGAGACCAGACCAGCGCATAACTCGTCGTGCGCATATCCCTCCCACGAGCAAACCCACTCTCTACGCTCTCTTCTACGCACGTACTCCAAACAATATGAACGCCCCGATCACTTCTCCCACTATGGCCCAGCGCCAGCTATCATCCACAACAACGGCTGTAACGGCGAACATGACACAAGGCTTTGCACCACCGCCTCCCCCGCCAGCTCAGAAGGCGCCTAGCACGGATGCCTTCATCCAGAACCTGAACCTAGTAGCAGAGGCTGCGAAGCGTGCACAGATGGCGGTGCTGATGCGAGATCTAGAGGGCATTGCCATCTCGTGATTCGCCCCTACTTCACCCCCCTTTCCCCCCCTTCTTTGCTACTTTCGAGAACCTCTATGTTGTGTTGCGACAGTTATATTATACTACTTAATACCTACGCCCTCCTTGCTTGCTTATCATCGCTATTCTGGAACCATAGGGTACACAACCGAGGTTGGAGAAGGTTTGTCGAGGACGGGCACGCTGGGCTGGGTTCATCACTGCTCTTTGTGCTACTTTGTGCTACTTTACGGATTTGGCATCTGACATTGGCATCTTTTGGGGGTCACGGATATAATGACGTTGGGCGCTTTTTTTTCCCTCTCCCCTCACCTCCCCCCACCAACAGCCAGGTTAGCGACCACGCAGCGAGAAACTTCGGTAACGAACTCCAACCCCCATCGGCATAACCCGGAAACAACTTCGAGACGCCCGTCATCGTGATCCGTCATCGTGATCATGACTTGTTCTACGTATATGAGACTAAAGTTCGGCGAAGGGTTGAAGACGGGAACACTTATTCACAAGCAAAGAACAAGAACAAGAAGAAGATAAACGAATTCCTACGAAGAAAAACTCAATATCTAATACTTAATTTCTGGGCCGTTGTTTACACTACTACGCTTTTTCTATCATTCGAGTGCGAAGGGGGCTAGATTGTAGAGGGGTTATGTTTATTGGCACCGTTGCAGTTAGGGCACGGCTCGATTCGCGAAGCTCCCCCCCTCCCCCCATGCGCCGCTGCAATGCGGCACCACGCATCAGAGCGCACGCAAGCATAGACGGGTGGTGGTCACGTCTGAAGGGAAGGTCGCAGCGATCACATTACATTTTTTTCTTTTCCTTCCCCCTTTTCCTACCTAATCTTCATTCATGAATGCATGCGCAATGCGGACGGGTTCCTTTCCGGATATACAATTGATTGATACAATGGGATGGCTAGATGCTAGGCTGGCGCGCGCGCTTCGGTTGGACCAGCTGCATATGACGAAACGGCCATCGTCGCCCGGACAAAGGCGAACGGGATGATGAAAGATACCTCAGGATAGAAATAAACAAATTCAAGATCTCGATCATATTTAAATAGTCTCCAAAGCCAAGCCTCACGCGACGCGGGTTGCCTTGATTTTCATTGGTCTCCCCTTCAGCTCGTGGTCATGGTATTTGTTGATGTGTGCATGTGAATAAATGCGCGGGTAGCGGAAGTTGCATGCCTGCCTACCTAAAAGCATCCCTCTATTCTGCCGGATCAAATGGGTTCCTGGATTAATATATCGATCGGATTCCGTATAGTAGCTGCTATATGTCTTGCTCATATATCAATTTCTTAATATCTATGTTTGTCGTACGTCGAATGCTTGTGGTAAGTTTCTTTAAGTAAGAGCGTAGTGACTAATATCAGGTCTGAATAGCCTCCATCCCACCCTTACATGTGTCATGCACTACTAATTTAATTGCTTACTATGTACCTATGTAGGTAGTCTGGCCGAATCTCTGAACCTGCCAACTTGCGTGCTATCACGAATTCTATTCATCTATATGAGCAAGGTTGACTTATGCCATATTTATGCCATTTTGTACACTGGAGCATGGGTTTCCTAGCCCAGCTACCATCAACTCGGTTAGTCTATGATAGGATAGACTACCTAAGGTACTAATTAAACAACTGACTTGGAGGGAGGCGTTCGATTCGATTCGATTCTGCCCCGCTGTCCGTATGCGCGCCTGGTTACCGGAAACCTATGATGGAAACCCCCAAAGTATGCGAGGAGTGAGGGGGAATAAGACAAACTCGTGCGACAAATACAGAATAAGAAAGGTGCCAAGTAGAAAATGCCTATCCGCTTCTCCCCTTGCTATCCTCCTAAGTCCGTACCGCCATCGCCGAGCTAGTCTAAAAATAAGTAGCGTTTCTTCCTCCGAGGAAGCTTGGTTTGGTGAAGGGCAAAGCATCGAGGACAATATACATGAGTTCTGAGACTGATACATTTGTGTTGTATGTTCTTCTATTGAGCTTCCACAGGACGTGGGGCGGGCTAATTCTAGTGAGGCTGGCACTTCCAAGTCTCAAGTTTTACTATGAAAACAGTGCAGGAAAGCTTGTGGCCTCATTGATGTCATCATATGAATTGTGATTCGGTTATTGATGAGGGACGAACATTACGCTCCGCATCTAGCCACACTTTATCCGTCTTGCTCGGTTAGTGGACAAGGTCTCGGCAGGAGGCGGGGACCCATTGTAGCGTATCGCTTCAAGTAACCATACTAGAATGGTTGCGGTATCGCGTCGACGACAGACTGGATGTTAATAAACGAACCTGGTCCGCCATCTTCACGTAGATAATCCAGCAAGACGCTTGTTTGTCCATAGAGGTTTTCTAATGCCGACCGCGACGATTTTCCCAAAGACGCTAGTGGATTGTTTAGTTACACACCGAATATCGTAGGCGGATCGATGGACTTACAGAGTATTGCTGAGTTGAGCTCTTCGGCTACAGCTACTCTACCTTTGCGATCCAGTAAAGGCGCGACCTCCTTAACCTCCAGGGGATTAGGATATGCCAGGAGCGAAAATACCTCGTTGAGTGTTTTCGTGGTCTCCGGTCTCGCATCATCCCTAAAATCTTCCTGTAATGATTGGCCATATTGGACGGCTTTTACAAGCCAATCCTCTTGATCTGTTTGAGTGTCTAGACCGTCTTCTTCCATCTGGTCTGAGAAGCCATTCTCGTCGACGTCCATCTTGTTAGGAGTGTCGTCGAATGGGTGTCCGTTACTCTTTTTGGCATTCGAGTTGCTTATCTCAGCTGACTTCCGTACCATTTCAATGAAGGTTCGACACCTCAATTTAAAGTACACGTCATAGTTTTCGTCCAACACACCTGGATAATACGTATAGGTGTACTTAACGGCCTTTTCAATATCGCCCTCGAGGATAGCTCTCCGGATGCCTGGTGTAGTTAGTATATGATAAGCTAAAGCCATAACTCGTACATACGTTGCCTATGGTGAGCATCCTCATCATCCTTGATGTTGATACCGGGTACAGGAGTTTGTTGATCAATTTGTAAGTCTTGCTTCTCTGCATGTATCTCCTCGGCAAACGCCCGTGCCGTCTCGACGTATCCATCGTGTTGTAAAAATTGCAAGACCTAGCACGTTCCGTTAGTGAAAGTGAGAGTTTAAGACATGCCTGCCAGCTTACGAGTTGCTGAATTAAGTCGGTCTCATTCTTAGGAGGTGATACTAATCTCTCTATGCTATATCGTATAAGTCAGCTTTCCCGTGGCCTAATAGTTGGTTAGGTGTTAACTTACCTTGTCCTATTGATGGCCGCCATCATTTTTTCTTGCTCTCTCTAAACACAATAGTTAGATAGGCTGCCTAATACCCGAGGGAAATTTAGCTTGGGATATGGGAAAGTACCTTTACCAAGTTATCGATTTGGAACATGAACTTTGTCTGGCCAAAGTTGACGCGAATGTGTTCCCCTGGTTTCTTCATGCCAACAGTAGGGTAAAGATCTCCCTTTATGTCCCGAAATGCAGTTTCTGTATTCAAGGTTAAAACCCGATCTGATCATGCCAAGGCTACGTGCTCGTATGCATTTGAAATACATACTAAACTGCCTCCCGTTCTTTGTAAAGAATGCTTCGCGAGTTCGGAAGTTGACTCCGCACCCAATGATGTCTGGCGGCCCGAAGTTTTTTCCCTCGTAAGGTTTTCCAATCTTATCCCCGGAATAGATATCACCGTCATCGCCGTGGTAACCCCACGAGTCAGGCTCCCAACCTGGTGGCCTGGCTAGAGGGACGTTCTTTGCCGAGAAGCCAATACATACTGTGGTTCTACGATTATCCAAGTTAGACCTTACCGGAAGTATAGAGAATTATTGCTTAACACGTACTCGTCTCTTCTCCGAGAAAGAAGACTAACTTCAAAATAGTAGAGGCCTGCTTGCCATGGCATTGGATGGTCTGCACGAATCGCACAGGCTTCATGCTCTTGTTCCCTCGTGGTGCGACCTGAAGCGTACTTGACCTCCAAGCCGTCTGCTAAAACCTCCAGAGGACCTTGTTTATCGTCCTTATTCCACTTGGTAGGTAAAGGTGGTACTATAATCTCATCGTCGACGGTCGGTGCTCGTTCGATCAAATCGTATGTCATTCCTAAGTGAGACGCTGGTGGTTTACCTGCTAGGGCACCCGTCGTAATACCAGCCGGTAACCCATTTCCTGCTTGCTGCTGAGCCTCTTTCCGCGCCTGTTTAGCCTTGCGCGCTTCATCAAGCTTCCGTATATAATCCGAACCATCCAGATAGGATGGTGTGAACGCGACCTCTTTATTGTGCTCTTCGTTATGCATAAATTGTTCAAAGGCTCTCGAATACAACGGTAATTGCGGGAGACGGGTCTGGGAGGGTATAGCTCCATCCGGGCAGCCATGATTCATATCTGTATCCATGCTGTCATTAGGTCTTTGGGAGGAAGGATTTGCCGCATAAAGATCCGAAGTTGATTCGGATGGGGGGTTAAGGAGATATGAGAGGCGGTTGAGCGGCGAATGGGGCGAACGTGTAAAACCTGCACCAAATCTGCTAGTTGGAGGCGGAGGAGGTAGATCCCTCATCTGAGGATAGGATCTCTGGGGATATGAATTCGTATACGATATATCTGTTTGGAAGCGATCATGGTTAAATGGGTTTGCCATAATCAACCTTAAGTCCGAGCTGTGTCGCAGTACGACTAAGGACGATCAGGAGCTCGTTGAATAAGCTTTGAGTCTTTCTTGCCCCTGGTGCACCAATCCGATTAATGCGGAACAAGCGGTAGGAGCGTAGGTTTAAAAACCCGTGGCCTTTATAAGACGAACTATAAACTCAGATAAGGCGATCAAGGGATGTAAAGCTTAGGTTTTGCGCACGACGTGGTCGTTTCGCTAGAGGAAAGAGATGGGCCGTTTTCGTACCGTGCCGTAGTGCAAGAACACCTGTATTAAGTGATTACATGGGTATATGTCATGACCAGCTTCTAATGAAGTCAGTAATTATCAGAAGCGCTTTACTACGTATCCCGAAGGCGGTGTGTTAGATGTGCGTTAGATGGGCAGCAATGATGCTGTGAAGTATGTCGAGTGATGATAGGTTATTGCGGAGAAATGCTAAAGGTAGAAGATATGTACAGCACACAGAGATGTAAGTATGCATCAATCACGAGGTCACGGATGCCGTTGCTTGACTTAGTCCGACTTTCCCCAGATAACGTAGTTTAGGTTAGGTAGTTACAGCTAATGCCAAGTTTGTACCTAGGTACATATTAATAGGTACATATTTATGTACTTATGCATGGTGCGCTTCACCGTTAATAAACGCCAATCGGTAGATAAACCCAGACTCCTATCAATGTACACTAGCCCACCCGGCACGTTTCAATATGCGTACATGATACCCCGTAAGTACATATGCACGAATTAGGTACCCAAGCAGACATGTAGCTTTCGATATCTCATTTCTAATTCAATGTAAACATCTCCAAGTGGCTGGCATCAAAAATATTAAATTACATACGTGTGGGCATCGGATTCCATCGTATTTATGACAGGTATTTATTTGCTTTTTACAGCCATAGACTTGGACATGATCATACAAAGGCTTTTCTTTTGGTTGGCTTATAAGAACGCTAGGCTAAGTACGTACTGCGGTAAATACAATACTTCTCGAGAGTTATCAAACCAGATGATGCAACGATTGCCTTGCATTGCATCTTCTGGGTGAGTTAATATATGCATTACAGGTACGATGGACGATGGAGAGGGGCCGATTCATTAAAGTGGCTCTCCCTCATTATATAAATTCCATCCGGGTGTATTTAATCGCTATCACTACCTTGAGATATGTACGTACTGAATACCTCATAAGGGCGATGAACACAGTTCTGCATTATAAAGGGGTGGATCGGATACATATATTCTTCCGGATACGGCTTCTTATGAGACGACCTGCCTAAAATCCGCTATCGTTAGGTACTCACTTTCCCACGAGTACTTACGTAGGGACGAGCCTGAAACTAAAATACCCGATGATCAGGATACATGTAGGTACCTGACTCGTCTTATACGAGTAGATACCTATACGGATATGGATACTTGTGCTGTCTGCGTAAACTCGACGACCGCACCCTAAAGGGTGCTGCGCTTTAATTAGGCATTAGCCCTTGTAATTGAGGATAGCGTACAAGGGTTCAAGCAAATAAGAAGCTATTCAAAATCTTAAAAAGGAAAAAGATATTACCAAATAGGACGAAATATTATGAAATATTATGAATGTTGAAAAATACCTAAAATAAGAGAGAAACACGCCTATTCGGAAGTATTTCGGATCAATCCCGAGTTACAGGGCCAATCCTTAATTAAAGCGCAGCACCCTTTAGGGTGCGGTCGTCGAGTTTACGCAGACAGCACAAGTACCTACAAATATGAAGTTAGAGCACAGGTACCCGCACACTCATATTTACTTAAAAATATTGTCCGAAAATTGTGAGAGATATTATATGAAGGACATCACAGCATCATCAGATAAACTGGTCTAATAATCCTCAAAACTCATCAATTAAGCAACAAGGGCTCACAAGCCAGTCACACAGATCCTCTGTTCTCAGACACCTAAGCAGTAATAACAACATTGTATAAGAATTCATAGAAGCCATGACCAAAGGCAGCAAATAAATGTATGACCTTGCTTCACCCGTTGTTCTGTGCCGACTTTCCGTATTTTTATAGTCGCAACGCCATAATGTAAACCATAGTGTACAATCCTCCCCGTATCCCTCTAACGCCAAGTAAAGCAAATCTGAATCTGCCCTCTAAACCGAGACTGCATTGGGACCTGAGGCAAGCACCTCGCAGTCTATTAATACGAGTAATGTAACCCCTCGTCACCCCTAAGCTCGCATCGTAGCTGCAGTCCTAAACGCCTTGCTTTTTCGTCAACCCTGTAGACCCTTTATCAAATACACATGGCGGCCAATGGTGCCATTATAATAGAATGCTAATGTAAGGCATCGGCCTAAGAAGCAGCGGCAACAGGTGTAGGAGCCGGCGAGCTCGCGTTGATACTTGGTGGCATGCTTTGCTGTTCACCATCAACATGGCTATTGCTATTCTCGCTCTTCAACTGGCTGCCTTCTTTGTTTTCTTTATTGCTGCTCTCGGCAGAGGCAGCAGTCCCCTCTGTGGTGGGTTGGGGCTTAGGTTTAGGCGGGGCAGTCCAACGAGGGATCTCCCAGATTACACCTGTAAAACTCTTGACTCTGAAGCCACCCCTGTTCCACTTCCGGCAGGGAGCGCCTGAGCGATCAAGTGCGCGAAGCCCAGCGTTGATAGCACCCTGATTCGCCTTCGGTCCGAGTTTGTGATAGTTGCCTCCATTGGCTCGTCCACTAGGATCAATAGTGCCGTCCTCCCTAATAGATATGATTAGTAAATAAACGTAATAATAGTTGGCATTAAACCAGACAGTAGCTCAAGCCAATAATGATAACACATTATACTTACAATCTGGGCTTCTTCTTGGGGCCAGGCTTGCCCCTAATCTTAGCTGTTGGGTCGGAACCATTCGCCGTAGCAGCACTTCTCTTCACGCCTTTCTTCTTGGGAGCCTCCGTCGGGGGCCCCATGGGCACCTGCGACGGCGTTCCCGCGGCGGCTGGGGTACCGGGACTAGACGCGGACCCATTGTCGCCATTTGACGCGGCCGGAGCCGGCTCGCTGGGAAGGGTAGTCGAAGCAGGAGACTCCTTCACAGGCGACTCTTCCTTAACGGATGTCGGGTCGAGGAGCTTCTTAAGCTTGATAGCCGGGACGCGCAGGGTGATAAGATTCGAAGATTTGCCTGAGGATTTTCGTCGGTCCTTCTCTTTGGCAGAGGCAGAGGCCTTGCTTGGAGTCGGCATAGCGAAAAAAAATACGCGACGATTTGATGAAGTTGCGTTGGGGTGGTGATGCGTTGATGAGACAATAAAGAAAGGTGTGGAAAGATGGTAGGAATGTATGAGAGTAAGATCTTTCTTTGGGGGAAAACCTTTGGTGGGATTGTGCACTTTGTATTTAGATTGGGTTGGTCAGGTCATCAACCTGGCAAAGTGTGAAGTGATCCACCCGAGATCCGACGTTTAAAGCGCTTCTTGTCCTAAGAGGCGTCGGTGCCAATCTGCCCTTTCGGAGATAGGCCCTGGCCGGTGCGGTGCCAGCGGACGCCTGCGATGCCTAGGGTTACGGGCGAGGTGAGGCGGTGGTTTTCAAGGCTGGGCACGGTCTGGCGAAAAAGTGACGACGATGATGGGAATGGTGGTGATGGTTTGGGGATTGCAAGAGGAAAATTATCATGGGATGGGAAATGGGAAATAGAGATGAGGGTGCGATGGCAGGGTCAAATTATGAATTACGGGGGCAGCCATTGTGCTCGTTGGTGGTATGTAATAAGTTTTTGGGGCAGTCTAAACTGTACAATCTTTTTTAAAACGGCCTCCCGGGCTGCTGCTCTCTGTCTGATGGCTCAAGATCCAGCTCGTCGCGAAGAAATCCAGCTTGGTGGTGCACGCACCACATGCCATCGCATATAAACCTTGGAAGTCACGTGCTGTTGCCGCTAGTCACTCTTCCAACCAGATCCGTGCCGATTGAAAAAAAAAGGGGCGGGATTAGGTACCTGTTACATGTAGCCTGTTAGGTACTCGCAATCGTAACTTAATTTTTGTATCCATGCACTTGCACTTGCTGACTTTGAAAGTTTCTAACTTCCGAATTCTATTCATACATGTACCTTAACCAGGTACCTAAGGTCTTTTTCATTCTCATACCATCACGATCACATATCCTCTCTATCATTGACTTTACATTTTTGCTTGGACCTTGAGTTTCGGAGGTAATATCAAAGTTTGAAACCCCATGGCTACTACTACATAGCATTCTAAACTACAAAATCCCTTGACTCCGTCCACATTGAGATAGTGACACACGTCAACCAGGAAGAATGAGTACCTCTTACTCAGCCCCCCCTTCCCCCTAGTAGCCTAGTATTGATACAATTTCGTATCACCGGTTGACGCCGTTTGTCCTCCTGCCATTGCAGTAAATGAGCCCAACCAAGTAATGGGGCTGGTGATCAGGGAAGCCTATGGACGGTGCCTTTTATTTACGCATCGCGCGGGGCGAAAGGGGGCCGACCGTTCGCCAAGTCAGCCGATGGATTTACTCTCAGGCTTATAATTTGACCTTCCAAGTACTTTTTAGGCGTCGTCACCTACTCCTAGTGCGCCCCGTAGAAGCGCTCCAGCTCAATGAAGACTCCGAACTACATATGCCCATATGTGGTCTTTCTACCTAGGAAGATGGGATCATGTGCAAATGTCGCAGGTATACTTTGTTAGGTCAAGCCCGAATATGATAACGCATCTGATTTCCACGCGCCTAAGAGACAGAACTTCCTGGATTTGTATTCAACTGACCACATACACTTTGCTAATATACCTACCTACGCATGATTGAATGCCTGATTTTTGCTTCATACATACGCGCGTATACGTAACCTTTCATCGGAGCTTCTAAGTCATCTAGGTAATGCTTGCGAATCTCCACACAGCCTTAAACTAAACGCGGATAAAAAAGCACGCTGCTACACAGAGAATTTGGTTATAATTGGAGGATGCATTCCTTATCGAAGCCATTTTCCTACACAGTGCTGTCACATCATTCCCCCGATCATAAGTTTGGGCGCACAGAGGACGTATATACCATATTAAAACGGCCTACCCAACAATGCAATATCGTCTCAATCTTGATTTGTGTTATAGACCGGTTCTCGAAGCTATCTACCAGTGCCGTAACTCGGCCTTTTGTAAATATATATCTACATAAAGAGCGTTAAATTCGAAGAGCCCAATGACAGATAACTATCAATAACCCAGCATCCAGACGTCTCCCGTCAGGTCTCGTGCGTCATGATCAGTTCTTGGTCGTATGTGGCCAAGTCCGTCATCACGGGTTATCTCTTGGCCCATCTCGAGATCACGAGTCAATCCAGGTACCCAAGGATATCTTATTATATACCTATCGTTGCCACGGTACAATTTGGGAGTCCTGCAAGCTTGCTATGAACTAAGCCAAACAGTAAACCATGCAGTTATATTAAATAGAACCCGAAACGCTTATACTATAGTATTTGCAATAACTCTATACTATCTAGGAAGTATTAGTTTTATAACAATACGAGTACCCAAGAAGCGAGAACACAACTCTCTTAAAACCCGAGGAACTATAAATACAGTTAAGACCGGACCACCAGTATAGTTAGGAGCTCTTTGTCATAGACATCCCAATAGCGTAGATATCCAACAAGGCTCATTTTCATAGTCTATTGGATGGTATATTTTGAGATCATAACTTCAATAATAAAGCCCGCTCACAAAGTTCACTATTTTGATATTATGAATACCTATCTAATCTCAAACTTAACAATATATATCACTCAAGTTCTATTAGCATGTACTCATAATTAGTCAAAGAGGCCCATTCTGTTATTTAAAGTTAACGACATCAGTGTCAAGCTTATCCATACTGCTTCTAAAAGGTACCTAAAGACCCCATTTCGATAATTGGCTCGCCAAACTTATATTTATGTCACTGAAGACTAATATAATAGTTTATTATACGGCTAAACACCGAGATTAATTAGAATTTCCTGTATAATGATATATTTAATACCTGCATTTTAGATTATGACTTCATAAAAAGGCCCGCTAAAGCCTTCTATTCGACCTCACTATGGTTATTATAGACCAGCAACTTCAAGGTAAATATTAAGAAGAGCACGCCCAATAGTCCCGTGTCAAATTATATTCAAGCATACAAACACTCAGGTGCCTATTGGGTAGTTTAGACGGCGATAAGTACCCCTATTACCGCAACCCCAAGATACCCCATCAGGATTCAAAGTAGAACTTACACTAACCTTATGTTAGGTATGTTCATTAACCTACACATGGGAACGCCTGTTTTGTAAGAAGCATATCAAGTAATCCAAGCCTTCGCTGAGAAGGTCATCCTACCCATTCCATCTTCCCAAAGTGTTAGGGTATGAGCGGGTTAGTGGTAGATTCAGGGGTAGATTCAAGGGTAGATCCCCTTGGATTAGGTATATAAGAAGCAACCAGCGCCCTCGCAAGAGGATAGAGGACAGGCGTCAATAGTTCCATTCTATCTATCCTGGCATTCACTCTATGTATGACGTTCATTGGGGGTACAATATCAGACATAAAGCCATATGTGTGGAAGGAAACGTGCCCTCCTTTAGAAGACTGACTACCTATATATGAGGTATATACTCTAATTTACGATTGAATTGTTAGTCTCCATCAAGCTAGAACCTACAACGAGCATCTATGTGATGTGCGTGTGATCGGATGCTTCAAGCACTATCATTAAATATATCAAGAAAACGAAACAGACCTCTGGGAATGAAAGGTACGAATACCGAAGCCACAACATCCCGCGCATCGTTGGGCAACAAAGCGACATCATAATGCAAACTCTGGTCCGGCCTTCCTAAGTCTTAGTCTTTTATAAAGGTTCGTGGAGGTTCTTGATGCCTAATACTCACTCCTCCTATGTGATTGGCTGCTTTGAGATCCTTTCTAGGAATACACGAAGATGATGTTGTTTATCGGGTTTTAATTAGTCATATGGCCATATAGGCGTGCGTTCTCCTCTCCTCCATGCAAGGATTCTGCGGGAATACCCCCCTCGGATAGCCGACGGATACCCACAGCACGTCCAGTTGGGGTTTCGGTAGAAGTATAGTCTATTATTTCTTGGCTACCTGCAACAACTTGCCTATCCGCGTCTTACTGCTAGGTACCCCGACCCCCACGATTGCTGTATAGGTAGTGCATGTAGAGCGTCACGCGAAAGGTCAGGAACAGAGAATATTGAAACTTGGGTAGACACGCGGCCGGCTACGGACGGGTCGTCACTGCTAGGGGTTAAATCACATATCTACTTTTTCTTAGGGTACGGGAACTCTGAAGGTAACCTTTACCTTATTGATTATCAAGTTCACGAGATCGGTTCGAGTTATCCGGGGTTTCGGTTACTCTATTACCACATCCTACCTACTATACGACGTATAAGCGGCGCGAACGCAATTTGTTGAAATTGATATTTCCAATACAAACTTGCATATCTCACGAATCATGGGTTCTAACGAAGTTGCATCTCTCGTCAACCCGTTACATCCTACTCTAGTCGAGAGACTCGACCCGGCCTTTACCGAGATCTACATTCGCTACCAAGGTATCGTTTATCTCGAAACTGCCTCTATATATCATGTTCAGTCACTTACTAGCGAGCCTACAGCATCCAGACTACGAGCTGATCAAGTTCCCTATGAAGAGTATAATCGTGACCGAAAGAAATACGACTTCCCAACAGCTAAAGTCGCCGGACCGGCACCAGACGTAGCCAGCACCAAGATCTACCAAGTTCCCGTCTCGAATCCTTCTGGTGAAATAGATATACAGGTGTACGTGCCTACACCGGAAGCAGTCCTTAATGCTGGACTTGAACGGGAAGGCTTGCTCCCAGCACTCGTGAACTTCCACGGCGGGGGTTTTGTAATAGGAGGCCTAGACTCGGATGAATCTCTATGCCGAAAATTCTGCCAGAGGGTTGGCTGTATTATAGTAAACGTCGCCTACCGACTTGCTCCGGAATACCCTCACCCAATATCGGCAACAGATAGTTGGCAGGCGCTGAAATGGATATTTCAAAATGCAGACGCGTTGAAGATAGATCCCTCACGCGTAGGCGTTGGGGGACTTTCCGCCGGAGCGTGTATTGCGGCAGTTCTCGCGCTACAGGCTCGGGATGACCCGAGTTTACCACGTCTTGCCGTGCAATTGCTCATCGTGCCGGTGATTGACGCGAGATTCGTCCCGAAGGAGGGTTCATGCGACCCTACGAAGACACCGTATAAGAGTTACGTCGACTTCGAATTCGCGCCAATGTTACCTCTCAACCGCCTAGTATGGTTTTATAACCTATGGCTGGGAACGGACGAAAGCCGCGACGAGAAGGCGAAAGATTTTCGTGCGTCACCCATCGTCGCCGATTCTCATTCTAATCTAGCTCCGGCTATCATCCGTTGTGCTGAAATCGACCCATTGGTCTCGGAGGGGGTTGCATATCATGAGAAACTAACTGCAGCTGGGACTCCCAGTAAAATTAAAATCTATAAGGGACAAGGACATCCATTTGGCCATTGGGACGGATCTAACCCAACTTCGAAAGAGTTTGTTACTGATTGTGTCAATGAGCTGAAGGCTGCCTTTGCTAAGAATTAGCGGGCCTTTTTTGCCCCCTTACTATTGAAATCTACCTAGGTATTGCAATGGAGCACAAGTGTTTGGGCGGATATACGATATTTTAGGTGGTCTTATTGGATTTGGCTGTGTTTGATGGGACTTACCAATCGTGTATACAGCAACTTGTCACTATACGTGCCTAAACACTTAGGTACCTGAATAATCTAGGAGATGCGTTTCTAGGCAACTATCAACTTTGATCCGTTTCTACGGCAGTTACAAATCCTCAATTTCGCTTTCCTAAAATATCCAACCTAAAGTATAGGCAGGTACGCAGCTGCCTTGATTAATCCCATCAAATGTATTGCTACAACGATTACGACGTACTATGCTAGCGTAGTTTCCGTTATTCGGTTTAATTACCCCCAAAAGCAGCGTAAGCAAGTTCGCTCTTGCACTTTCACTTTCACGCAAAGACTGAGTGGTAAAGTCAAATTAACTCCCCTCGTTTGGCCAATCAACTTTATTTTCTTCTACTCTTCAACTCAATAATTTCAATCAAACTACCTCATACTACTTCATCGGAAGAAGAAGAAGAAGACATAAAACGGTTCTATCCAAGTTCAATAGGCTACTCGAGACATTATCTTCACGGTTGTCTCGTCCTTGATCTCTATTATACACTACGACAACTTTTGTAAATTTCGTTTTTGCATCATTTCCTACCCCGCAGAATTTTCTTCAACTTCAACTACCTACAACAACTTTCACTTCTACCAGTAGTTTCAATCATTTCCTTGGCTACGCAAAAATGGTTTCCAATATGGATACCATAGACGATTATAACGAGGAACAAAAGAACTCCTTGCATTAGGTCGACAAAATCACAACCGTCAATTCCCCTAAAACAGCTGGGTAGCCTAAAGAAAGCGAGAAAATAAAGCAAAACCAAGAAACACTAGCACATTCCCCAATAACTCACAAGACCAAAAGGACATAGAGCAAGGCCGGGAGTAGGACCACTTCTCTCTGATAATCTCCCCAGATTATTTATCACTTTATCATCCAGTCCGCTACCTAAACTGTTGGTTCTATTTACCCAAATTTTAGTATTATTGATAACACCATATCCTTACCTTTGAAACCCAAATTTCAACCCTGGGCTGGTACAGGGTCGCCCGCCAGGCATATTGGTTCTGAAGCAAATCGTGGACCATTACATAGCAAAGATAATTCGCCTGTCACTTACAGAGGCCAACCGGTAAATATAACTACGATAACCCTACCCAAATCAACGACAACAGAAAGGGTTGGTAGGATATCACACAAAAGCTCTATTTATCAATCAACAAGGACAACTGGCTTGCCGGTTCTATCCCGGCATTAAGCAAGGCCGTGTCAGCTTACTCTCGGTCTCGCTCAAGGAAGACTCCAGGGTTACTGTGGTCGGATTTGGCATACCTTTTGCGAATCAGCAAAACCGGACAATTAAGGGCATGGAAGTATCCGTATAGCAGGTACCTACCACGTCACATAAGCCCGCCCAACACAGATGCGTATATACTAGACGCCGGTTACACCCCCTTCAGGGTAGCTAGTAACCTGTTGTAAGGCGATACTGGCCTTGTTAACGTGAGTAAAGTGACTTTATGAACTATCTTGGATAATTGAGATACTGACACTAAGATACCAGCACTTGACTAGACGCTACTTACTTATGTTTTCTTGTTCTACATAAAACTGGGCCCTTTATTCAACCTACCTTAATGGTACCTACTAGGGCTACGGCCTAGACAATTGGCTGAGGACATTTGTAGCCTCGAGGAGGTATATGATTAGGCGGAATACAAGCAAACGCAACTTCTACCGTGCGGGTCGACCTAACTCTTCAGCGCGCTATAGACCCGTCTACCGGCTGGGCCTCGTGTCATCGTCCAGGCTTTCTACCAAAGCAGCACACAATAATACCTGCAGTATACTATAAACTACGAGTCGATTGTCGTCTCAGTTCAAGATGGTCGGCTGAGGCCGTGTCGGTGTTTCGGAACCGCTGATGCTTTACTTGAAGAGTATAATAATATTTAGCGTTATTGAAACAACCTTTCGACGAGAATCCGATTATGTTATCATGGATGGTAGGATGTGCTAAATGCGGGAAGGCAATAGATTACACGGCTAGGAACAGATAATCTAATTTGTGTTACTGCACAAAACGTATTCGTTTGCTGTTAATAAGTTAATGCAAATCATTATTCCATATTCTCATAAACGCCCGAGAACGAGTTGATGTTCTTACATTACGGAGCTGATAGTATATTGGAACAGACTATATGACCGTACGTCTCAGATATCGTATTCTTATACAATCATATTCTTCACACGCTCTTGGGTACCACGCTAGAAGAAACTATACAGCGTGAATCCTCCTACGGGCAAAATGTTGCTTAGAAGCTACCGTTTGCGTTTACCATGGTCGCCTCCAAACCGATTGTTCTCCTTTTATGTTCCCCGCATGTCGTTAGCAGAACCACGTCTATCTCCTGAGCAAGCCGAATTGGTAGATATCATCATGAGTGGACGTAATGTATTCTATACTGGCTCAGCAGGATGTGGAAAATCTACAGTCTTAAAGGCTTTCACTAAAAAGCTACGGGACCAAGAAAAGACGGTTCATATCATCGCTCCCACCGGACGGGCAGCCTTACAAGTTGACGGCTCCACCATATGGTCATATGCTGGATGGACCCCAGACTCGATGAAGGAAGGCATAGAGGCACTTCTCCAGGACTCGCAAAGAAAGCATTGTAGAGAACGCCTCGGGAATACCGATGTTCTGGTTCTCGATGAAATAAGCATGATTGAAAACTTCCACTTTGAGCGGCTTAACGCAATCATGAAAAAGATCAAAAGGTCTGATATGGCTTTCGGGGGTGTCCAGATAGTCGTCACCGGAGACTTCTATCAACTTCCGCCTGTGCAACCCTTTCGCTTTTGCATTAAATGCGGGAACGAGATGATTATAGATCGTACGGAGGGGTTCTATACGTGCAAGGAACACGGCCGCTTTTACGACCAAGATAAATGGGCTTTCCGAAGCCAGGCTTGGGAAGAATGCAACTTCGTCTATTTTGCTCTAAAATCAATCCACCGGCAAAGCGATGAGACATTTATAAGAGCCTTGCAAACGATCCGAGTTGGGGATCCATTGACATCAGATCAGACTAATTTACTCATGAGTCACCCATGTGATACAACAGATGCAACTAGACTCTATGCATCGCGCAATGAAGTATGAGAGCTAAACCACAAGGAGTTCAAAAAACTGCAGACGGAGAAGTATACATACAAATGTGTGGATGGCTTCTCGTGGAATAAGAAAAAGCATCCACATCTCAAAAGTAAGAATCGCCGAGCAAAGGACAACTCCTTGCTAGCACTCAGCCAGCATCAATACGAGAGTTATGTTGAGCTAAAGCAAGGCATGCTCGTTGTGCTGCTTTATAATCTAAACTTGAGTCTAGGACTCTGCAATGGCAGCCAAGGTATTATCTGTGGGTTTGAAAGATTCGACCCTACGAAGCCCTTGATCGCCACGCAAAATAAGAGAGATACCGATCCTACGAAACCGCTTGAAGAGATATTAACTCGTACTGATTCATATCAAACCTACAAGTTCATAAAACAGGTCGAGACGAAAGTCTGGCCGATCGTCAAGTTTCACAATGGCCCAGTACAAGTAATTGGACCACATTGCTCTACAACCTGCTTGGGTGATGAGAAGCCATACAGCATCCTCAGCCGTACGCAGATACCGCTAGCCCCTGCATGGGCAATGACAATCCATAAGAGCCAGTCGCTGACGCTCGACCGCGTCGTAGTAGATCTGTCGAAGGCATTTGTCGAAGGGCAAGTCTACGTGGCCTTGTCGAGGGCGAGGAGTCTAAAAGGCCTTAAGATAGAAGGCAGTCCGAAAGACTTGACGGCTGGAGTAGGAGCAAGTTCAGAGGTACGAAAGTTTTATGAAGAAAAGTTTGGGATATGATGTTTTAAACAACCTATTGGATCTCTAGCGTTGAAGCCAAGATACTATATGTGCTATATAGTAATGTAGCCTCAATAAGAAACTAGTTGATATCGACTAGTCCTCGTTGTGTATACCTTAGGGCTACTGTCCGTATAAAGCAGCTATTTTTAGCTATAATAGTGTCCAGCGTTTCGATATAGTGTAACCTTGGAGAGTAGGTAGATATTCAGAAGGCGTTGGGTACATTTAGCGGTACGCATTATGTCGGCGTCTCCGTGTGGACATAGAACCACTGGATACGTAACAGCAACTGACGGAAAGAGCTAGCTTGAAAGTCGATAATATGGGTGTTGCTCAATAAGGTAGGTATGTACGTTATATTACCTGGGTTCTGCCACTCGTTCAGTACGAGATTTTTGATTTCTGATACACATATAGAAGTTGAGAATTAATAACTTGCACATACCTATAATACACATAGCCTGCTGTCGCCTGAATTCAAGCCCTATAGAGACACGTGTAGATCCTTAAGACGCATTAGTGCAGTCATAATGCCTTATTAGAATCAAGAAAAAAAATCTGACCAAGGGGACGGGCCGATAACTCTCAATTAGGAATTGTCGTAAGTACACCAAGTTCCTATAATAAAATCTTGGGGAGAGCACATGTACCCTTATCAGATTTGGAATCTGTCCCCTGTGACGATCCAAACAGCGGTAGCCGAACAAGGGTCAACTCATGCATCTGATTTTATCCGGGGAAACAAAAAGCATCTAAATAGAATGCCGAACCAGGTTATGTAAGTCTCTATTTCCACTGCCGGTACTACACAATCCGGGGTGTGGCCTATGTATATGACAGATGCTAACGCGCCAAGATCAGATGTAGACACATCCTATTATCACCTGACCATTGATCGGCGATCCGAAAACGTGCCATTCAGCTGCCTAACTAAACTATATCTGATCATCACGGAGGCCGGCCTGTGAAATCTTGCTGGTTTGGTGCTCTATTGGGTGTTATCTCTACCATAATGGTAGCTAACACAGCTGGTCTAGAAGTAACATGTCCCCAACTGCGATTCTTGGCGTGGTAAGGCGAGGCGATTCTTGGTCCTTCTGTCAAAAGTTAGAGTCGCCATCGCTTAACCCCCCACAGTCAGTGACATCCAAATCTTAGGTCAGGAGGTAGCCAGCGGAAATACTCGCAATATTCCGCTGCGATGTCAGGTACAACGTGACAATCCCCCTGTCTATCCCCATACCGTGAATGCATATTCGCGGCTCGTCGTTTCCCATGGGAAAACAGGACCAGGGGGTGATCTCGGCTATATTCGCGATATTAACCGCCATGCTTTTATACGACGGGATCCGTGACGGGACGGCAGCAGCATGCAAAAGGAAATGAAGAAAAATCTCCGGGGAATCCTGAAGTAGGGAGATTCGTTCACCCGGCCACAAATTTAAATAGACGACGAGTCCCGCGTCGTGACAGCGAGCCTGAAGAAGCATCTAAAACGATCGCCTTCGCTCTTCTCAGGATGCAGCTGACCGTGAACTCGCTCGCCGCCGGCCTGGCGCTGCTCACGCCCAGTGCCCATGCGCTCCTCCGTTTCTCGTGCTCGCAGCTCGTCGTCGAGCGTCTCGACCCGCTCGTCTTCCCCGGCGTCACGGGCTCGCCGCACGTCCACCAGATCATCGGTGGTAACGCCTTCAACCAGTCTATGGATTACCCGCGCATGGATATCCCAAGCGAGGCCACATGTACCACGTGCACCTTCGCCGAGGACTTGTCCAACTACTGGACTGCCGTCCTCTACTTCCGTGCCCGCAACGGCACTTTCAAGAGGGTCCCGCAGATGGCAAACTCCGGGTTCGAGGGCGCAAACGGCGGTATGACCGTTTACTACACGCCCAGCTACAACAACGGCAAGGTTACTGCTTTCAAGCCTGTGAGTAAACCACCCACATATCTAGAGATACAACCTAGAAGCTAATCGCGAATCTACTTTTAGGGCTTCCGAATGATCGTCGGAGACCCGTCATACCGAACCGAGGCCCAGGCCAAGAAGTTCCGTCAGCTTACTTACACTTGCCTCGACAACATCCTCACCCGCACTGGTGAGACTCTTGATATGCCAAAGAAGGCCTGCAAGGCCGGCATTATGGCTAACATCCGCTTCCCGACGTGAGTGCTTATTGCCAAACCAATCCTTCGCCTCCTGAAAAGAAAAAGACCAAAAAAAAACCCCTATGCTGACCTTTTCAAAGCTGCTGGGACGGCAAGAATCTCGACTCAGCCGACCACTCGAGCCACGTCGCGTATCCCGCCAGTGGTACCTTCGAGAGCGGCGGTGCCTGCCCCTCGACTCATCCCGTCAAGATTCCCCAACTCTTTTACGAGGTCATCTGGGACACACGCGCGTTCAACAACCCCAACGACTGGCCCACCGACGGCAGCCAGCCTTTCGTCTGGTCCTTCGGCGACCCAACCGGATACGGAAACCACGGCGACTACATGTTCGGCTGGAAGGGCAACGCTCTCCAGACGGCCATGGACTCCAACTGCAACATCAACTGCCCTCAGCTCAAGACCCAGTCCATCTCGCAAGGCAACCAGTGCAGCAAGAAGGTCTCCGTCAACGAGGAAATCGACGGCTGTAAGTAACGCCTTTATTCCCCCTAATTCCGTGCGTATCCTATCAGATAAAGATTCTAACATTTGGTATCTAGGGCTCAATGAGCTTCCCGGCGGGATGCCTGTCACTGATGCGACTGGCAAGGTCCTCTACTAAGCGGACAGTGTTTAAATGATAGTGGTAACAAATGTATTTAATAACTAGAAATATTAATCGTTTCGGTATAATGAAGACCGACGTGTAGGCGCGATTTTGTCAAGACCACGTCTAATACTAGCAAGATAGTCTAGCAAATAGACCCTGAAGCCATCAAAGTCTAAACATATGATGTTGGTTCATAATAATTTATTCATCTTGGCCTCTATGTGCTTTTAATGTACACTATAAAAACGTCGAGTCTCTTATACCTTAGGTATATAACCGGCTTGGCTACTATAGACACTCGCTTCCTAAGGCATGGAAAGGCGTGTCATGGAGGTACATGCCCCGAGCACTAGAAGTTTCCAAGGCCGTGAAAGGACTCGAATGCACTCCGTTGTCGTTCGTCAAAAGGGTCATGGCGCAAATCGGTATAGGCTCCAGAGTCCTTGATTGCGGCGACGAGCCAGGGGTCTAGAGTGATATGTCAGCCAAAATTAAATTTGAGTGAAGGTTATATTGACCTACACTCATAATCGTCGCCCACTTTCATGAGAAGAATGTCCCATTTGCGCGTGGCGATCTGGGGGCAACCCCTGAGAGTACCTTCTGAGCTAGCAGTGCAATCATAGATGATCATGGCATCCCATGCACAGGTTGAATTGCTTTCGTGTGGTCCCTTGAGGAATTTCAACTTGCTCCACATGGAGCAGAGGAAACCGGTAGTGGCATTAAATGTGCCCCGTTTATCTACGGGGATAGTGATCTTGACGTGGGCTAGGGGCACGTTAGCAAGGGCGTGTTGCATTTGTAGGAACGGAATAGGAGCTCACGTTCTTTGTTGCGACGTCCGGGGGTGAAGAAACAACCTTTAGGTAGCCCTTCGTTAATACGAATTTGCTCTTCATTTGTGACGAACAGTTCCTTGCCGGACCTGACTTTCACCTCCCACGTCATGGTAGTCTATAGGATGTCAGAAACATTGGATAAGTGCCGTGGGAAGACTTACGATCTTGCGGAGGTAGCTTGTGTGGTCGTATCCGACGAAATCGACAGGACTGCAGTTGAAGAGCTCAAGGTCTCTTCGAGAGCATGGTTCGAAGCCCATCCAAAGATAGGGGTAGGCGGCTAACATTTCCCTTCCATGGACAAGTCTCACACGTACATCATCGTCCTCGCTAGTGGGCTCCTGTCCTGCCATGACGTCCAGATGAACTGATATGGAGATTCGAAGGGTGCAGGTGTGGGATATCTATGTTTCTAGTTGAGTTGTAGAAGTTACCTAATGGAAGCTGGAATGGGGTTGGAGAGGAAGATGAAAGTAGGGAATAGGTAGAAAAAAAGAAAAGAATTTTTTTCTTAAAAAAATAGATGACTTTGAGGATAATTTCTATGACCCCGGGTGTGGCTTCCTTTACTTAAAATCAAGCAAAAGAATTCGAGAAATACGGGGCTTTGCTGTAAGTTGCTAAGTAGATGGTACCTAATTATGACCACGATAGACTAGTACCTTAGTAAAAGCCTTGTGAACTAGAATCATGACTCCATGGCTTTTTCTTACCGCAGCTGCCAACAATTGTGGTATTGGGAGGCTAAGGAAATAGCACGCGAGGTGAAAGCTTGGTGTAGATTCTTAATTCCATAGTCCAAGAGCTTCCCCTTGAAAATGTCCTTTTTAGTCATATCTTCACTTCCGCACCATCTAGTGACACGATCCAGCTATGGGGCTACTGCTTGCGTAAGTTCCTTTGAGATACATTATCAACTAAATGTGCTGGATTGGGTTTATATCGGTAGATTGCTTATGATCTGTTTGTGCTGCGTAACTCGAGGGGATAATGGTTAACCCTGCCGAGCTATCAGCTGGCAGACACCAGGCGAGTTTAACAGGATCGGGGGTTCGACGGAATTCGGCAGTCAAGGACAAGTTTTGATGGTTATCCGCGTGATGAAACTGGGTACCTCTTATATTAACATATCGTAACAAACAAGCACACGCTGCCTTTCATTGAGCGTTCTAACATAGTATCAAAGCTACTCATATTTTCCAAGGGGTTACTTATAACCCGATCCGTGCGTGTGCTTATCTTCATGATATTTAAAATGCATATAGTAGTTGCATTTGAGGATAAATCTTATGTACTTGTCAAACTAGAAAACCTCTTGCTTGGCTTATCACATATACGCTTTTGTTGTGTCCATCTTCATATACCTTGTTTATCCAAGTTTCCAACTGCAGATTCCTTTCAACTAACCAATATTTTATTCAAGATATACCTACGTAAGAACTTCGTAATGCTCAAATACAAGTTATCTAGAGATGGAGAGGGTTTTGATGGTAGTATAAACTATGATTGATACTTACCTTTTGTCAGGGTATAGTGGGTCAGGGTGGCTACAGGGGTCTATACGAGTATATAAGAGGCGCAAGACGCCCTCGTCAGAGGTTAGAAAGCCAAGCGTTACTAAGTTCAATACAATTACTACTTAGTCTACCTACCTTAGACATTCACTCTATGCATGATTCACCTCTCTAGGGCATCCAATCCTGACACCTTTCGATAACATAAGCCCAGTACGCTATAGATAGATTTAATCAGGTGAAAATATTAGGCTATTATTTCCTATTTTTTTTTCGCCATGAAAGGCGTACGTGAATAGGAGAATATTGTTGCAAAGGCTGCAATAATAGTGGCTGACACAACTGTTTAAAACTACAAACAATAGTCGGTTATTGTATACTAAGCTTAGGTACCTAGGTAGGTAGGCATCTGAATCTAGCGACGTGACACGCGAAAGCTAATTCTAAGCCAAACAGATAGATTGGTATTCATGATAACAAGCGAGATGGGTCGGATAATTTTCCGTGGCTTGCTTGTACGCGATGGTAAGTATCAAATCGAAGGTGTAGTTAGCGAGGTGTGACACCGGACTTACAAGATCGGGAAAAAAGTAACGCTCAGCTGGAATACAAGTAGACGTCATGGCTTTTGCGATTCAGATATTGTCTTAGCTGAGTAAATAGAGTATTGGCATCTTGTATCGACTTCTCTCATTGTATCCAGAGCTTTATAGGTATAAGTAGAATGAGAGTATTGCTCAATTTAACAATTAAACCCGTTCTCTCATTGCATTGGAGAATTACTAGAATCCTGAGCCGATGGTTATGCTTGTCTTACTCAAACGACGTACATGGTGTCTATATATATATATATATATATAGTGTAAGGTTACACATATTGTCTCAAGAGGCGCGTCGTGTCGGACTGAACGTATGCTAAATAGACCTCAGAGGCTCAGGTTCTAGGTTGGGATATCAATGCAAATAAATCGCTACGAGGAACAATCCCGACGAGACGATGGAATTATGAATTGTGAACTATAAATATGCCGAGCTCGGGGTAGGTATCTACCTCCCCTGCTTTGAACAACGATGTAATAGCTAAGTTAGGTACCTAGCATAGGAAAGAAAAGGGGGCCAAGCCTCGGCTCTTAACTACCACCCCAGCATTTTTCTCCACTGCTTCCAGGCTGATTTGCGGGGATGGCGTCCGAAAAGGGACCATTTCAATCCAATCCCGTTCGTCACTGTCACTGTCTCTTATAATCCTTACGTTCTGGAGCCAATGATAAGGCACCCGTAGCGAAGAAGCCATGGCCTGCATCACCACGAGCTATGGCACCAACGAAGTCATTAGTTCGGCTCCGTATCCGCCGCGCCCGAGCAAGCTCTATATTAGGTAATGTGATTCCTCTTATACGCTTATACGTGAATATGCAACTCCGTCTTAACCTTATCTACGTCTGTGAATCACGACAAATTGCGAGCTCTAAGTCTTCGTGATAGTGTCATTTTGATTCAATACAGCTGCCTGAATCCCCTCTTTTCGGGATAGTTCGTTCGCGGGGCGACGGAGAGCTGCTACTCCAACACTATTTCAAGGAAGACACCCGACACTTTTTGACACTCCATAAGGAAATCAATTCGGATATTTTAATCGCTTCCAGCTACGTTTCTTTCTTGTCATTCTCGCGATACTTGTTCCCGCCATGGTTCTTGAATCAAGATGGACAGTACCAATACCGAATTGCTCGGTACCAAAATGGGTATTCGGGTCCTCCTTCGACTCACTCCCAGATAATCCCCAATTTATTGATGTTGACCGCCCGGAGACACGTTTCATCACCCAATCTGACTTTCGGCTGTGGTCGAAGCGGCTGGCCTTGGGATTAATGCGAGCAGGTTTGAAAACTGGCGACCGCGTACTCCTCTTCTCTGGCAACTCGCTCTTCACCCCCGTAGTTTTCATGGGTATTCTGATGGCAGGGGGGGTTTTCACAGGCGCTAACCCTAGCTTTGTCGCTCGGGAACTTGCTTACCAGCTGAACGATAGCGGCGCTTCGTTTCTAATTGCAGCCGACGCTAGCATGGAGATCGCCATAGAAGCCGCTGACAAGGCCGGTCTTCCGAGGAGTCGAATATATAGTTTCGACATAAGCGCTCTTGATAAGCAACCGGGCAAGGCACGACTCGGGACTCAACATTGGACTTCTCTCCTCGCCCCTAAGAACGACGCAGTCAAGTTTGACTGGGCTGAACCCGCCGATGCGAGAACGACAATATGTGCTCTTAATTACAGCTCAGGAACGACAGGTGTGCCGAAAGGCGTCGAAATCACACATTATTCCTATGTCGCGAACGGCCTCGGGGTTAACTATATGGAGCGACTAGATCCCGAATATGACGAAAAGAAGAAACGATACCGTCGTCTGGGCTTGTTACCAATGTATCATGCATACGGTCAGACCTTCTTTGTCTGCAATTTTCCGAAAGAAGGCGTTCCAGTATATATCATGTCTTCGTTCAATTTTGAAAAGATGCTGCAGTGTATCGAGAAGTTTCGTATTGACACTCTGATGGCCGTGCCACCTATCGTGGTCCTACTTGCCAAAAGTCCTCTTAGCCGCAAATATGATCTCAGCAGCCTCGAGAATATAGGCTCTGGTGCCGCACCGCTAGGGGCCGAAGTCAGTGATGAGGTCACTAAGCTTTGGCCGGACGGTGCTTTGAATCTCCGTCAGGGATGGGGCATGACGGAATTAACGTGTTCAAGTACAAGTTGGCACCCTAAAACGACCGGCAAATCCGCAGCCGTGGGCGAATTATTGCCAAATTGCAAAGCGCGTATCATGAGAATCGACGGCTCAGGCGAGGTCACCAAAGCCAACGAGAGGGGCGAGGTATGGATTACTGGTCCTACGCTCTTCAAGGGCTACTGGAAAAAGCCAGAAGCTACCGCGGCTACTCTTCATGTCGATCCAGATGGCACCCGTTGGCTGAAAACCGGCGACGTTGGGTTTGTGGAGAAATACGAGCCGGGTGGACTGCTTCACATCGTCGACCGCATTAAGGAGCTCATCAAAGTGAAGGGTAATCAAGTAGCACCGGCCGAACTCGAGGGCGTATTACTCGAAAACAGAGGTGTCCGCGACGTCGCTGTCGTCGGCGTTACGATCAACGGCGAGGAAGTGCCACGTGCATACATTGTGCCAGACCCCGAGGCGAAACAGACGGAGCAGGAAATTGCCAAGTGGATGGAATCTAAGGTTATCAACTACAAGCGGCTACGAGGCGGTGTAAAGTTTGTCGAGGCTATTCCCAAGAATCCGGTAAGTCTAACAAGATGTATGTGCTCGAAGAGAACTCCACGGCTAATAGTTACATGTAGTCCGGCAAGATCCTTCGAAAAATACTGAGAGACCAAGCAGCGGACGAAGTTGGTGATAGCAAACCAGGAATGGCGAAGTTAGCCTAAAGCTGAGCATGCGTAATAGCGAAGATATTAAGTTGTTTTTTCTTAGAGATGCATATAAGAGTGTAAAAGGGATTCAATGCTGTGTATATGGATCCCTCTGGGTTTAACAGATTCACGATATCTAAGAAACTCATGAGGTATATTATGAGAAGCTGCTTCTCCCAGCGCAGCCGTAGGGGCGCATTGGACCAATGCATGCTCCTTACGATTTTATACATAGGTACCTAGGTATTTAATTCAATGCGCAGAATTTGAACTGCTACACCAGTAATATAATGGGTGGGCATATAAACACTATTAGATCTGAAGCTTATCCTTTGGCATTTGCCTCGAAACGCAAAGTCGAATGAATAGGTACTCAGCAAACATAATCACTCGGTACTTAGGTAGGTACCTACATATAAGATTATAGCAGAGGAAACAACATTATTCATACTAATCGAGTGACTATTAAGAGGCTTATCCCTTAGATAAAGGAGTGTCATATGGTCACATTGTCAGATTTCCTCGTGGGAGGCTATTGTGCCTAGCTTTTAACTCTAACGACTCAGATCTAAGATAAAGGGGCTACTTTTAATATATTGATATTTTACACTACCCTCTAATAGATATGCTCTAGCTCATGATTAATAGGAGTAGGCGCCAATAGCTCCTTCAGTATATCGTATAATTTTGGCTTCGTATCAGTCACTTAGTTAATTTAACCACTCCATGTGTTCTATATTATTTTCGAGACTGTGCCACCCCAACCTTCCTCCTCCATACATGCCCGTCAATTCCACCCTCGATGGTAAGAGGATTATCCGGCTCATCTGGATATCCATAATGGCCCGTGTGGTCTGATCCAGATATCCAGCAGCGGCGCATGATATCATCTGCCTCCTTATGGAAAGCTTGGACCCCAGGTTTTCTTTGAATCAACGGTTGCATATTCTGGATAACCCTATAGAGCCAATAGCGGCGGCCTCGACCGTTCACTATGCTGTAAGTGGTTACTTCGCCAGTGCGATCCACTTGGTACACAATGTCCTGTAGTTTGACGTTATCCTCACAGCGGCGTCCGGTCAGATATAAGCTAGTATTACGAAGTTTGTCGAGATCGTCACTTGGGTTGCCGTCATCGGTGAAGGCACGGAAAAGAAATAGTTGTGGCCCGCCAGATAGACCGCTTCGGAACGAGCCCTCACATATTCCAAGAGTTATCACTTTACCGCTCTGAAGCTTAAAGGCAATCTTCCACGGGTTAGGCATTGGAAGAAAACGATCCCTCGATGGCAGGGCGTACAACCAGACGCTTTCCACAACTTCTTCCCAGATGAGGGGCCAGGCATCAATTGGTGTGGAGGGGGTGAGGCCGAACCAGAAATTGACGCTGAAGTTGTATGCGGCTATGTCTAATTCCTCACGCGAGCATCGGGTGGTAAGGTGGTCTGTGACGTACTTGAGCTCTGTCTTCATCTTGGTACAATATTAGTACGATTTAAGGTGAATTAATGTAAAGCGAAGTTAGTGTTAGGTAATTGGATGTATTAGTAGGCAAAGTGTCTTGATTCCGAGGGCAGAGTTAAGTTAGGCGTTAAGCTTGCAGTTAGACTTATTTTACCTAGCTTGAATAGGAACCGAATAAAACGATATTTAAACGGCATAGACCTGATAGCTGACTGGGGAATTGTTTCCTATCAATATTTAACTATGTTGTAGTTTAATAACAGCACTAATGAATGGAATTGTTAAGTATATAATAGTATGCATTATGACAAAGAGACTGTTGTTGAGGTGTGATACAAATCTCAATGAAATGGAATTTATTTGAGTTCTTAGACTAGTAGTCTTATAGGATAGTAACTATCAACTTAGATAGGATCCAAAGCTAGAGTTCCCTTAGGTAGGCTTAGATGTATTTATAATATGATAACTATTCGTATTGCCTCACTAGAGTTAATTAATTTTGCTGTAACTTAGGTACATAGAAGTGGTAATTAAAGAAGGATTGGTGCTCACTCGAATTGCATATCGAGTACTCGACCTACTATTCTAAATAATACGAGCACTTACAGATCTTGCGATAATGTACGTTTCTATTTATTTTTAAGATCGTGTATAAGTCTTATTCACTCAAGTGCCTTACATAAGACAGTAATGGGGTTGTTTTTACTTTTGATTGCTTCTACTAATTATTGATAACTATTAATATGTAGTATTATAAGTCTATGTAAATCTACTTACCTCTACGTATTTATGGCAGGCTACAGTTGTCAATATTGACTACAACTACAACTTCTTGATATAAGAAGGTAGGTACCTCTTAAATTCATCACAATAGACAATGTGCGTATACTGTCTAAATATACTGTATATGCTACGCCAATACTACCAATCGAGAGTAACCTTCAATTGATTCGGCTATATGGCCCGAGCGCCTAACCCTTTTCGACACCAAGAAAAAAAAAGAAGCCGGCAATTCGAAGCGCTGTAGTATTATTATGTTGACGACGCATATGTAATTCGTATACGTCGGAGACCTGCAGTGCGTCAGTGCGTGCGCGTTTATCATTAATAGGATGATAATCCGAGATACGTAATCTGATTGCACCAAAAAAATAAAATAAAATAATAAAGGTTGATTCACAGATCGATCGACAAGACAGAAACACCGCGGGAACGGGAAGGGTGGGAAGGGTGTCAGTCACATCATTCAGCCCACCGATTATTCCTGTTCCTGTTTTTTTTCCCCCCCCTTCTCCCGAAAAAAGAGGCTGGGCCAATGGATAGTGGAGACAAGAATCGCGTACCCAACCTCCCCTATGTACAATACGAACGGTCTGACTGTCATAAATCTGTCAATTTTCAATTGAATCGACACCGCTTCTACATAACATTTCCCAATTTCAATTCCAATCCCAATTCCAATTCCAGATTACTTTGTTTGTTTGTTTCGTTTTTTTCTCGCACTTGCGATAGCCACCAACCACCAAACTACCGAATATACCTACATCTACATAACATTACATACTGTACATACATCATTATACATACCGCCACGATTTATGAAATGAAATGAAAAGGAAATGAGTAGTAGTACATCTCGTCATCGTACCACTATGAATTCACCTTCCTCTAGGCCTCGTCCACGCCAGGCCCAACAACAACCACGTGATTACGAAGACGCAGCAGCGGCGGCGGCAGCGTACCACAACAGCGGGAAAGCCCCGCGCTTCGATAGTCACGACGACTTTTACAATTTCCTCGACAGCAATCGAGGTCCTATGTCCGGCCCAGGTGCCAATCCACCACCCCCCAGCGCAAACCACGGTGCTGCCATGCAAGGCCAACCCTCACAAATCCCCCCGCAACAACTGCAGCAACAGCAACTTCAACAGCAACAGCAGCAACGTTTTAGCCAGGGCAGCCAACCTAACAGCCCGTCGCAGAGCAGACCGCCGTTAACAAATTCCTTTCCCCCGCAAGGAGGAAACACGCCGAACCAATCGCGGCCTCCGTCATATTCAGGCAGTAGCCGTTCCGAAGAGATGCTCGTAGCAGACCGTACCAGCAGCGACGGCAGAATCCAGCGCCAGAATGGCCGTCGCACCGGACCGGGCAAGCCCGTGGCAGGGCCGCGACCACCAAGCAGCTCAGGCGGATCGTCCCCGCCCCGGAATCCAGCAGGATACCCGTCCAACCACCCGCAGATCCAGCAAGCCCAAGCCCAGGCCAAAGCAGCAGCAGCAGCAGCAGCAGCTTCTTCCGCCTCGACGTCCGACCCCAGCCTAGCAGTCCCCAACGCCAGCCTAGGCGCGTCCATCCAGCGGCTCAAGAGCCCCAGCGTCATGGACTGCGTGCTGCAGCCGCTGGACCAGAAGGTGCACGAATACGCCGAAGTGATGCACCGCGAGCAGGACGAGATGGACCGCCTAGACGCCGAGATCCGGGCGCTGCAGGAGCGGCGCGCCGACGCCGAGACGCGGTTCCTCGAGGCCAAGAGCAAGCACGACGACTACCGACGGCAGTACCTAGACGTCGAGCGTGCTATGCGCGGCGACCCGCTACCCCCTCCCACTCCGCGGGAACTGCCTCAACAACCGCACCAGGTGCCGCTGGCGCGACAGCAGACGCGGCCCATGAGTTTCCAGGACGATGACGACGACGACGACGACGAGTTCGCGCCTCCGCCGTCGTCTCATCGCCGCATTAACTCCCAGCAGTCATTCGGGCGGACCTCGCAGAAGATGAAGGGGGGTCGTTTCCGGTTCAGTTTGTTTGGGGACAAATGAACCAACCGGGAGTAACCCGGTTTGAAATTTAATGCCTTGAAAGATATATCAAAATGGAAAAGAGAGGATGATTGGTGTATGTAATAAAGATGGATGGACGTAGGTAACCTAATGATTTATGCTAACGTCTTCCACTTCATCAATGTAATATGATGGGGGATAATGGTAACGACAATTAGAGCATGGGGATGGGCGTCGTGGGAAGTAAATTTAAACTTTTTTTCAGGCCCTTGGCGGCTGAGACCCCCTCTATGTATGCTACACCTCGAAGATGAGTGTAATTGGATTCGGAACAAAGGATCGGGGAATATGAAAGCTATCAAATAATATACTTTTATCTATTACCTACGACCTAGGAACATCATACATGCTTCATTTCGTGTCAAGACCATGCCAGCTAAATCATCCCCCTCTATAAGCTCGCTGGCTGAACTCAGCACATACCAGAACTCATCTAGATCCCCCAGATACCCCTCCGAATCAGCCGATGCTGTCGAGGCAACTTCGAATACATGCACTACCACTCGACTCCCATAATACAGAGTCTTTCGAGCTGAGACGACCAACCGAAAGTCAGCGTAACGCGTGCGTATAGCAGTTGTTCTTCGATATCCCTAAGCGCAACGCTATCGAGAACTGTCAGGTCTTCCCACGATTGCTCCACGAGGTTGGTTTCCGAGTCATCCCCGATTTGTATCTCGTTCGATATGCCTCCAAAGAAAAGTTGGGTCCAAGCATCATCATGCCACACGAGCTTACTAGCCGTAATCATACCGCTTTCGTCAATCATTGACCCGATTATACGTGGGTTGAGTGCCAAATCTCGCCGCGTATCGCAATTCTTGCAAATTGCAACGGGTCTGTTGGCGTAAATTGGAATGCCGCAGCTGAATAGATATTTAGATTGAGCAAGATGAGATGTACTGTTGGACTCACCACTCAAAGCAACAAAAGGAACGTTTCCGCCACTGTTCCATCAATCCCATCTCGAGAATAATGACATTCAATTTCCCAGTGAAGTCGAGTCTCAGCTCAGGATTGCGCACCTGATCTTCAATATCGGCGATCGTGAATAATACCCGGTTAGGGCCACGAATTGCACGATTAATATCCCAAGTATTATGAGGGAAGGGGATGTGTACGCTCTGCTTCTTGCCCATATTCTTCACTTTATCTCTAAGCCAGTTGGCATCTGGAAAATCAGGATCCACGTCGACCATTGAGGTATAACCAATACCAAGTCCAGAGTGTGGACCGTCCTGTCGACAGGTCGGTTTGGATATAAGGAGAATAGTTTGATTTGGAATCCAAGTTTTGGCCGAGGGAACTTTATCCTGCCACAGCTTCAGGACGCAAGTTGCCGTATCGTCAAAGATGCTGACGTCCACCATATCAAGATCACACTGAAGTTTTTTCGAATAGACAGTTCTACGCGGTCCAACGCTTCTTACACAGACAAGAATCCTACCCTCTGCCATATCGTATCCGGTAGAAAGATAAGCCTTTAAGGTCATGAGAGCAGGGAGATAGTTATGCTCCTTTAAGTTATAGTCTAAAGGACAGCGCAATATACGGTGGCCATCCGAATCGGGAGGGTCGTTATGCAGGGCAATGTGTGTTGCAATGTTGCGGCCGGGATAAATCTTAGTAGATGATGCACAAAACGGTATGTTGCCCGTACCACCCTGAGTTGAAGCAGCAATAAAAGTCGCCCAAACCGTGACTCTCTGACCAAGAAACAATTGGTAGTCGGATGCTTTCATATAGTAGAGCTTGACCTACAAGATCCATTAGCGTCGAGATATGAAATAGGTAGGTCACTAAACTTTCATAGCCATACTGCAATAGCCCCTGATCCATCAGACACGACAAGAAAATGATGACCTTGCTCTTGGGGGTTGGTAGAAAAGTTTACAATCCTCCCAGAGATTTCATAGTTAAAAGGACCCGTCTGGAGGAGTGAAATGGGACATTGTTCGTATTCTCGTGGTGGTTTCCAGGGTCGTGAAAGCGGTTTCGTCACTACCTCTACTTCTGATGACGTGAAACCATCCCCCGGGATTTGAGAATCTGAGGAACCATTATTTACGTCATTTACGTCTTCGAGATTGAATTGTACTTCCCTCGAGTAGAAGGTCTGGATGGATGGGAAAGAGGTACCCATATTAACGAAATCAGCTTGGTAAGAGGTTAGGAGGTAGGTATCATAAGAATTGATGAAAGGTGTCAATGTTATTCCTTTTTATGATTTTTCTAAAACTTCTTATGTCGGTATAGATTTGGTTTGGCAGGTGTTTCCCACCGATCCATTGGAACTTCCTTATTTCATATCCTCAGAAACGCACCTACTTCATTATCATTTTCTCTAGAGCACGCTTTAAAGTTTAGGTTCCTACCTTAGACCAAGCACCAGTTACCTTGAGTAATCTCAAATCTCATATCAATGAGGTATGAGGTAAGTGCCTACGTAGCAGTACTTAACTTAAAATGATTTCAATTAAGGACATCAGGCTTCCTATTATCTACAATTGCTATATTCCCCACGCAATCTTCCATACCCCCCACTATTCGATTCATTTTTCTCTTATAGCTGTCTCCCTAAGAGCAATGTGCCTTTCGCCTATCATCACAGTAGCTATTTAAATAGCTCAAGTATCAATATTGACACGTGCCTGTTACTACGGTTCTAGACTCTAGGCTCCCCTTTCGTCGGGTGGTGGCGAAGATGCCGAAGTAAACAACACACGATTGAAATAGTTGAAATATATTGAATTCTTATTTGTCCAGCTACCTTCAACAAATCCAAATCTAGAACTTTTCGACTGAGCTACCTAATTAGGTATCAACCCCTAATGTTGTCGTACGTGGTCTATCTATTTCGCAGATCCACACCTTCCTAATGGGGTTGCTGCATACTTCGGGTCACATTGCATTGATGTTATAGCTTATTTCAACGACGAAAACTTTTGTATCTTTATCATTAAGACGAGTTATCGAGACTCTTTTTATAATATAGAGTTTCGTCGTTGGCATTGGCATGGTAGTTGGTGGGTAGCTTAGAAGACGGCCAAGGCTATTTATCCAATCAGCCCAAGGTCTTATATTAGACGGTGATACCGGTAAAGAATAAGGCTAGGCCGCTAGGGCGATAAAAATCCTTAGGGTGACAAATCATAGTCTTTTCGGGCTTGTACTATGATCTCAATATTGATTATTACATAGACCCCTTGCAGGTTATATTGTAGAAAGTGGACGGACTTCCGGACAGTAATTACATAAGATCAAGAACCCGAGAAACGAGATATTTCATAGATATATACTTTCTAAACTAAGGTAATTGAAATAGCCGCAGGTAGATTAGGTACTTTAATAAATTCTGTTTTGGCCCATCATTCAAGTTTGTGGGGATAGCTTCTTTATTCGCTTCCTTTTTCGGCGATAGGCACTAAAGCTGAATCGGTAGTTACAGTATGATACTAATAGCGCTAATGGAAAAATAACCTCAAATTTTCTCATGGTTAAAGCGGTAATGTAGGTAATAGAATTCCCTAGGAGGGTATGAACTGATTATGTGTTTTTAAGAACGCATTGCATCCACGGCGGTGTGACCTACTTAACCTTAGCTGGTTCGCTCAACACCCCCTCCCCCGATATCGACATTCCGCAAAGCATTGCTGTTGTACAAGCTTACGGCCTCGTGCCTGTGGGGTGTAGTTGGTCATGTCAGCGCTACTTTAAGCTTAATTGACCATGGGGAACCGATATGGGGAAGATTCTGACGACATCATCTATTCCCATATGTTGTGTAAAAGGGGCTGTGAGATCTTTGGGTTATGTGATGGAGATCGATCCTCTAGGTTTTGACGTAAAGTTTCTTACTCTCGACGTTAGATATCTAGGCACCTTAACCCCAACCCTGGAAAACATATAATTTACATAAGTAGTATAAAGTACTGGTGTTATTAGAGCGCTGTAGTCGCAGGGCCAAGAATGTAAGGATGCTGAATGTGTTTTCATAACCCTTTATTTTCCCCTCTTTTGACTTATAAGCTTGATCAACGTGGAAGATCCAGTTCGCTAGCTCATAATCATCGCGTATTAAGATGATCTAAAGTCGTGTCGAGTCTAGATCGAAGTCACGCGTATCGTAAGTGGAGCATTGAGAATAATAAGATAGGCATTGGCATGGTGCTAAGCTAAGATGATTTAATAAGGCCACTAATTCAAATCTTTCTGACTGGAGCATCATCCATAGGATTCACTAAGACTCAAATCTAAGTATCCAACAACAGAACATGAAGCTTCACGCGGATTACCATTTCGGGACTTCCCAATGGCAAGGAGAAATAATTTCGTCATAATTGAATGCGCTATATATAGAACCGGGATAGTCAAGGGAGGATATATTAAAGCGGAGAGATCTATATACCTAGGGCTTATAATTGGTCGAATATAACGTAACGAGACGGTTGCGTGGTATTAACCAACCAATTTTAAGAGAAATGTAATACGGTACAAGCACACACTTTTTCAGACACCTAAAAAAAGGTATAATACAAATATGTACATGTAGTGAGTTAAGTTAGTTTCACCACGTTGTGTGTTTGCGTACCACAGTGAGGACAATAGCGGTTGTTAGCAATGGCGAGACGCAAGCTTGCCGAATTAAGTACCTACAGCAAACCATACATTTGACAATTCAACACGTTTTTTAGTCCTGCATAAGGAGGTCGACTCGGGCTTCGTCCGTCAGATACGCATGTGGATAAAGTACCTAAACTTAGGATAGGCTAAGCCGAACCATTGTGTGTACGAGTTTTAATAAGGGAAGCACCTGATGAAAGCATGGCACGTGCAACTATCAATTGCGAATAGACATGAACTAAGAAAGAAACCCCAATAAAAGGGGTTAATTTTGAAATTAGAGGTCAGGGAAGAGGCTAGTTAGTAAGTCGGTAATAGACTCGAATCTTTCGAGTGTACCTACATAAGAAAGACAATGCTAAACAAAAGTCCACATGGCCGGGTACCTACCCTAAACGATACACTAAACGGTCTTCGTTAACAGTTCCAATCAGTGAAACAAACGTTAGGATGCGACGTAGATCTGGGGCCAATCTGGGGTAACTAGCGGTGGTTAAAGTGGAGAGGCTCATTATCCTAGTCTATTTCTAAGCGTATCAACGTCATTCCAGTGGAAACTAAGAAGTTCCACCAAAGTAGCCGAGCTAGTGTAGCTGTCCCTCGCTAATACTAACGTGCTAACAAATTTTTTTTTGTCGCATACAGTATAGAGGTAGGTATTACCTTGTTAGTGCCCGAGGGTAATTAGGTGTGCTACGTACAATACAATCTCAAGCCTAGGAAAAGGTCTTCTTCACAATTTACCTGGTGTACATACTCCCGAACCTGCAGGACAACTCCAAATACGCCAAGCTACTAACACGAATTAAAGAGAAAGAAAGAAAACATCTCATTACCGACATCTAAGCAATCAGTGCATTACAGCAGCCGAGAAGGGCCAGAATTGCGGCTTTTCTGGTTTCCATACTAGTATCTTTTCAGTCCTTCAGTCCTTTTTTTTCTCCTTCTCTCTCTCTCTCTCTCTTCTCATTGCACATTACACGTATACCCTTACGCACATACGGACAGGACATATACCAAAGACGCAAATACAACACATACCTAGGTAGCTAAGGTACACACGAGTCTTTGTGCATCCGTTTCCATTCCCCATTCTCGGGCATCTTCCCGCTACCTTCCGCTATCCTTTCTTTCTCCCTCGGACCAGGTCATTGTTGCTCACCTATGGCGGTCGCGGGGTAGGCAGTCTTGTCTACCTCATTTACGAAGTACAATACCAAGCTTCAGCTCTCCTCACCGCCACCATATGCAACTTTCTTACCCTCTCTTTTTGCCTCCCCTCTTCGCTCTCTCTTGCTACTCTTCGTCTTACTTGGACATCTCTGGCCATTTTATAATTTTATACACCCTTTGGTTGATATGTGGTTAAACCAACACCCCCCTGGAAAGTTGGTCTTCCTTACTCCAATTACGGCTCCAATTACGGCCTCAACGACAATTCGTTCTTAACGTCCCACCGGGCTGCACTTATATAAGCAACAACTGATTGCAACAACTGATTACAAGCCGACCAGTGCTACATGATTTTATTCACTTAATGTCCCCACGTAGTATAAATCTAGGAAGCACAATCGCCTTAACCTTAACGGGACCGCTTCGGTCAAATATACTATAACCTATAACCCACGTCCTCTTACGTCCCCTTAAAGGCATCTATCTCATCTCCTCCAAGGAGCGGATACGTTGTTCTAATGGCCTTGCCAGAGGTACCTAGTCGCAAACGACATCCCCATACTAAATATGTCGTCAGGCGATTTCCCCAACCGTGGTCCTGCGGTCTTTGCTGTGACCACAGCGACGCTTGCCCTGACTAGTTGCATCGTTGCGGCAAGGCTGCTTTGTCGGATCCGTATCGTACGAAGCGTTACATGGGACGACTACTTTATCGTTATTGCCTGGATCATAGCCTTTGCTCTTAGCTTTGCCATCGACCTGGGTGCTAGTAAGGGACTCGGCCGACACGATGAGGACATACCTGCTGAATATTGGGACACTTTGCGGCGTTGCGAATATGCCTTTTCAGTACTATATGTAAGCCCAATCCCGTCGTCGTGAAGGTTACGCTGGGCCCGAATCTAACCATAGCACAGAACCCGGCCTTAATGGCTACAAAGACGTCCGTTCTGGTATTTTACCTCCGTCTGTCTAAAAATACGCAGAAGGTATTACGACTAGCTTCGTGGGCCGTTCTGGTTATTGTCAACGTAGCTGGTACCGTCTTGACATTGATCAACATCTTTCAATGCCGCCCGGTCCAAGCGGCATTTGATCCATATCCCGATACGGCATACTGCATCCCATTGCTTACCGAGTTCATATGTTCAGCGCCGGTCAACGTTGTAACGGACCTCGCGATCCTAGCTTTGCCATTACCTGTTCTGACTAGTATGAGACTTCCACGGCGACAGAAAATCATCCTAATATTCACATTCGCTTTGGGTATATTTGTTACCATTGTCGATGTCGTCCGGATCTATTACCTCGAGCAGGCCATCACTCAAGTATCCTCAACAGCCTCAAGTAACCCGGAGGCAACGTTCGGAGATTCGTCTCAATTCGCCTGGAACGCATCCTTCTCACTCATGTGGTCTGCTGTCGAAGTCAATGTTGGCATAATCTGTGCATGCATTCCAACACTGAAGCCTCTCATCCGTCGTATCTTGCCTGCTATGCTGGTTGACCCCAATGCGACCCGGACATACGACAAGGACACCTCGACAGACGGGAATGGAAGCTCGAATACTGGTCGACTCCCAACCTCCGGCGTTCTAACTGACGACCAGATCACATCACCCTCTCAAACACATCCAGCAGGTAGTCGAGATAGTCAGGTGTCCGCCTTCGATTTTCTCACTGCGCCAGAAATGAACTCGCATCCAATTCATACGCCAGATCCGCTTGATCGATCGCCTACTGCGCTAACGAGCGTCACGGGGACCTATTCGGCGTTCGAAAACTCGGTATATTTTGGCTTTGTGAACATGCGTCGGCCAAAAAGCATGATTAGGACCTCTGTCCGGGACTCTTTCAAGTATTGCACTGTGGTTACAATCTTGTTTTTGTTATGGGGGTTCTCCTATGGCCTTCTTAACCAACTCAACGACGCGGTCGCCTCGGTCTCGGGCATGTCAATTGCTGAAACGATAGGATTATCTTCGATTTACTTCGGAGGGGGTTATCTAATTGGCCCACTGCTCGTTGGCGAGTGGATCTTGAGACATGACGAGCATTCCCGTTCGAGAAGAAAGAAAAACGGCCCAGATCAGATCGGCGGCTATAGGGCAACGTTTATTGTAGGACTCTGTTTCTATGGCGTGGGAACGATCATGTTTTGGCCCAGTGCTGTTCTGACTTCGTTCGCCGGCTTTATGATTTGCAACTTCGTTGTCGGATTCGGTTTGGCCATCATCGAAACAGGGGCCAATCCATTTCTTGTATTTTGCGGGCCGATGGATTACGCAGAAATGAGGCTTTGCTTAGCCCAAGGAATCCAGGCTATTACCACTGTTTTGAGCGGGCTTCTAGCCCAGAAGATATTCTTCACTTCCGACAGCACAGAGCCATTATCACTACTAGACGTCCAATGGACGTACTTAGCCATCACGCTTCTCTGTGCAGCACTGGCTCTCTTCTTTTATTACATGCCGTTACCGGAAGTTACCGACGCTGAGATGGAACACTCGACACGTTATCTCCCGGTGGACCCCCAGAAACGTAGCTACGGCGGGCTAAAACTTCGGACCTGGACCTTGACGTTGGCGGTTTTGGCCCAATGGACATATGTCGCGGGTCAGGAAACCACCAGTATCTTTTTCCACGAAATCCTAACTCAACAGGATCGCGTACAAGCCCCACCAGGTTCCAGGGACACGACAAAATTTTCATTGCAGCCTCCACCGGGTCTTGCGCTTTCAGTTCCAAACTATCTTCTTATTGCCCATACTGCTTTCGCCCTTTCGCGTTTTGTTGCCGCATATCTCGCTTATCTATCGCCGACTCACCCAAAGGTGCCACAGCCCCGTACGGTTTTGAGCATCACGACCGGACTGAGCATCGTCTGTGGTATTTTAGTAGCAGCTCTCCGTGAAACTAATCCGAATCTTATCGCCATCCCGGTGATACTCTTCTTCTTCTTCGAGGGACCTATGTGGCCTCTTATATTCACGCTTGGGCTTCGCGGGCAGGGAAAACGCACGAAACGGGCAGCGGCGTTGATTACCATGGGAGCTTCCGGGCCGGCATTCTGGCCATATGTCGTTTATGCGATCACCGAGCGAGGTGGCAGTGTTCAGACAGCTTTCAGCTTGGTTCCCGCTCTTCTTGTTGTTACTGGATTATTCTCTCTCTTTTTGGATTTGAAACGTGACGCCCGCGCGTTAGTTGATGCTCGAGTCGGCGCCGAGGACCAGTCTAAAATACAGGACCGAGCTAATCGGGATATGGACCTCGACACCATTCTTGCAGCACGGCGAAGGGCCTCGGTGGGTTTGATGCCTATCGATGAGGAGAAGTCCAATTTCCTCAAGCGCTTTTCAGTCGCGTTGAGCAAAGGGAGAACAAGCTCCGACCCTGGAGCAGCCACAGAACTCCACAGGATGAATGGTGGCAGTCCCGGCAGTCCCGGTAGTCCCGACAGTCCTGGCAGTCCCAGTAGCCCCGGTGGCCCTGGTTGAGACAGTGTAAAGAACTAAGGCCTCAATGAAATCTATAATAGCTATTAACAACTAGCGAGCATAATACTCCCCCCGAGCCGACTTCCTGGTGATAAAAATTTGCCGAGCTGGTTCTCGCCGAGAGAATTAGATGCGCCATGAGGTGAATTTGAGAGCCCTTGAGCTCTGACTCCCAATAATGGCTATCCTACTTATTCTCGGAATTTTGTTCCTTCGTTGCTTCAGCGAATGGGCATCCTCACCGAGGGTTTCCGATTTGCTTTAGTTCATACGCTCTCGGAAATATTCCAGAGATCATCATTCGGCGCATAGGGAATGGGTTCGCTAGAAACTGTCATTGCGAAGGTACGATTACAGGTATTCACGAGATTTTCTCTATGCTAATAAAATATCGACAGAAGATCATGACAATGAAAGTGTATATATATCTACCTCATATCAGCGCTTAAACGTGTTCGGGAACTTTGAGGCATCTAGAAAGCCCTAGGACTCAATCAAAGCTAACGAGCTAAGCTGCGGTCCCCAATGACGGAGTCGCTCACATTCAGGGGTCGAGTTATGCGACGGGGCTCACCTTACGCAATTAATATTGCAAAGATATAATAGATAACCCGAATGAGAACTTAATTAATGCTAGATATAGCTGTACGATATATAGCTCCAGTGAATTTTGACACGATGTCGATAGTGTCTTTGAGTACCTCTGGGAGGTATGTAGTCAAAGACAGCTCTTCGACAACACCCACTGGGTTAGGGACAATTCCAGCACTACCAGGTAAATTAACCTGCGGATATTTACGCTAAGAGTCAGTGCACCTTAGAGACGACCGGAAGCCTCGGGGTATTTAAATTTATCGACATTTATGGGGTCGGAGTCCGTAAAGTAAATCCTTATTGGCTAATATATTCCAATAACAATTCCAGCCATTCCTATCTGAAATCAACCATCATCAGATATCAAAGAAAAGGAGAGTTATCCTGGTAGCACCGGGGTAAATTAGATATTCTAAGGCCGAGCTGTGTATATGCATATAAAAGCTTACATGCGCCAAGCAGAACGGAATACTACCACTTATTACATATGAGCTTACCAATCAGCTAATCTATAACAGGCATCTAAGTGATGTCTTTCATTTGAATTTCTATCGTACAGCATCATATGTACAACGCTCTCATTTTATTCATATTTTTGCTTCAGCCTTATTCTTAGGTTATGTACCTATTTACCTGATTTTCTCTGTTATATTGTATTCAAATATAGAGGAAGCATAAGCGAGAGATCACCGTGTTAGCACTTCGGCATCGTGGATGTTGTGGGTCTGAGAGCCCTGGTATTTATTGAAGTCATCATGACTCCCCAACCCAAGCCGTCCAGCGGCTCTTCTCCCAAGGCTGGCCCGGGGGAGCCTGTCGATTCTAAGGATTGGCCCTCAGTAGTAGATGATTCTGCCACGGAAGAGACACCGCTCCTACGCTCCGAGTCGAGTTCTCCGGCCGCGGGCAGTGTATCATCTGCCACCTCTGAACCCTCGCAAGATGAAGACTCCCCCGACTTAGATACTCCGAACCAGAGGGTTAGTCGGGCACGAGGCCTAGCTATCATACTTAGCGTCTACCTTCTGATCTTCCTACAAGGTAAGCTCGACTTTAAGCTCCTGTTTGCTAGTTACTAACGCTGTCAACAAATAGCGACCAATATGTCGGGCATTACCATGGCGCAGTCGACGATAGCAGCCGATCTGGACTCGTACGAGAACGCAATGTGGTTCACGACAGCGTTCCTCGTAGCCATGTCCTCGTCGACACCGCTAGTCGGGAAGTTGGCCTCTATCTTTTCGCCTCGCACCATGGTATTATATTCGTCCACGCTCTTCGCTGCCGGATGCTTCATAACGTCGCAGGCCCGTTCATTCCCGGTCTTTATCCTGGGGCGACTCGTCACGGGGTTAGGTGCCGGCGGCTCCACGGCCTTGGCCATCGTCCTCATTCTCGAGCTAACGACGAAACGAAAGCGAGGGCTGTTCGTTGGACTGCTGTGAGTTGTCATATGAATTGATTTTAATCGCATATATTCTATATCGAAGTATATTCGGAGCATAACGGGTTCTAATATTCCTGACCAGGAACGCCGGCTTCACTACGGGCGTCTCGTTAGGAGCTGTCTTATCCGGTGCGCTGATATCTGTAACTGGCTGGGTAAGGGTCCTATCTTCCCTAGACTAAAATATAAAAACTTATGTTGTCATCTAGAGAGTTCTCTTTTGGGTCCAAGTTCCCCCCAGCTTAATCGCCGGGCTCGGAATTCACTTCAGTATCCCGCATACGTTCTCATCGGGGCCAGGCTCGAAAGACGGTTCACTATCCACAAAGTTGAAGCGGATCGATTATCCGGGCGCTCTATTCTTGGTAAGCTTCAGGTCCAAATGCATACGTGTATATCGACATCCCACTAATCTCATGCAGACCGCCACTGTCGTACTTTTCCTATACGGCCTGTCTGGTACTATCCAAGTCGTGCCGCTTCTTATCTCGTTAGCGACACTTATCATCTTCGTGTTGATCGAGTATTATGTTGCGGTTGATCCTATTATTCCGATTACTGTCATTCAGAACCGAGGCGCCATATTAACATGTGTTTCCCAACTTGGTTTCATGGCAGCCCGCTGGACGGTATTGTTCTATGCTCCGATCACAGCACTCGCAGTGCGCGGCTTCACCCCGGCGACTAGTGGTAGTATTCTTATACCTACGAACTTAGGGTTTGGCCTCGGTGGACTTCTTGTCGGTGTAAGTTGTTCCTATCCTTGTTTGTTTTCGACAGTTTACTAAAAGTGTTCTAGTGGCTGCATGTTCGGCGCACTGGGAGCTTCTGGGCTTCTTGCATTACATCGTTCATCCTCTTCGCTGCAAGCCTCTTTGCGCTCTCGCTAGCATCCACCCCAGACATCCCGATTTCCCTATACATCATTACCGTCTTCCTAAACGGTCTATTCGCTGGTGCAGCGCTAAATTATACACTCGCGCATCTACTGCATCTTACGTTGCCGGATACTCACTATATAGCTACTAGCCTGTTAGGTACATTTAGAGGATTTGCGGGCAGCTTCGGCAGCGCGATCGGTGGTGGCATCTTCTCCAGGACCCTACGAGCGTCCCTCGAAAAGGGATTCAAGTCAATCGACGGCCCTAGCGGCCCTGAGGACCACAGTGAGCTAATTAGGAAGCTTATCGGTAGTCCGGCTTTGGTCTTCAATGGCGGTCTTGGGGCCAAAGAGCAGACAATTGCAGTACAAGGTTACGTTGACGGGCTGAAAGTTCTATTCCAGGCTGCTGTGGTTCTGTCCATAGTCGTCTCGGTTGTCCAGGCTGCTACGGGGTGGAAGGGTCCGGGGGATAAGGCGAAGTACCGGGAGAGCGGGAGTAGCAATGCTCTATGTGATCAGGTGAGTGAAGATGAAGAGTAGTTCAGTTGATAGATTAGATTTTCGGTAGTCGACTCCTAAACGATAAATATTTCTTGTCAAGATCAATATCCATGCTACATCAGACGTTCTATCATGATTAAATAGATGGTGTAAATAATTCGGTTGTATTCCCGCTCGACCAACTTTCGGATCAGATATAATATTCGTACATACCGAACAACGGACAGTGTAAGTAATACTGTAAGACTTCGTCATCCTATCATTTGGCTTCTGTCAGTTTGGGGAAAGAACTCCAACTATATCGTCAACCAAGCTCGCAATTGGTGGGAGATATTTGTTCATTACGACTTCCCCGCCAAGCGGAGACTGGAGTTGTGTAAGCGATACGGGACTTGTTCCGCAAAGGGGTATTATATACCTACCTACCTAGGTAGGTAGGTATATTAGGTATAGGTACCGCCTAAGGTGGTTTATACGATCAAGAAACTAGTTCTCACTTCTTATTCAACTTATCAGGTAGTTAATTGAACAATTTCATATTCGCAAAATGTCTACCACAGAGACGATCACCAAGACAACTCCATCATTCTCCGTCGCTCAGAGAACCTCGGTTAATAGGTCCAACGAGAAGGAAAGGGTTGAGAACCCTCCTCAAGTCCAAGTGGTCGGTACGACGAAGAGCGGAAAGAAACTAAACATTAGGACTTATCCTAAGTTCGAGAACCTGAAAGACGAGCGGCTCTATCGGAAACAGCACTTAGCAGCGGCATTCCGGGTCTTCGCCGATCGTGGCTTCGACGAGGGCGTTGCGGGGCACATCTCTGTCCGGGATCCTATTCTAACCGATCACTTTTGTAAAGCCCCAAGCCTCTAGGAATTCATATTCATATTTCTAACTCTAGTCTTAGGGCTGAACCCGCTCTCGATGCACTTCTCGTTAATCAAGGTGTCCGACCTGATCCTTTGCGACGAGGATGGCAACGTGGTCGAAGGCGACGAGCCCGTGAACGCGGCCGCGTTCGCAATCCACTCGCAGATCCACAAGGCGCGGCCGGACGTGCATGCGGCGTGCCACGCGCATAGCGTCCACGGCAAGGCGTTTTCGGTCTTCGGCCGGGAGCTGGAGATGATTACCCAGGATGCCTGTCGCTTCTACAAGAGCCACGGAGTATACCGAGACTTCACGGGCGTGGTTCTCGACAGCGAAGAGGGAAGGAGAATTTCCAAGGCCCTTGGGAACGGGAAGGCCGTTATACTGCAGAACCACGGTCTACTTACTGTTGGCGGTAGCGTCGACGAAGCGGCCTTCTGGTTCATTAGTCTCGAGAGGACTTGCCAAGCTCAATTACTTGCGGATGCAGCTTCGGTTTCGGGACACAAGAAAATTCTCATCGACGACGACGAAGCCTCTTATACTTCTCTCCAGGTTGGAGGTCCTGAGAAGGGATGGCTTGCTTTTCAGCCATGTAAGGTTTTGCTACTTATTAATCGATACTCGTCCATGTTCAACAATATTTGGTACCTAGTACATTCTTTCTAACATTTGCTAGATTATGACGAGCAACTCGCAAAGACAAAAGGCGACTTTTTGAATTAATAACTACTCCGATGCTTCTCATTTTCTGGCTATGTGCCGGTCTACAGAAATAGATGACCAGGAGGGAACGTCACAGCAACTTATATTTTCTATTTACAGCTTACCAATTGGGAAAGCTTTTATGGAAAGGGATTGCCTAAATACCTTAACCTATCCATAATTGATACTGTATGCAGGATCCAGCTACGTGGTGGCTTAGCTCTATAGTTTCTTTCATATGACCTAGGTACGTATAGTTACACATGTATAACTACCTCAAGTACCTTATAAGTCTACCTCTGACTCAAATACCTAACCTATGAGGCTATGCCAAAGTCCCATAGCTCCTACTCAAAAATGGGAAAACAATATGCGCAAACTGGATCAAGTGGTTAGATTGCTATGAGCATGTGTTCATACAATTCATCCCTTGTGGTATCATGAGCTGTCATTATGACTTGTCTATGTATAACGTTGCTTAGCAACACCGCCGGCTCCCATGACATAAATACAATCCCTAGGTATCTTTGCACTCCGGTATTCATATAGCTAAAGATTTCAGATCAAAAGGGTGGTCAAAATAGACAGAATCCCAAAATCCGACCAAGTTACCTTACCCAAAACCGGTTGAATCTCTCGTTCATCCTAACGCGCCAAGTTCGAAAATACGGATCAAACGCCCTGACTCACTCTAGAAAAATATTTGGTTTGATCTAAAATATTGTAATTTAGGTAGTTCCTCTCATCGCATCTCATTCTTGTATCCCTCGCTTCAAGATGGCAAGAAGACAGAAGCAGGCGGAAAACGCCACAGTCAAAGCTATATCTGATGATATCGTGGAAATGTACAACAGAGGTATCCCATTATTCACCAAAGAGGACATCTTTCGAACCGCCATACAGCTTGAAAAGTACAGAGACGATGAGCTAGAAGCTCTCAAGCTCCATTTCACTAATATGAAGGGAGAAGATGTCGAGATTACCCTCGACCCGAATAAGCCGCCAGTTTGGGTGGATAGGCGGTGCAACCATGGTTACAAACGGTAAAAGTTTTACACAATTACCTTTTTTTCCCCTAATTTAAATCATATACTAACTTCTCAAAAGCGTTGGTCCATATATATACTACCGTTCAATACAAAATATCCTCGCTCAGGACGATATGATAACTCCCGACCCCCAGAAAGCCTGTCTCGGAATAGGGGTTACGTGGCCAGGCCCATGCCCGCCGGTACATCGCCACAGGGTGCCTCCGCAAGACGCAGCTCCGTCCACCGTCTTCTCTGCAGCGGAGCTAAGTCAAGTATTCAACAGCGTGAGACAGCAGTGGGAGACGAGCGAACAGTACAACCAGCTCAAAAAGCTCCTCAAGTCGAAAAGAGCGCAGTTATCTAGCGTCGAGAAAATAGTCGTTTTCGCCCTGGGCACGCTAACCAATGGCTCGAGAATTTCAAACCCTTCGATGGTCCAGCACGCGCTTGTCCTCAGTCTCCAGCAGATGTTGTCGAAGATGAAAGGAGGCGACAACAGGATCTCCGGAATATTCCAGACTATTAAGGGCTCCTTGTCGAGGAGCAAGGCGGCTGAGCCTCCAATCCCATGTTTTGCGCAAGATCCGGCTTACTTGCCCCGAGACAAGACGGTCCTGTCAGAGGCAGGAATCACGGTTATAGAGGACCCTTGGGCGTTTCTGGAAGTGGACCACACGAGTCTCGTGGTGTCTATCGATCCCAACATTCCCGTGCGGCAGATCATCGCTGATATCGCACGCCCTGTGGCGATTATCCAACACAAAATGATGGAGATGAATGGGCCAAAGTCTCTAGCTTGGTAAGTTTTGCTCCTATTTTTCTTTTCGATACTGTAGAACACTGCTAATCACTTACAAATACTCATAGCGCTGATCACTCGTCTACCCGAGTCCAACGGATGCTAGAAGATGAGTACGACGAGGAGCATATAGCTTATCACGAGTCTTTACATGACGTTGTCATGTACATCAGAAAGCCCACCCGCAAGTAGGAATCGTGTAACCAACTTCTTAGTCCAGTTTGAACCGGCTGTTATTATTAGAGCTAATTACTCGATGTCGCTAGGTAATATAGCTTAAAACCAACACATATACATGCTTATGCCCGAGTTCTATCGTATCATAATAAACCACGCTCTCAAAAGGGAGAATTCCTGAAACCCACCTCCCCCCTCAAAAGAAGAAAAAACCAGACCGAATTCTTAACGATTCTGAAAATGCACAGAATTCGAAATTTAACTTCCATAAAAAAGAGTATCAGTAATTTTAGAGAGCGTGGTAATACTTCTCCGCAGTTTGGACCATTTTCTAGAAATCGCCGCTCGCCACCTCCTGAAGCAGCAGCAGCTAGAGGGGCCGTCCGCGCCCCGGCCCGATTTTCAATCCTCACCACCGCAGCATATCTTGTTGATCCAGTACGCGCAGCAGCTGCAGGGTTCTTGGATACAGTTTCCGGTGTCCCCGCCACGGAATGTGAATTCGCCGTTTTCGCTCCCGTCCGGTCCGGCTTGGGTGGCTCCAACTCTACCCTGTGACAGGCTCCCCACCCGCCGCACTTGTCGCTGTGGTCCCTGGGTCGAGTTCTGTCCCTGTTGATTATCCTGGCTGGTCTGTCCGGTGAGGGCCGGCTTAGGTGGTTCTGCTTGATCGGCGTGTGACACTCCGGTCATTGGACCAAGCGGGACGTCCTCGTACTTCGGCTCGCCATTATTGCTATTCCTTTGCTCTGCTGGGGTATTCGACCCTGGATTGTCAGGGCCTTGTTGAAGGAAGCTATTAGGATGGTTATTAGAGAGTTAGTGCCTCGCAGATGCTTGGTGGTTATGGAACTAAGGATAACGCACCCAAAGAATCTCCTTAGACGCTTAGGGCCGTTGGCATTTCCGGTGTTATAATCTTGAGAAGATCTTCCGTGTTTGGGCGCGCCGCTGCTGCCTTGAGCAAGGCTCCCGTGCTGGGGTTCAGCAGTCATCGGGAGCTGAGGTTGAGGTTCTGTTTGAACAGCGCGATCCATTTTTACCGGTTATATTATGTAGGTGGTATAAGTTAAACGATAGACTGTGCTGCGTGCTAGGTACTCTGTAGTATTGGACGGTATACTTGATGCTTCGGTCCAAAATCGAATAATAGTCAGCTAGATAATTCGTCAATGTTGTAAGATGTAAGAGAGAGGAGAGAGGTTTTGTAGGCAGAAGCCTCTCCTCTCTCTCTCTTGCCCTGGCTCAGTCATAGTTTCCGTCCGCGAGTGAATGAATAAGGAAGTCATGATGAAGATATTCATCTTATACTCGATGTCAGGCAGGAAACATCTGACGTCCAACGCGTTAGGCAGGTATACCTAATGACGTGTGTCCCCCAGTGGTGCGTTCCGTTCCGGTGAGTTCATTTCTGTTGGCGACGCTGGGATTCGAGAATCGAGGTGGCCAGCTGAGGCCAACGTTTCACGAAATGCTGGCATACATGTAATCACACACACCATGATCCTCTATTAACTCACCATATTATATTCACAATCAATAATCAATACGAAAAGTAAGCGGGAGCGGATGAGTTGGTAGGCAATGAATAGGAATCGTATAAGTAAAATTAATTCTTGACCTAGGGCGTTTCGCTGCGAGGTCTTATCAATGGGCCGACGGCATAACCAATATGCTCATCAGGCCGGTTTCAATATTAAGCGCTGGTGATGATGCGGCATGAATACTCTTCATTTCATGTAAGCGCTAAGCCCATGATACGATTTACCTCACACCGAAACCGCCGTGGCTACCGATTATTCACATTTAAGCCTCATTTAATTGAGTGATAGGACTACCTAATTTTAACATTTTCACCGAGTTTATCGTGACCATCTTCGGTTTCGTATGAGTGCTTTGCGCCTATTTGTTGAGCCTGTTGACCTCATTTCAAAAATCGCGCCGCATTTCTTACATGCCTTGGGCACGTTAGAGACTTGACTAATTTACCTTCGACGTATGCACCAGGTATTAGACCGTATGAAATGACTAGATACCTCGTATAACTCATCCTAGGTCTGCCGTAAGTTCCTTAAGGGGATATGTTCATGAGCCTGTAGACTGCCGAGGTAATTTACCACTCCTTAAGATTTAATGTTCTACTTATACCCGTGCTCCTTCCTCATTGTAATTTGATCCCCATGTCTTCATCAGCTTGGTCTACCGATAGTGCTTGAGTTGTAACTAGAAATATATAGTGTTTACTCATTGATATGCCAGCGACTTTGCACTGTGCTACGGCTAACAATTGGTAAGTTATCTAATATATATACCCGGCATCCAGGAAGACTTCTTAAGACCTTACAGTCAACCCATTTCCGTTATTATCTTCAAATTCATATATTCTAGTATTCGTTTGTGTCTATCTTAATATCTTGATATGATGACTAGAATTATCCACTGTGAAAGGGGTGAAGTACCGGGTTGTGACTAATAAAGACAGTACTGTAAAAAGTCCCATTTTCCCCGATATATTATTTCTAGAGCATGGGTGCAATGCCTTATTATAGCCCTTGGGCGTTTATTTCCGATTCGTACAACTTCTGCCTAGGTAAGGAGTGGGATTGAATCTTTAGAGTCATATTACGGTATCACTTACTGGGGTCAATTAGTTGCCTCAATGTATACCATTTGACGAGCCTCTTGCGAGCGTTGTATTTGTACGTTATTGTTATCATTAATATTTGATATATATCTAAATACAATCCCTTTTCTTTAATAAGACTATAAACAAAATGACATTTCTACTGGTCATCTACCGTTTAAGAATCAAGTCAACATTAATAAACGCTATAAATATACGTATCTAAGTACTTGATGTGTGCCACCACACAGCCCTTTTAAATTAATTGCAACCCATTTCATTAAAGGTCATTCAAACCAGTCTTATGTATATGGTTGGGAAAACCAGGTGACTCTTAAGGAAGCACATGACGGATACCTATAGAATATATCTAGGTAGGTACCCAGCGATTATAACACAGGAATGAAGCAGATTAGAGACCAACTATCATCATAACATCACTTTACAAATATTAACATACTAGTTCTTAGTGAATTATTATAAATGTATTGTAGCTCATTAAATTAGAAATGATACCAATGAGTTGTCTATAGGACATTGACTTCAAGGGTCAGATAAAGAGCTCAAGCTGTAGACTGAGGGCCTAGTCAAACCACAAGCGTAACTTTTCTACCCTACGTACAAACGACATAACCAACACGATAGGTTGTAAGTTGTAACTAAACGAAACCTCGTTCATTATGTCAAATGCTGAGTCACTTGAGCGGCTGTCGTGACGTAATAGGTACCTGGCCGGCCGGTCGAGGGACTTGAAGTTGAACAGATCAGCGTTTCCAGCAAAACAAAAAAAAATTTTGAAAAAAATAAGAAACCCTGTTTATTTGACGAAATTCATACTTTTGTTTGACTTAGTCATCTAGCATAATAGGGCTGAAATCAGCCCTTGAAACCCTTGAAGCCCCTATTCATACTAGCTACCTCGGCAGCAAAGGCGCCTTCACAGCTTCTAAACCTCTTCGAAGTTGTCTGTTAGCCAATGCTTACAGTATTGGGTAGCCTCAAAGGGTATTAGGATTGTAGGGTGCACTATATATGTATGAACAAGGTAAACTTACAAGGGCTCACCGCCAGGATACATATTAAAAGTAGGCCTGACATGGGTCTGAATAGCCTCATATTTTTGGTGTCCACTCAAAAATTGAAAATCCATACTTTTGATTAGCCAAAAAAAAACCCGTTTGATTTGTTAGAAACGCTGGAGTAAATCTATTTTCAGATACCCCAGAAAAGAAGGGAGATGAAGATGCAAAATCATCAAGATAACGGAGCTCATCCTGCCGCATCTTAGCGCACTCATTATGATTATTCAATGCACGTAGTTGAAATAAATAGAAAGACGATCTTATATACCTAAGCCAGTCGATTCGTCTCTCGTACGGTGAAGGATCAAAGTGAGCGAATAGACAGCCAGATAAGTGATCCGGGATATTTAAATGGTGACATTGTTGGGTAGTATTGGCGGTTCGCTACGCGGGCAAAGGAATGTTCTGTTTCCGCCGTCAGCTCGGCTCGGTCCCGGCGATTTGAAACCTTTTATTAAGCTGGAGAATCTGCAAGGCCGGCAGTTTGGGGAACACAGGGGGGGTCAGGTGCGTCTATGGGATTCTGGGATGCAATGATTACCGACCTCCTATAACTCTTGATGATAGCAAATGTTACCCAACTATGTAGGTACCTTTTAAAACCTCGTGGATTTGAAATGTAGGTTTTCTTTTTAAAAATACCAAAGAGTGCCCAAGTTCAGCTATTAAAACATTACAGCATAAATTTGCAGCACGGCGGTGCTGCTATATTTATACTCCGGCTCCGTTACCTGATACTTACAGGTAGGTATATAAGGCTTGATCTTTCAATATTGGTTATGATAGGATATTTACTGCGAGCATTATTAAATGTGCTAATCACCTGGGCAGCACAGAGCTTTGTGATACCCCCGGGGAAATTAAATCGACCGTAGATGAAGGGGTGACGTTATTGGAGCAATGCTGTCTTACGTTCGGAATGTTATACGATTCATTGAACATGGCTTATGGCGGTCTAGGCGGTGTGGTATATTCATTAAGAGCCACAGGCGAACTGCTTAATCATGATCAAGGCCTGTCTTAGGTATTTAAATACTCTAAAACCTGCGTCTACATCGCATTACACAGACATGTTATTATGTATTCCGTAGCATTGTGCCCTTTTTCCCTCACGTGTGACACGCAGCGGCCATACCGGTTCGCACGTACTCGATGTTACCCAAACTACAACAAGCCATTGGAAGTAACCGATATATTTATGACAATCTCACAATAACAGGACTATCCTAGGTAGGTACCTAGCTAAGTTAATGACTCTATTAAAGTTACACAGGGGGGAAAAAGCGAAAAACGACTCTCCGCCACCTCCCCTCTGGGTGAGCATTGCCACAAGTATTTATATACTCTAGTAACCTAGGCTAGGGACTTTGCCGTTTAAAGGAACGCTTGCGATTGGATAGAAAAGAAAGATGAACGAACCTTCCAGCCCCTACCACGAAACACATACTGACATATAGTCTACGTGATGATTCCGTAAAACATAAAACTTAGAGTCCTCGAGAGATCGACAGAGAAGGATTCTAGACGGGACTCAATAGACTGTTTTATGTAGTATCTGCAGACTGCGACCACGATTCTCACCACCTAGCCCGCCCATGTGAGAGGTACATACGCATCGGCATATGTCTCAACGATCTGACCGCACAGCGCGGCGGTACCCAGATGTAACGCACCCCCCGTCTACCAGCAGTTCGGTACTCCCGCGGAACAAGTGGCGACGTGAGCAAAGCCATGCTTGCGCGCTGCAGCCCACGGCGCGGTAGTGCACATCTTTGCCCTATGCCGTAACACTTCCCGCGTATCGACCCTACCACACCTCTCCGACCGACTGACACACATTTAAAGCGAGAAGGAATGCCTCAGCACGCATGTAGTTTTCCGAACAGAGGCTCCGTCAATCAATCGCATTGGTTCCCGCCTCGCCCGATGTGACTTCGCCGACCTGTTGGGCGGAGTCCGGCTGAAGCAGCGAGGTCTGTAAGACTTTTTTTTTAATATAACTTCAGCCTGGGCTGCTGTATTCCCTTTATCTGTCTAGCTTCTATTGATCCCGCTTTTCTTGCCTTGTCTTCGACGTGAAGACAGTCGGTCAACCACCTAATGCCTATACTTATGTTAGGAGTCGAGTCAGGATGAGCGAGAACGCAGTGGTGCCGAAGCTGCCCGCTGAGAATGGCATACACGTACGGAGGACGGCCATAGTGATGCCTTTCATCACTTTCATGTTCGTGGTCGCGAGGTTCTATTGCAGGATCTACATAGTAAGACGGCCATGGGCTATCGATGACTGTAGGTTTTTGTCTCCAACATTCAACTTGGATTTCTCTTATTAGTTGGAATAGATGTGGTGGCAGCGACGATGGTCAGTATTATCGTCCACGCCATACTCATGGGCATCGCCACTTATCACGGCATGGGCTTGCACATATGGCAATTTACGCCGGAACTCAACTCGGAATATTATCTCTGGATCGGCATCTCCTCGGAATTCTACGTGACGAGTCTGGCCGGCTTTAAGTGCGCTCTGCTCTTGCTCTATCTGCAGCTCTTCGGTGTCAATCAGAAATTCAGGGTAGCATGCTATCTCACCATGTTTTACACGCTTGGCTATCTGACTTGCAACGCCCTTACCGAGTTTTTTGGTTGCCATCCTATAGCCAAGAAATGGGATGACGACCTTCCCGGATGGTGTATCAATAGAGTTGTAGTGAATATCATTTACGGAGCTGGCCACATGACGAGCGACCTCATTATCGGTATCCTACCCCTAGTAATGGTATGGAGGCTACAGTTCCGAACAACGAGGCAGAAGATTGGGCTCAGCCTAGTGCTTAGCTGTGGTCTTATGTGAGTGGAATATGATACCCCCCTATAAAGTGTCACTGACCGTAAGGTAGTGCCTGGGCTGTGGCCTGTGTTCGCTGGGCGTTCTCAACATACGACTCGTTATCCTACGACCGTCCTTGGTACGAATCTAACCTTTTTATCGACCCCCTAATTGATATTATACTAGATCAAAATACACCTAATCATTGCTAACTAGTTTCGTAGGTGGTCCGGTATCAGTTTCACCTTCTCTATCCTTGAGGTGAACACAGGACTCATTTGCGCCTGCACAGCGACCTTCGGTCCGTTATTTAACAGCTTCTCTTCGCAACTTAGATCCTGGTCCCATCGGGCGACAGCGAGTTTGCCCAGTAACTCCCGAAAGGCAACGGCGAGCTGGCGTAGTTCTCGACAGGACAGAGACCAACCTACTTGGAGGCACGATAGTCTCTCCGGCGACCTACCCCTGATGCCCCCTATCGCCCATACAGAGGGCTACAACAATAGCTTAGAAGATGGTTCATACCGCATGGAGTCAATTGTCACCTCGAATGCGAAACCATCGTCGAGTGCCGGGTCGGATGACGGTTTTACTCGGTTTGATCTCCAGGGGCTACAAGCGCTGCACCCTGACGATGGGAAGATGGTGTAAAAGACCGAACATCCCCGTTAACCAAGTAATTCATCCGCTGGCTCATGAAATATTATTAGATGAGCTGCGACACCGTTCTGCACTTCGCCTTAACGCTTCTATGCGGTGTGACATAGCTAGGCCGGACCGCGCCGTCGTCGCCATTCATATGACACACCGTCAATTATTTTTAGGAGGTATATTTACCCACCGCTCAATCACGATACAGGCTTGGAGGCGCTTATGGTAAGGAAAATAAGGAATCACGTCGTCAATTCTATGGATACCCCTTTTTGTTAGTGGATTAGGGAGGTAAATTCAGGTTCAAAAAATATACATAGTGAAATGGTAATGGATAATTTAATCGTAATGCTGAGTGAAATTTATCGTTCAACACGGCCTTAACGAACGGTACCTTTAGGAATAAAAACGTGCCGTATTAATAAAACGCCAACTCAAATAAGAATATGGCATGTTAAGCCGTATAATAATAATTCAGACCAAACTTTGAATTGAGACGTATTGAGATAATACAATACCAAATAATACCTAAATATCCTTTTAACTACAGCATATTCCCAGGCTAGTACGTATTGCCATATAACTTGAAGGCCGTTTTCCACACCGTACAAAATGGTTTATATTAGTTAGTTACTATGCACGCCAAGAATTTTCATCGTTAAGCTCGTTTCTCACGACTCAAAACTTAATTCTCAGTTGATTCGAGCTCATCAACTTAACCACCACGATACACAACTATTTACCTGTTATAAACAAGATTTCCGCTTATTTGAGAAGGCAATTCAACTTAAATAACCCAAGGTGTTTAAGAATTCACCAAGAATACGTATAGGTATTTCCCTGTTTCTATATGTTATGTCCAAGTCTTACTAACATCATATAGCTCACTCCTGGATCATAGCTTTAGACTTATATGGATGAAGGGAAATAAGTATCCTGGTGGTGCATTTACATACTATTCGACTCTAGCATACTTTTAAAAAGCTCCTCAACTTAGGGGAGGCAGTGGAGACACATAGTAGCCAGGGACATTGAGATGCGACCACTGCTGCGACAAGTCGCTGCGGCGCCTCTCCGTTCTAAACCATGTCACGAGCTGTTGAGGACACGGGAACTCGATGTCCTACTACTACGGTCTAGCAATACGCTAATCCCCCAACCCGCAATGCGGAGATCGACCCAACTATCGAGGGGATGTAATGCCTGTCGCCAGATACGACGGTACGGTAGCAACGCCACAACCACCCTTATACCACCAGAGGACGTGAACCTTGTACCACCAGAGGACGTGAACCTTATACCACTAGAGGACGTGAAATGGGGAAAGGCGAAAAAGTCGGACCCCCTACGTATCCTATTCTGCGGCTCCGATGAATTCAGCTGCGCTTCTCTCGAGGCGCTGCACGAGGAGCATTTACGCAACCCGGCACTCATCCAGTCCATCGACGTCGTGGTCCGGCCGGGTAAGCGCACGGGGAGAGGGAACAAAATCATCCAGCATCGTAAGTTCTCTCATCTCTATCCCCGTACTTATCCCAGTCAATACCGTCTAGCACAGCAATATTTATTATACGTATTAACAAGAAAATACAAAGCGCCGATTAGAGATCTAGCTAAGACGCTAGGCCTTCCGATACACAAGAGGGATACTTTTACAGGGTGGAACGTGAGTTTGCTGTTCATTGCATAGTTACATGTTATATACAAATACACTCACTCCCCTTCTTCTAATCTTCTATAACTACCTAATACATAACACACATCCATACTTACACATCCCAGATGCCCTCTCACACCAACCTCATAATCGCCGTATCCTTCGGCCTCTTCGTGCCCCCGCGTCTCCTCCACGCAGCTCAATACGGAGGTCTAAACATCCACCCGTCTCTCTTACCCGACCTGCGCGGGCCCGCCCCGCTGCAACACGCCCTCCTCGCCGGCCGTGCCTACACCGGTATCAGCCTGCAGACGCTCGACGACCGAGCCTTCGACCACGGCTTGGTTCTCGCGCGCACGCCGCCCCTGCCGATCCCGTCTGACACCGACTACGCCGCTTTACTCGCCCTCGTGACTCCCCTAGCCGCGGAGTTGTTGGTGCAGGGGCTAAGGCGCGGGGTACACGTCCCGCCGCTGGAGGAGGCGGGGGAACATGCCCTTGGGCCGGAAGAGAGCGAGGGTCAGGGCCAAGAGGTGAGGGAGGTGGTGCGTGTGAAGACGGAAAATCTCCTCCACGCGCCTAAAATCACAAAACAAGACCGCCAGCTCCGAGCCAGTAATCTACCACAGTTATGGCGGCGATACCGTGCGCTAGGCCCACTGTGGTTTTGGGCGCGCGATCGGCAGGGTGTGCGGAAGCGCGTTATTATCGAGCGAGTTGCCGGCGAAGATGCCGGTTTGGCAGATGTAGCGCTTGCTTTTACGCTCGCCGCAGATATGAGTTCCAGCTTTGTGTTTAATTTACACGCGAAGCAAAAGGAGATTTTGGTCCTCGATGCGGCTGCGTATGCTGCTGCAGATGGAGTCGGGCCTAGCGTACCGCGGCTGGTAGCCTTTGAGCAGGACGATAATACCGCTCCTAGTATTGACGGCATAGATATCAGCGAGACGGCAAACAGTGCCGGGCAAACTCGCCTTGTGCTATGGTTCCCCGAGGGAGATAGCGACGTGTGTTATTTAGGACCCTGCCGTATCGAGATGATAAAGGTTGAAGGTGACAAGGCGAAACCGGCGGCGCGGGCGCTAAAGGATTTCCTTGTGTCGGTGGAATTACCTACGATTGAATAACAGAATACAAGGACGGGTTAGTAAGGAAGAGGAGTGGTTGCGAGTAAGAAAAGTGAACCTGTATAGGGATCAAGCAAATCACGTAGCAAAACAAAGACCAAGCACATATATCAGAACAGAGATTTATTAGTACATGACAGATAGTCTAGCTCCTTGTAGAACTAATGTCGACACATAGTAGTAATACATTGGTGATAGGTTCTTCGCATCGAATCATCATCATAACAGAGGTACGCCGCCCGCCGAATCTTGTCCCGGTACATAAGGTAGCTGACACGGAAGGAGACATACTCATGTCTCATAAAACCCGCCAAAATCCCGCCTCGAGTTCCAGCCAGCTTTACAGCAAGATGGCTTTCTTGAAATATCCTTCATAGTAGTTTCGTCATAGTCACACATAATAGTAGTAATTAAGAGGGATGGTTGTAGTAGTGGCCGGAATCCCGATGGGACAATCCCCCACTTGTATACGGTCCGAGAAGTATTTACTTCTGCTCGTCCGATGAGCTTCCCGCGCTGGAAGAAGTCTCGATCTTACTGAGGGCGATTTCGTCCTCAAGCTCAGGCCCGTGGAGTCTTTCCTCGAAGACGGGTTCGGGTTCGATGATCTCAAACTTAGTCTTGAACTCCCCGTGGGCAGAGAAGCTACTACTATTGGAGGGACGACGACGGGCATTGACAAAGTTGAAGTCCTCCTCGGCTACTTCAGAACCTACTGGGCCCCTGGAATTGTTCAGTTAGTATAATTGCATCAACAATTCGATATCATGGTCTGTCAATATTAACAGCAATGATATATAGGGGAGATGGGCTTACCAATTACTCTTGCCTCCGCCGTTCTTCTTGGCCTTCTTTGGGTCGGCACCAACCCAGCCGTGCTTGGCGAAGAACTTGGGAACGTTGTCATGAGGGGCAACAGTCCCCTCAGCAAGGCCAGCGTGATTCTTGTCGTTGAACTTGTGAGATCGAGTCACTGCAACGGACAACACAGGTTAGTAGACGGTTCACATAACATGAGAGATGTCCAATTGCCATCCATAGACAGGTTAGGTGTCTCAAGTTTACCCCCTAAAGGACGTTGGTGGTGTTTGTCGTTCGACATACACCATAGCAACTGATGGAAGGGCACGTCACACAAGGATCATGCGGGGGTTGAGGAGAATAGGAGATGTAAGCTGGAATAAACCTACTTTTGATGGAGAGGTTAGGAGGATTGTAAGATAGGAGGCTTGGAGGAGATGAATGCTGGTGGATGAGCTCTGAAATGGTTCACAGAGAGAAGAAACCCAGGAGGAATTCAAGAGTGGGAAGAAGAGCAGTAACTATGTAATGGAAGAAGAAAGTTTGAAGAGATGAGGAGATGGAAGACCAAGTCAAGGTTGTCCGGTTTGAAGCCTAGCGGTGGTGGTACAGCTGGTGACGATCAAAGAAGAGTGGCTGGATTTGGATCTGATGGTGGGGTGGTTATGTGGTTATGTGGTTATGGTAGGGGTTATGGTAGGTAGGTAATTAGTTCGAGGAGGAATTGGGTTGCATCAATATGTCTTTGGCCGAAGTGTTTATATAGGACCTAGGTATAAGAGGTAGTTGGGTAGGTAGAGGTAGGTATATATATGTATGTACTCAGTTGGAGACATAAGAGTCAGTCAGGGTCTTCCCTTTAAGACATCGGGGATCAATTAGGAGGAACCCTTCTCTTGAGTTCTCCGATGTGTCTCCTCGTGTCCCCATCTTGTGGCTCCCCTGCCCGCCTTTGGATCGAGTCAGAATATGTACATGCTCATATGTACATACATATTGCTCACAGCCGATACTGTGAGGCAAGTGAGGTAAGTGAAGTGGAATAAAGTGGAATAGGTACATGGCAATTGAGAGTGACCAGTCGCGTGACCGATTGACGCAAGCTTTAATGTATGTACATAGGTTAAGGTGCCCACTTTAACGGAATGGTGTGAGCAAATGATCCTATTCGACAATTCCTTTGCGGTCTTCGCCGTTGAAAGAAACGGCAGAACGGCAATCAACCCGTCTCCGTCTAAAAGAAAGTTCAAGAATCTTCTCCAAAAAGGGGTCTGCTGCCCATATTCCGTAACTTACTTTTGACCGTTTCAATGAGCTCAGCGGCCGGGAACGATTACCGAATATCTTAGCGGGGTGAGATACAATACAAGGGGATATCCCTGACTTACTCTGCAGCATCATGGCAGCATACGATTAGTACATGTAGGTAGCACCTAATGTATGAACATTAGTATGCAAAAATAGAGTTGAGAAGCAAACAAGGACCAATGAGAACGTAATCGGCTGCTAGAATTAGGTAAGTCGAAGCATGAGTAGAGTAATCTTCGTAATCTTCGCAATCTTTGTCAGTCTTTGCAAGTCTTGGGTGCTTTGTCGATCTCGAAATCTCGAGAATTTACCCGCTCAATCCGACCCCAAAAATTACATACCGGTGTCCCCAGCCCGACCCAAGCTGCCAACTTCTTTCCAATACGAAGACACGAACCGGCTCAATTCGTGACTTCGATTACATCATACTATTGCATCTCATCTAGTTCCTTACGTCCTTCCAACTCTGGTAATTCAGCCTCAGGCACGCAGACATATGGACAACAGTAAAAGGAAACAGAGTTCTAGCCCTGAGCGGAAAATGAAACGTACGAAAAAGAACACATGCAGGTTTATGTCACACGCGCAGAAAACGGAATGTATAGGCCCACTTATACCCCAGGTATTTCCACAATATTGTATTCCGTACCGGGTACCCTGCGTAACCTTCCCTACCTTTCTGTCCCAAGCGATGATGAGCGGCTGCGTGGTAATGCGGGGAAATCCACATTTATTTCTTATTCGCAGCTCCCTTATCCGCGCCCCTTTTCTTACGTCTTTAGCGTAGGTACACTAGTCAGCAGTGACGGCTCGAGGACAAATACCTAACGCATAGTTGTGGCATCTATCTCGCCTATCTCGCCTATCTCAGGACAATCATGTTATTTGCCTGTGTCTGCCAAGTTGATAAGGAAGTTGGAGTCTTGGACTCTACTATTACTATGCATTATCATTGCTATTGATTATTCCCTTGTCCCTTTCCTATATCCTTCATTGGTTAACAAAGCATATATTCGATCGGCAATACATACCTAACACTAGGTATAGATTAATCATAGGGGAGAAGAGTGAGACCAATCAAATGTTGTATTCGCAACTATGACTACTACATACCTAATGTACTAAGTGAAGACCAGCACCCAGTATATACCATTAGTCTCGAGTAGGAAACTACTTATACTTATATCTTCTCGCCCCCCCTAAAATTTGAAGCTGACAAAACGATACTGGATGTACAATTTGGTCTTTTAGCTTAAGATGGCGAATAATAGAAGCTGGAAAGCTTGTACCATCTATTGGCAATTCCATATCGCGGAATCCAACGTTGAGATAGCGGGTATTCTTGCGCACCGTCTCGGTCCAACACTGCATAACCCTTGGTTCTAGATCAAGTTCCCAAGTACCCCGCCATGTAATAGTGCTGGTACTTCCATCGTCATAATAACGGAAAAAACAACCGTGCGTCGTTCTCAATCCATTCCAAATCTCCATCACTCGGAGAGCAGGCATATTCCTCGCGGCCATACCCGCGGCATAAAGTAAGTCATTAACCTCTGCCGACGATTGGTACGGATTTAGAAGGTTCGATGTCAGGGCTAGAGTTTTCAGTTTATTCCAACTCCGGTCCGTAGAGGTTGGGGTTGACGGCCAGAACGGCCGGAAAAAGTCCTTGGCATCCACTACAAAAGACGCAGACAAGTGCTCCAAGTTTCGGCTCTCTCTAAGCAAAGTCATAGCGATCTCGGGACTATTCGTGCTATCTGTTTGATTCGAAGTCGCAAAGGCGTTACGATGAAAAGAGTCTTCGAAAATGGTTAGTTGCCTAAGTGTTTGTGCGAAGCTATAATCGGAAAGAAGCCAATGGCCTACACAGCTAACGTTAGAGACTTATGAGTTTATAAAGGAGTAATGCTAACTTACGTTGTCCCTGCCAAGGGTCAGTGCTGCCATCTTTCCTTTCTGGTGGCTCGTAAATAATTCGTTCCAACCCAGTCATACTTCCGAAGATTTGGGCGATACGGTCCGAGGATACATGGGAATAATACTGTCGACGAAGAAGAAACGTCGTGACTATATCGACTTTGGGGATATCTTCCGGTGCCGTACCTTTCATCTTCATCGCCAAGTCAGTACTAGAGTGCGATGAGGTCTCCTCAGGAGGAAAGGCATGCTCAAGCATCGATAGGGACATCAGATTGTGAGATTCCAGAGGGGTCAATCTGTAATCCTTGTAGGGTTCTGAGTATGGATCATGCATAAACCTTTGGTGGCTGAAGCCATACTCATAATCACGCAGAGACCAAGCGGACAATTCAAGTGTTAACCCTTCCTTATTCGAATCGTGTGGTCTTTCCCAGGTGCTAAGTATTCGGAGAAGCCTTACGATTGTATTGTCAAAGTTGGGTTCATCCACAAGACTCGGGGTGGGTCGAAATCCGGCATTGCCCCTATCATGATGCAAAACGCCAAGTTCTGCCCTTAACCAGATATGCTTCACTAATTTCCTCCTCGATCCTCGTACAATCTGAGCAAAACTATCCAAACGCCGGGACGACAAGAGAATCCGCTCGAAGTGCTTTTTCTCGAAGATGGGCTGCCACTCTCGAGCAATGGTAGCGTATTCTGTTGTACTCTCCGTCGAGGAATCGGCCACCATTTCTAGTATTGACAGCCGCAGTTCGACAGGGAGAGCCATGAAATCCATGTTTATTCATTCGAAGTTGTCCTGCCTGGACATAATATTGTATTTGACCACAGCACAGCTGGTATTGTAATAGAGTGGCTGGAGAAGCAAGGTTTAAATAGGTTAAATCAAACAGCCGTGGGGTAAAAGATTGTGTGTAGATGGATGGACGAGAAACAAGACAACTGGAAACAAAAGAAACGTTTCACTGCTTATTGTTTAATTATCCTTTACATGGCGGGGTTTTCGTGCACTTATGCTTCATTCCAAAGCCAGTATCACACTAATAAACTTATATTTAGGGGGAAAATCTTAGAAAGTTTTTATCTCAAGCGATAGCCAGAACTTAATCCAAGCAAGGGGGGATGGTCATTACCTACATGTAGATAAGGCCAAGTTAGGTAGTCAGACCAGAATATTTCTCTCCAGCTGGGTTGATTTTATGTATACCTCGATTACTTTCGGGTTCTATAGTTTACTTTGAATTAATATAGTTTACTTTGAATTAACTACATATAGAGGTAATCCCATCATAGGTATTATGTAGTTTCTGCTTATCAAAGGATTGATCAAACGTGGTTATTAAAGGTTGTGGTAAGAACGCTGATGCTAGATGGATGATGTTAAAGGCGTTAAAGTTTGGCGCCAATCAGCACGCCACAATCAGTTTATTACCAATCAGCTCTTGGAAATTACTACCGAATGTTATCATTAAAGTGGGGTAATGTTACAATACGTAATACTTAGCGCCGTAATCGGATCTGATAACTGTTTGCGAGGAGAAACATTTCGTCACAGTCGATAATTTTCTCTTTATCACCTGGCTTAGCAAAGACGCTCCTCCCCTAATTTGTATTACCATACCTGACTCAACCTGTGAAAGCCTTCGACTTAGGTAATCCAGTGTTACCAGCATCTCCGCTCTATTTTCTAAAAAAAAGAACTTCTCAAATCCAATTTGTAATCCGAATACTAATTCACAAAGAACCTCAAAAGCCTACCTAAGACTGTCTAGTTGCCCCTCGTCCTTACCCGTACCCGAGTTGCCCCGCGGATAAGATACTTAATATTATTACTTCTTGAGTCCGTTGAATTCACCGACACAACAATCCTTCCACGACAATTCTCGACTAGGAGGCGCACCGGGCGCATAGAACCTCCATCATGTCTCCCTCAATCGTCACGATCGATAATACATCCGACTTCGATGTATTCAGCTCAACACCGACCCAAAATGGCTCCTCAGGCCCCCGAACCCTACTCCTTGCCCCTCCGTCTATTGCCAGTCATGAGGAGAAGTTACGAGATGTCTTAGCCGCCCACGACCGGTCCGTTACCGACTTGCAGATGCTTGACCGTCTTTCCGCTGGTCTTGTTAACCTTCCCGACGCAACATATGACCTAATCTTGGTCCTCACAGACGCCGATGGCACCCGTGCCGAATCAACACTCCTTCTCAATCGCGATGTTTTCGCCAAGATTGTACCAACCCTCAAAATTGGAGGAAAGATCCAAGCACAAGATGGCTCCCTAACACAGAATAGTCAGGGACCTGATGCGCGAGAGGCCCTTCTATCCGGCTTGTCGCCAGGCGAAGATGGGTTCTCAAAGCCGGACGACGGCGCTGCTAGTGCAGTTCCTCTTAAACTGGGACTGGGCAAGAACAAGAAGAGAAGTGCCGCCGGCCCTGCTGTAAAGAATGTCACCGTCCACCAAGCCAACGGGAAGGATGCAAAGCTCAACATGGTGCCTCCTACTGTGAAGCCAACTCCTGCTGGTGTTGGTTTCGTGGACCTTAGCTATGACTTTGACGCTCCTGATGATGATGACGAACTAATCGATGAGGATACCTTATTGACAGAGGAAGACTTGAATAAACCTCTAGCCATTCGTAAGTAGTCTTCCCCCATAGATTTCGTTCAGTACCAAGCCCTAACCTGCATCGCAGCCGCGGAATGCGTACCGAAGGTCGGCAAGCGAAGACGTGCTTGCAAGGACTGCACATGTGGTCTGGCTCAGAAGCTCGAGGCCGAAGATGCAGCAAGAAGGAAGCAAGCTGACGAGAAACTTCAGGCTCTGAAGCTTGACACCAATGATCTAACCGAAGTGGACTTCACCGTACAGGGCAAGGTTGGATCCTGCGGAAACTGCTCACTAGGCGATGCTTTCCGATGTGATGGATGTCCCTATATAGGATTGCCAGCATTCAAGCCGGGAGAGGAAGTCCGACTACTTAACAACGTTGTCCAACTATGATGGTATAGTGGACAACACTACAGCCATATTTGGCTCAATCATTTGGTTCATAGGACATACGGTCAAGCTATATTACGATATAGACTTGATGAAGCATACTACCCTAAGCATTGCAGGCCGCATGAATCTTGGTTGCGTTATATGCAAGGGAAACGGTGTTTGGGGGGACTAAAAAGCACGGTTTTATACAAGGAATCCATCCACAAGGATGATGATACGTGGATTTATAGATGAATTCGGCGGCTTGTTTACGTTTTAGCCTCAACCCTCCTAGGAGCTTAGCTATGATTTCTCAGAAATCCTCTGCCTCATGTAACTCCTAGAGATTCTTTCATATCCAAAGAATATACAAGGGTCTCCAAGGCAACTCGTTGAATTGATAGGAAATGCATAGCTAACCTGATACTTGCCTCGATCATATGCCCAGTCCTTTGTCTCAACATCTAGACTTAAGCATATACTGGTACCTATAAATCTATAAAATATGCATAATCCATAAGTGATTTCCCCGGCTTAGTCGTCCAACTTCCGTATTGGAACATCCCTTTTAAGCTATCATCCATCTCCCTAAGTATCTGTGGGCTGGGTTTAAATTCTATGTTGACTATGAATAGCCATGTAATATTATCTGTCCAGAGAACCAGCGCCAATATGCCCTTCCTACCCTTAGCTATCAGAGTTACAACCAACATCTAACAGCTACTTCAAAGTGTGAGAACTCATAGATACGATAATCCGTCCTATAGTATTCTTAGTAAATAAGTAGTAGTTAAAGGATAACCAAATCATGAACCTAGAGAAGGTTGGGTAACGCAATGGCACACCATCTAACTTTTCATACTTGCTATAATTTATCTAGGTTACTTTCTTAGATATAACTAGTTATTCGGTTTTCTAACGGTTTGTTATAGGCATTCGTCGGGCGGAACTATGTCCTCAAGTGCGAGAAAGACACAGGTACACTGCTGGTCTAACATAATTGGTTGACTTATTTGATACTATGTATTTCTAAGATGGTATGCTTCGACCCTTTTCGAAGCTTTGATTTATTAACATAAGTGGAGTATGTATCTGTGTCTATCTCACACTTGAGGACATAGAGACTTTAGATCAGACTACGGCGTAATAAAGCATTGTTATAGTAATATTTTACACAGTGATCAAAAAAGGAAGTACCGAAAAAAAGGGAGGCGATAAAGATTCAGCCCGTTGTAGTTATATTATAAAATTTGATGGCGAACTGTTTAATCCCGGCTTTTCCCCTTTTCTTTCTTAACTATCTCATATAATAGTTACGAAGGGATATGAGAACCGCGGGATCGGTTTTAGGTGCAATTTTGTGGCTATTCTACATATGTTAAATATTCACCGTGGTTGTGTATGGATGATCTATTTTAGTGAATATCTCACTTGCTGTGATCTTTAACCCAAACGTCTGATCAGGTCCAGGACATACCGACTGGCTTGTTTTCGAGGTCTAAATGCATTCCTTCGCCATCTTGTGGGTTGCTGTTGCTGGGCAGCGGAGCACCTTTTGTTGGTCTAAAGTATTCATTAGCAATTGTTTTACCTACCATTCCTGAGCTTCACATATTAAGACAACCGCAACCCAACTGCTCTAGCTAAGGGTTAGATGAGTTCTCCGAGGTTTGTAGGATACATATCTAGGCTTGAGATTAGCATAGGGCAGGATAGAAAACACGCTACCCGTTCCAAATGAATGCGTATGGTGGGTATTGGTCTTTGGAGCCGAAGTCTTTTTTTGTCTCTTATCACAAGCAACTTTCTCTTGTTCTTATTTATGACTATAAATAAATTGACTTAGACACGAACAAGGCTAAACTAAACTAACACATCCCTTTCTCTCTCTTAAAAACCCGAAGTTAGCTACGTGTTTTGTATGCGGTGATTGTTTTACAGGCCCGCCCTAAGACACAAGGACAACACCTGGTGTCTTCCCCTCTTCCGGGCGGGACGCAACCTTTAACGACACAGTTGAAACGTAGGGAGTGTCGGCGTTGAATGCGACTTCATCTGCATACTCTCTTTATCATTGAGCAGGGACGGGCTAGATATAATCGCGGAATAGGATGAGGTCGAAACAAGAGTTCGGAACCACGCATATCTATCTCAACGGCTTGAACTGGGATTTGCGCCACTTAGTTCTGATCCGAGCAGGGAATACATACATATGTTGGTGGCTAAGTCTGAAACCCTTGCTTCCAGGTTTTATGTTTGCTCCGGCTTCAGCTCTGCTTTCGCTCGGAAAAACTCGGCACCAATGGTGAGGCTGTTTTCAGCTATGGGGTCGACAAAGCTTGGCAAAGTATTGGGTAGGATTCGACGTGTCTCTCTGACCCGCGCGCGCAGCAAACTTTCTTCTGTGTTGCTTACTGAGTTGTCAGGACAAAACCACCTGTTGTGGCGGCTCTGGTGTAAACATACACGTGTAAGATGCTTAATAGGAATTATCTGATGGCAATAACAGTTCGGGTATCCTCGTCTTAATATCTTGGTTATTAAATATCTCTACATTGTAAGTGGTCGCCCACGATTTATGAGTGGATGTATGCCAATTTGGAGAGCCTCAATATTACGAGTTTGGAATGAATACCTACCAGGTTAAGTACGTACCTAATTTATGACGCTGTATCCGGGGTAAAGACCTAATATCTACGTAAATGTAGTTGTTGGTTTGTTTAGTTACTATGTAGTTAGTCATCTCGCCTAGGAAGCTCGCAATTACATAGAGCCCGGAGGTAAATTGGAGATAAATGCAAGCGGATCGATCGGATTCGAAATCTAATGTGCACTCAGATCGGCGATAGCCGACTTACCAGCTGAAAACCAGCTGAATAGGAGAGTATGTAGTATAAGTCGTAAATATTCTAGTTGTGTTCAAGATACTCATGATACTATGTATATCGCGAACTGGTCTCAGTGGTTAGCAGGTGTTGTATTCCGTAAGACGAGTACAATTGGCGGAATAACTCTTAGTTTTGATTGAGATCTAACCAATTGGGGTATTCAATTCTCTAACAGCCAATGAACTAACTTTATTAGGTACGGAGCCTCGATTTATGTTCTTTTCTGGGGCTACGTAAGCCTGGCGAAAGACAATTGATTGTAGAATGGCCTTTTTCACGAGATTATTAAAGAACAAATGCATAATTCACTATGTATGCAGCATATCCACGGAAACCCAATGCACCTTCATCAGGTCTGGTTCGGATCACCCCCAATCTCATGCCCCCTTTATACATTTGTACTGCAAAGTCGTTGGCCCGTGATGATTGATCGTCAATGCGATGCTTTGCGACCGCTTTAATTTTCCAGAAGTCATCAATTCATTCACTTTGCAATAATCTAAACCAACTCCATTTGGATAAAACCATTGAAGATTTAGATAACGTGGTTAAACGCGATTTTAAAGATCGGCTTAGCTGTTTAAAATTCTGGACAAAAAAAAAAAAGCTTCTTTGTGATTTACAGCCAGGGGCACCAATGGTTTTTACGGAATAACGAGCATAATTGCATGGGGAGGTACCAAGGTTGGGATAGCTCCTAAACTAATAACAACTTCAAGGGTCCAGGCCATGTAACGGACAGACCGATATTTTGTATTTCTCTTTTCCCCTTTACAAAGGTACCTAAGGTATTATAGATTCTTTTGTGAAAGATGCTTTGTAGGAAATCTTTTCTACATAAAGACTATCTTTGTAACCAATTGTGCATCTATTTACTAAAGTACGCTACCTACCTCTTGCAATTCGTCGATTATTATTCACTACGGCAACTGACAATCGGATTGTTGCGCCGGACGGCTTTGATTGGAATTTAAAGACCCTGGCCGGGTGAGTTGGAGCCTTGGCCCCAATGCCCAGCCTTTACTGCCTGCTTTCAGTAAAGCTTCTGTTCCGGTGGTGATTCAGATGGTCCCCCAGCACTACCTAAAATTACCTAGGCCCCGCCTAAAATACGCTGCAATTTGGCTAGTACGAAGTACCTGATTGACCCAATTGTATTTCACGTACCTATGTACCCTCTGAATCAAGGCTAAAGGGGGTCGCGGCGCAGTTGGGCCACTTGCAACTTCTAGTTCCCTTAGCCACTCTCTGCTGCTACTCTAGCCACTGCCGTTCCCCGACCGCTTCTCCCCAAATTCCTCCCTTCCTGATCTTCACTTTCTCAAGTCGCTTTTCAATCCATCCCGATCTATCAATTCACCCAACAACCAACCTACAAGGATTGACTAATCCCGTCAGTTCAGCTGCTCGAGTCTTAACTAATTTATACCCAACTCGAGGGGATGAGCTTTCGGTTTTTCTGAGTCGTTTCGAGTATCTAGGATACTCGTGTCGGACCAGGCGACACTCGCTCTCCTGTAGCCCCCTTCCGACCGTGTTGCTCCCGTCTCCTGCTGGTCCCCGACTCCCAATCGACAACGGCTTCATACATCCACAATGGCCTCCTCGTCGTCAAACGTCGTGGGCGTCCACTATAGGGTGGGAAAGAAGATTGGTGAAGGATCATTCGGTGTCATTTTTGAAGGCACCAATTTACTGAACAATCAGCAAGTCGCCATCAAGTTTGTAAGTAATATGACTCTATTCTCATTTACCGCCAGCGAGGCTACTATGCCCCTTGGCCAATCCTCAATCATCGCACCATACCATACATCTAGTTCTAACCACGCACGCTTGATAGGAACCACGGAAGAGCGATGCGCCGCAATTACGAGATGAATATCGTACATATAAGATCCTTGTTGGATGCCGTAAGTCAACTAATCTGCTTTATTGGTGTGCTTTTTGTGACTAACAAGCTTCATTTCTTAGCTGGTATCCCTAATGTCTATTATTTTGGACAGGAAGGCCTGCACAACATTCTTGTCATAGATTTGCTTGGACCCTCGTTGGAAGACCTGTTCGACCACTGCAACCGAAGATTCACGATCAAGACCGTTGTAATGGTAGCGAAGCAAATGGTAATTCATCCCCGGAGTTTTATGAGTCAATTACGCGCAGGAACTAAATCATATTCTAGCTCTCACGAGTGCAAACCATTCACGAGAAGAATCTCATCTACAGAGATATCAAACCCGACAATTTCCTCATCGGTCGTCCTGGGACCAAAGCCGCGAATGTTATTCACGTCGTCGACTTTGGTATGGCTAAACAGTACCGAGACCCGAAGACAAAACAGCATATTCCGTATCGAGAGCGAAAATCATTGTCCGGAACTGCCCGATACATGAGCATTAATACTCATCTTGGACGCGAACAATCACGGCGAGACGATCTAGAAGCTCTCGGCCATGTGTTCATGTACTTCCTCCGAGGTGGGCTTCCGTGGCAGGGCCTGAAAGCTGCGACAAATAAGCAGAAATACGAGAAGATTGGTGAAAAGAAGCAGACTACACCTATAAAGGATCTATGCGAAGGTTTCCCAGAGGAGTTTAACAAGTATCTCACTTACGTGAGGAACCTTGGTTTCGAAGATACTCCCGACTACGATTACCTGCGTGAACTATTCACCCAGGCCCTCAAGAACACTGGTGAGGTGGAGGATGGCGAGTACGACTGGATGAAGATTAACAAGGAGTCGTCTAAGGGCTGGGATGCTATGCACAAGCCTGGACCTTACCACAACCCGAATAAGCAGCCAGGTGTCTCCGCCAGAGAGACGCACAACCAATCTCGCATCACCGCACCTGGCGGCCTTACTCACGAGCGTTTAAACGCCGCGCAGCCCCCACCTCCGTCTCCAGCCAGGCCGACGGACAAGCGCCGGCAAAACGCCCTCGGCGCCACGGGAGCGCAGCGCAGTAGCGCGGTGGGGGGTCTTCGGGATATGGCTACACCAACTCCTTCAACCCAAGCCCAATTCCAAAACAGCAACCAAAATTTACCATCGAGGATGGCACCCCAAACGAATATGGGATCGCCGGCTGCGGGCAATGGAATACCATCAGAACCCCAACCAACGGGATTCCAGAAGTTCATGAAGGTCCTTTGCTGCGGTTAGTCTGGGTGTTACCTGTATTAGCAACGAGCATAGAGCTAATAAAATGGCAGGTTAAACCCGATCTGACGTGGCATATTAGCGATCTTATAGACTAGAACTGATCCTGGATGGAGCTCCTGCGCCGATTTTTATTACTACTAATACATCCTGGTCTAAGGTGTTCATCCTACTAAGTCTTGGTCGCTGTGTGTCGTTCCATGGTTGTCTTCTCGATGGATTTGCTTGCGTGGGCTAAGAGCCTCGATGGTGCTGCCACACTCGATGTGTATATGTTTGAAACAACAGACTTATCAACACGTTGAATCGCAGCCTGGATCACCCTACGCATATTTGCGGAATAATACCCCTACAGAGCCCCGGGAAGACGGCCAATCGAATACGTGATTTCCTATTAGGATCAAGGCTTGGCGTTACCCGAGACACGAATGAATATCTTTTCTTTTCACGACTCTCGTTTTCATGAGATAGACACAGGCCGTTTAATTAGTAGCGCGCAGCACGGCGCTGGTGGGATTTGCACTGTTGGCGAGCATTGGGATCGGATTTCGTTTTTTTTGTTATCCCATCGCTTTATACACCGTTCATAATTAAGAAACAGGGGGAGGTGGACCCGAGGGTTGAGACGGGTTTTGTATTAAGCAGAAGTAGTATATGGAAGAGAGGGAGCGCAGAGTGGCTATAGTAGGAGGGGGATCTCGCAGTCGGTGCCTGAGAAGCATGGAGGTGTTGAGCTGGTAGATGGAGGTATAGGACAGAAAAGAAGAGATTCATAATGATTTCGGTGCTGAGCGTTGCATCGTAAGTTGATTCGAAAAGATATACATTGGGACTTATGTTGTATTCGATCGATATGTGACACTAGACCGTATTGGCCCAGTAGTACTATCGTAATTTATTAATGTGTGCTCGTTACTACCTAATGGTATCCTCTCAAAATGATCATATTTTCATGCTAAACTGTCCCTAGGTTCACAAATTTTACGTGCAAGATTCTTCCAATGGGCCAAGTAAGCCCATCTTGTGGTAGACGGCTTCCGTTCCAACTTGGTAATGTGATCTGTACATGACGACCGGTTGTGGTTATAACAGCCGAAGTATCATCACCTTCGTAACCCTTCTCCCGTTTACCGTAAACTGCGTTAACCGTGACAGCTTTCGTACAAACCAAAACTCCCCTTGCCTATTGATAACAACATGATGGTCGCAGGCTTAAGTAAGCTTCTGCTTGATGAAGAAAGACCGGAGATGAGATAGCTGCCAGGCACATGTAATACCAAGAACGACAAGCTGGATAACCATCCAACGTACAACACGCGAGTTGGTAGACTCAGATTGATCCCGGAACTCGGCTTCTCGCTCCTGTAGGTTTAACAATCGGGTTAGTATCTAGTTGTTAGATCGCTGAGCTATATTATAAACCGTGTCCGTCGCGATCCACGATACAGTAAATCCTCTCTTTCGAGTTACTCTTCCACGGCGTTGAAAATTAAAATGTCTAAACGGAAAAGGAAATAATAATAATAACAACAACAAACTCACTCGCTGGAAGATCTGTTCGCGGCGGATGTCCTGGAGGCGGGCGTTGAGGTCGCGGACGCGCTGAGAGATGTCCATGAGCTTGGTCTTGTCGGTGGACTCGATCTCAGAGGAGCCGATGGCGAGGTCGAGGGTCAACTTGATGCCGCCGTTGGGTTGCGAGGCGGAAAGCCAGCCGGGACGCCCGCTACTGCTGCTCGGCGTGAAGCAGATCTTGTGCTCGCCCGACTCGGCCGCCGTGAAGGTGAATTTGCCCGACGAGGATCCCCGCTGCGAGACTACCCGATGGTCGTTGTCGAAGATTTCCTGGGGGAGGGAGGGGAGTTAGTGGGTTCATTGTGATCGGGTTGGGTTGTTTTGCGCATCTGCTCTTGACGGGAAGAAGAAGAAGAAGAAGAAGTGATATTTAAGGCGGGAGTGTGGGAGTGGGAGTAGGAGTAGGACTAACGTCAACGGAGATGTAAATGCTGATGCCGTCGTGCTTGGCCCAGGCATGTATGTTGTCGTCCCACTCCTCAGCCTGGTAATGCCCGAGGACAAGCGTGTCCTTGGGCAGCTCCTCGAAGAAGCATTTCGCGTTCGTGCCGTCGAGGAAGAAGTAGAGCGCATGGGCGACGGAGCCCAGCATCAGGAGGGAAAGAAGCACCCTCATCGTTGTCGGTAGCGTTACTTGTTGTTGTTGTGGTTGTTGAATTGACTATGGTATTTTCAATTGATTGTATCGGGGCTTCTTTTAGGGTCGGGTCGAATGGTTAGCGACGGGCTTTGGCAAATAGGGTGTGAAGCTCTCGCGGACTCTAAATTCCAAGGTGCCACGTTCGAAAAATGGCCCGTACAATACAGGGGGTTAGATAGTTGCTGCAGTGGCCTGAAAGGACTCCCTGGCAGTACAATACATAGCACTAAACGCGCAGGGGTATATCGATAAGCTGATCAACTAATCACGTGATAAAAAGCTAGATGAGAAGCATCGGCAAGACAGGTGGGAAAGTTCAAAGCAGGTAGGTACCTAAGTATCTAGTAGCCAAGTTATGATGTGCCCCTGTTTTTCAATACTCCTCTTTGACGCATAAGGTTCAAATAATTTTGTAGTCTCAATCAACCGTTTTTGCACCACCAAAAATTAATGCGCGATCCTCTATTTCTACGGTAAAATAGCGTCAATCCACTTCAATAAACGAAACATCAAATAGACGCGCCGAGGAGTCCCCACTATCTCGAAGAACCTCTCTTTATTATTCTTCTGCCATGTTTTATTACGCGTATTTAATTTAATACTTCCATCTTCGCCGATTAAAACACCCTTCCCATCTCGTATTTCTGTCGCTTCCTCCAGTAGTCATCCCTACCCTTCAATAACAAAGTAAGGCAAAGGTTACCGATACTCCAGTAATAGCCACATAACATGGCTTCCCATGACGTTCGCGATGTCCTTAACCTGCCGCTTGATGCTGGCTCGCGACCGGCCAAAAAACAGAAGACGAATGTCCCCCGACCGAGTTTAAAGGGTTTAGCAAGGGAGGTACAAAACTTAGGGGGCGATAATCCTATAGCGATTGTTCCCGAGTTATCTTCATTTAAAAAGCGGCGATTCGGAAGTAGGAAGCCGGCTGCGCGATGGGAATTACGTCCTTTCCGCAACTCGGCGCGAAGCGACCAGTCACTACATCTAAGGCATTGGAGGAAGCAGACGGAAGATCAGACAAGACCACAGGATGAGAAAAACGGGGAGAATGGGACAAAAGTGGAAGATAAACCGGCGGAACTTGAAGACTCGGGGTTTTCTAAGTTTAACGTACAAGTGGACATTCCTCAATACAGCGACGACCAATATAAGTCCAACTTAAAGAGCGATGAATGGACGAAGGATGAAACAGATTACCTATTCGATCTCGCTAGAAGCTTCGATCTTAGGTGGCCTCTGATATGGGATAGGTATGATTATCAGCCGAAGCTAGACGATAATATAACGAATGGCGAGGCGGCTGACACTACCGACCCCGAGACCGCCATAGTCCCGGCACCCAAGGGACGGACTTTGGAGGATCTGAAGGCTCGGTATTACGAAGTTGCGGCCAAGATGATGGCTGTCCAGAAGCCTGTTCAATACATGACCCAAGCTGAATTTGCGCTTCATGAAGTCATGGCTAATTTCAATCCCGTCTCGGAGACGAAACGCAAGATGTTCGCAGCAGAAGCTTTGTCTAGATCTAGGGACGAAGCTCAGGAAGAAGAATTGCTACTTGTTGAAGTACGCCGAATACTTGCCCGCCAGGAGAAGCTCAACCAAGAACGTCGCGAGCTTTACAACCGCCTTGATTACCCACACACGGAGCAAGATATCAACGCATTCAAGTCTAGCGCTGGATTACAGACGCTTCTTCAGAATCTAATGAATGTGGACAAGACTAAAAAACGAAAGTCACTTATGGAAGCTAACGGTGCGAACACGCCGGCATCTGCTCATCCCTCAGCGCACCCTTCTAATCTCCCCAACTCTACTCCGATATCAGAAACCCGCCGGGAGAGCATCGCAGCTTCATCAACGGGTCATCGTGATTCTATCGGAGGCGGCGAGCGTCCCGAACGTCCTGCCAAGAAGGGGGCCCAGCCCGAGCGAAAGAAGCTCACCGAACAGGAAGAACAAATCTACGGCGTATCACACCACGATCGTTTGCCCTCTGGGCCAACGTTCCGTTACGAACGAATAAATAAGATTCTCACAACTAAGAGTAATGCTCAACACCAGCGTATTACCAATACCCTAGCCGAGTTAGATATCCCGAGCAGACTCAACATGCCTACGAGGGCGGTAGTAGAGGAAATGGAGAAGCTGCTCAATTCCATCGGCGTGCTCCTAGACATGCGAAAGATGAACGACAAGATTGACGCCGAGATTAAGCTCGAGAAAGCCAAGAAGGCCGAGCGTGAGAAAGCGCTGGCCCCTTCACAGTCAGAGGGTGAAGGTAAATCCGGGGAGTCGGAGGATGCCGCTACGATGAATAGTGAGGATAAGAAAGGAGATGTTGTGGGTGGCGGAGATGCTGCTGAGAAGGCTAACGGTGAGGCATCTGCGACTAATGGCGCAACGAATGGAGGCGTTAACGGCGAGGGTGGTGGAACTACGAATGCAGATGATACGGAGAGCAGGGCTGAGGATAAGGGGCTACGGCCGGAGAGCAGCAGCGGACACAAGAGAAGCGCCAGCGTGCTGAGCGCCAGCAGCGACAAGAGCGCTAAGAGACAGAAGAAGTAGAAGTCGTATGAAGTGTAAGGGTGGGTGGGCTGAGATGAGGTACGAGGAAGAGAATACCTAGTGATACGGCTGACTACGATTACCTACGACTGGGGTAGGCCGACACGATGAATTGGCATCAGGGGATAGGCCGGATGAGGTTACGATAGTAAGATAAATTAACATTAACATTAACATAACATACTTACGCATAGGGCTGAGAACGCCGTATGCCGTATGCCTTTTATCACCCCTATCTTTGCGATCCGACGATGATGTGACCAACGCTAATTACTTGTATGAACTATGTGCTTATATTACCTACCTGCTTACGTTGCTATATAATACCTGAGTACGCTACGTTTTACTCAAAACGTCCACATCGTTAAAATCCCACCGGAGGAATATCCTCGACCCAACACAACACTAAGGAGACCATTCCCGCAAAGATAGAATAGCCTATGTTTGTTCATTGACAGATCATTCGTCAGGGGCAAATGGAAAAACACGTCTCTGGCTCACATCGTCCCATACTAGATATCACATGTTTAAATAAAATATCAATTCCCCTAGCAATATAATATACAAGTACACCAGCTGCGTCCCTCGCACGCAGTCCCAATCCAAAAAACTGCGACCGACAAACCATAAACCGGGTATCTTTAACATAGATCTCTCTATAGTGCTGTATCTCTCTTCATCTTTTCATCGAAATCGTCGTCTTCGCGTAAGGGCGCAACTTCGGCCTGCCTTCGTAAAACACCATGCGTGTATGACGGCCGTGATCTCGTTAGTGAAGCCAGTTCCTGTCCCTCGGGAAAAAAAAAACCAAATAGTCCAAGATATGTGATAGTAGGGGATTCGTAAATCCGTATATATGCACCCCTGGAAACGAAGAAAAAAAGGAATCGGCTTGCTTCCAACACCTAAATCCGTTATATAGCTGCCAGAGCTACCTGGTATCCTTCTATTACATGGATCCCAATCCATCGTATATATAACAAATACGATATCTTCCCCATAAATTGCTGCCGTTATCTCATCCGTTTCTACGGTGTAGCCATATTTGAGTTTTGGGTTACGCCGTTATAAAACCACCCATCGTATGCTGTGCAGAAATTCTCGTGTCTGTCTGTGCGTGAAGAGGGCGCGAGCGACAAAAACGACGAGAATCGCTTGTATAAACGGCAACCGATGAATTTAGATATTGCCGTCAGCATCATGACACTATAAGTGGTGAGCATAAACTTGATCCATCATGCCCTGTCAGCTAATAGCACCGCGCGTTACCCGAGCAGGATTGCCTGCAACGACCGTAAACGGAGGTACATCCTAAACTTTCATTAGTGCCGTGTCTATATTATAATGGGGTTGCCGGACGAAACCTCACCTTTGTGACCACTGCACCGGCGGCGATTGTTGCTCCCTTCCCAATTCTAAGACCGAGAAGGATTATGGCGCCGCCTCCGATCCACACATCCTCGTCGATGTAAATAGGCGAACCGATGTGGGGGCTTTTACTGCCTTTGCGCTTCTTGGGGTCTGTATGCAGGGTGCCGCCAAAGAGGCTGACGTTCGGTCCGATGTAACAGTTGTTTCCAATGATGATCTCCATAGGGTCAATAATGGTGCAATTCCGGCCAATAAAGACATTATTTCCGATAGCAATGTTGTAGCCATAATCACACGTAAACGGCGCCTCGACAACCACTTCTTGCCCAACGCTACCGACGTTTGTAATAGACGACTGTAACTGCGGGTTCATGAAGATAGGCTCCGTCGGGTGTAGAATTTCTCGGAAAAGCCGAGAACGCTCGGATGCTGATACACCAACACTCGGGTTGGTGGAATTGTTAAACCTAAAACATGCAGCGCTGCATCTTTGCCTCTCTAGTACCAATTCTTCGTCAAACGGATAGTATTGGTTTCCTGTAAGCATCTCTTCCTTCTGCGTTTTCTCCCGGTCAGGAGGCAAGTGCTGCGACAAGGCGAGACGTGCAGCTTCTTGAGGGTCAGTTGCGGTTGCTGATGGAGGCGGAGGAGGAGGTGGTGGCGGCGGCGCAGGTTGACTTTGATGACCTTGAGTTGGTGGGCTGCTGCTTCGTGTTGGTGGAAGAATATTAATCTGTGGGAGCGAGCCCGAATGCGAGGTGTCGTGCTCCGTACGGGTAAGGTCGTGTAATGGTGGTACCCTCTGGTAGTCTTTGTGTCGGTCAACACTGCTTAACGGCGTTGGCAACTGCATAGTACTGCTCGTGGCGCTTATGGGAGTGGGAAACATAGTTCCTGGGTTGGTATATGATATCGAAGATAGTTTGTTGTTTTCTGGGCTTGTAGCAGATGGGGTAGGCGTAGGAAGGGTAGCGGAAACAATTTGCCGGCTATCATCCGCAAGAATCGGCCGGCCCTGCACCGGTTCTATCCGGAGTGGTTGACCGCGGTAGGCCTGAGCTGGTTGATCACGCTTCGGAGGCGGCGGGGGTGCAATCGGGTAATTACTCTGCTGAGGCATTCCGTAGGCGCCTGGAGGCACATAGCTAGGGTCCTTGGATTCGAGGGGAACAGCAGCGGGTTTGTTTTCCATTTTAGGGTAACCTCGCTGGTTGGGGTATCCGTGACATACAAAACCGCCTCGGACGCAGTTGGTACCTGCTCAACCCATAAGTAAATGAGGATTTGGTTTCATCCAGGGGAAGGCTCACATTGCGGTTTCGTTTCATCGCATTTCTTCTTTCTCTTTCGACAAGTTAGGCAGCTATAAATTTTGGTACGGATAGCCGACACCTCGCCCTTAAGTGTCGAGGTGCCTAGGCACCTACAACACGTAAGAGGACGCGGAGTCAGCCGCCATACCTGAAAGTCAGCAACGGGGTCCTGGATGTAATGCGTAAGACGGGCGAAATGATGGGGTCCTAGTTACCCAGTCTTGGTCCGGTTACTGAAATTTCGCTTCCTTTTCTTGGGGTCGGACTGAATCACAGCATCTCCTTTTCTCTGTTCCTGGCTATAAGAGCCGCTGCCGTAGAGTACGGAACTGTCATCGCCATCGGGGCTCGTCGCTGCGTAATCATGCTGGGATTCCATATGGGAAGTTCCTCTTCGAAGTGTCTCGCCGAGCTGCTCATCGGTTGGCGAGGGAGCCATACCTGCGGAACTTTGCCGGTCGTATGCGCTGCGTTCATCGGCGTGTCCTTGCCGCGGATACCAAGATTCGTGGTGCTCTCGACTCTCCTCGCCATACTGCCTATACTCACGCTCCCTCTGCGGAGTTGAATATGATTCACGTGACTCTACTTAAGATGGCTGTTCTCGCTCTCGAGCAATTAGTCCTTCTCTACGCGGCTCATCCGAGATCGAGCGTTTGCGCTTGTGCGCGCCTTCAGCATCGGGATAATTAGTAGGTTGGTAAGACGACCGTTCATGACCTAGCCCTGACCAGTGCTCTCTTTGGTTCGTAGAGGCTTCTCCGACTTTAGGTTCCTGGGTAGTTATTTGGCGAATGGGTTGTTCCTCGGAAGCAGCGCGTATCGAAGTAGGGCTGCTTCCAGGCCTTTCGGCACCTTTTTGCTCACCTCCGTTTAAAGCCGTAAAGGTCGCCATGGTTCGTCCAACAATATCTTCAGCCCAACCGCCTTGCGTGAGGTGCATAGGAATTCAATGATTCAAACGTATATTAGTGAGCGACAATTACTGTACGATGAAACCCTTTTAACTAGCCGGATCTGCATTTACAATCTAGTAAATTCGATGCAGGTGCCCTTTGAGAACTCTGGACTAATGATCGACGGCACGGTTCGGATCGTAGCCGAAATATGCAGCCTTGATCGACGTATGGCCTGGTTGAAAAGGCCAGTAGGAAACTTGAAAAAAATACCAAAGGGGAACAGAGTAGGTTAACGAAGCCGTAAATAAAAGCGTTGGAGACGATGGTGCACACAGCAATCGCGTTATGGTCTAGCAGAACTTTCGAATTAAGATTCTTAAAGGTGAGCGCTTCGAGAGGAGTCAATATAAAGGCCTTAATTTGACAGAATTCAGATCCTTAATCGATGGGCGCGTCGTGGAGCTGAACAATGGGTGATCTGCAAAAACTCTAGGTTTTGACTGCGATGAACTTCAAAAATGAGTGCGCGGGGAGGCGATTTTGTGCAAGCGAGCGGGATTGAGCCAGCCGCACCTCGTTCTTATCGAATCCGGCAGCGTAATACGACGGTGATTTGCAAGGGCTGATGCGGTAGGTTGCGTAGTGCCGTGTTGCGGTGTAAGCAGCAGGCAAGCTCGCAGGCTGCTGCGCCTAAACGACTACACGTTGGTCTACGCTGCTAAGGGGATTCCTATCCAGGGAACGTCAAAAGTTTTGTTAGTGAGAGTTGGGTCGAGTATAGCTATTTGGGTTCCTGGACCGCGTGGAAAAACTCCAGACTATTTTCTTGTGATATTTTCTTGTGAGGTCCGGCCCACGATGCAACTTGTCGAATTCGAACCAACTATAATGAAATTCCCGGCTTCCCACTCGTTCCTCGTGTTGGGATCCTTGACCCTTATTTAATGCGTACAAGAAAAAAAAGGACCAGCCAGCGCTTGGCGATTTGACGCGCGATTAATTCTTTGCCCTGCTGCGCCTGCGGGAATGAATGGCTTTTGGATGCCTCTCGCTCTACTCCCTTCACTGACGTTAGAGGTAAGTGTCAACGTGGACAGTCCCTCTTTACCTCCCTTCTAGCTGCGATTAGAGAATACCACGGAAGAACCCAAAATGAATGGAGGGGAAAGGAAGGTAAGTAAATTTGATTTGCAATAGTGCAATTGAGTTATAGTAATCAAGGTAGCACGTAGTAGTTGGCAGCAGTAGGGGGGAGGGGGATATAAGAAAATATAAATATAAAGGGAAAAAAAAATATTATGTGGCTAGCCAGCAGCAGAACGTAGGTGGAGCGGGAAGTTGATGTAAGGCAAGGATAGATAAAAGTAGGACGGGTAGGAGGTAGGTAGGTAAGGTAGAGGGTAAGGTAGGTACGTCGGTGGGTAGGGCAGGTAGCCGGGGCGAGCCAGTACCCTCTCCTCTTGATCAGATATAGTAGGTACGTAGAAGTATTTGTATTTGTATTGGTAGTTGCGTTGTATCGTAATATGTATAATGTATGTATGTATGAATTGTATAATCAATACAAATACAAATACAAATACGAAGAAAAATAATACAGTAGGTACCTACCTACTTAGAGTACCTTATCTGGCATGCACGCATGCAAGGCAGTAAGTAGGTGAGTGTTAGGTAAGTACCTAGGTAAGCGAGCGCGAATCGCGAATGGGAAAGATGGAAAAGGAGCGAATGCAAGCAATTAACGTTGCGTTAGGTTGATGTAGCTGGCAATTGGGTACATGGATGATGGATGTACGAAGTATGCATGTATATATGTAGGTAGTTCCAATACTGCAACTTCTCAGGGCAAAAAAAACAAAAAGTGCATTCCCAAAAAAAGAATTGACCGTGAGCTCCGTGAGCTCCATGTCCTCCGCGGGATGCCTCGATACTTTTGTACCGCGGACGAGATCGACGAACCCTGCACATGTGGCTAGCTGCCCCAGTTAATGTACGTATTGGTCGGCATGGCGCTTGGCTGGAGAGATACAAAGCGCCGAAGTATCTTAGCTTCTTCCAAGGATTTTTTACTATATGTGAGGTAGGTAGGTACCTAGTGTAGGTAGTGAGAAGGTAGTGTGAGGTGTGTATGTCCGCGCTCAACGAACATCCATCGAGAACCTGGAAGCGAGTCGAGGAACGTCGGCTACTAAGCAAGGGTATCCGCACGTTCTGTGTAGTACCAGTGGTACCGATGCATATACCTTAGGCCCATTAGGTTAGGTTAAGAGATATGTACATAACTCAATATTGTACCTAACCCTAACATAATTCACGTATTGTACAATACTTCCGCTACGCTAACATCTTACATACTAGGTAGACGCCTACATACATGTATCTGCAATTCCGCGGTGGATCTTACGTGCCTATGTACATGTAGTTAATAGATAGTCCTAGCATATCTTGGATACACTACTACCTAACCTACCTGGGTATATTACCTCTTGAAGCATCGAATGCCAACTTAAAACGTCTAAATAGAGACCAAAATGGTATACTCCTCTTTTTCAAAATTGTACGGGGCCAAGTCCCGCGCGTTAAAGCCGAGATGCTGTTGTATGGTAGGTAGTGTTAAGCTCTTTCATCCCTACCTTGGTTAGAGATATGTACGTAGTCTGATCATCAGTCTTATGTCTCCCGCCGTTCTTCATGCGATGTTACCGAATCTGAACCGGTAGCACTGCCGCAGGAGCATTCATCATCCAATACGTATTAAATACGACGAATAGAGGCGTGTACCTGATCTAACCCCAACCGCGATGAATTTGTCCTGATCCTCTTCAAACCGTAGCCTTGCGGGGAATGTGTTTATTTTTTTTTATGCGCCGTCTTAGTCAATCGTGTCTGATTTGACGAGCTTTTATTTGTTTCTCGTCATCCAAGACAAAATACTAGCTGTCGATAAGTTTTGTCGACTTAATCGTGCACCTTGCCGTACCTCTTATTACCACCAACGGCCCCCCCTTTTAACGTTGCACCAGGGTTTCTCAAAAAAGTGCCATTGGGCTATGCTATTCACTACAGTATTTGTCACGTCTCGCCTCAAAGCTAGGCTATGATAGGTGCAACACTTTCGGTCCGCGACAAGTCTATCGTCGTGGCCATCTTCAGATGTTACTAGCGCATCAACGTGATATGGGAATAAAAAGCATTGATGAATCAATAAAGGCCGCTTCTCGAGACCTAGCCGCGGCCCTATAGATCCTTGGCCTAATTCTCCTAACCCACGACATTTCAAGCCGCCGCTAGGTAAGAGATCAAAATAGCACACGCAGGTGTTAGCGGGTTTGGTAAATCTGGCCAGGATGTAGAAGACGAGGTGCGATTGGGAGGATCTAAGTAGTTTTGAAAAGGACCTCGATCTTGTAGAAGTGCACGAGCGGCACAGCAAAAGGTGCAACGTCAATTCCCGCTTTGGGTCTTGGAATTCTGCCAATTCTTGTCGCGGCAGCACTGCTTCCAACCAAAAAAGGTCGACCCTGGAGCATTGCCGGCAGGTGTGGTCAGAGGAGTTTGCGAGTCTGGTTGTACTCTGAGAGTAGCCAATAGGTGCCTTTGGACAGGGATGCAGCTGTCATGCAATTTGGCGCGGGCGTGTGATGTCGAAAACGCCCAGGGCTCTTCTTAGGACGCAGCGAATACCCGCGTCTAGAGCCGACAAAAAGGTTGTTGATTTGCTGCTAACGCATGTGCTCGCCCTGTCGTCACAGATGTCTCGTATTGGCTTGCGAGTTACATCAATCTTTGACTCGGAGAGTTGAAACCTAAATCAAGGCACGAAGAGGCCGCTAATACAAGCAGGCCTCCGGCCCCGGTCATAAGAACGCTGTTGATACTGAGCCGAATGCGGCGGTGCTACTCTGCAACACGACCGCTTTGCTGACGTAGCTACGTAAGTCACCATATATTATATTATATCGGGCTGTTCCTCGGTCAAGAAAGGAGTAACAGGAGTACTGGGAGTACTGGGAGTAATAGGGCTACATGGATCCTTCACCAAGCCAGCAAGCAAACAGAGAACCAGAGGGATCATAATGCCAATGCTTGTTAATCCGTACTACTGCTGGTCCTTCCCCTGGATCTTATTGCAACGTAATCGATCCGGGCGCTGCACGTGCTGACCTGCTTAGCTCCGGAATCTTTTCCATTTTCGAATATAGTAGATTGGCCATGCACCCTGCCGGCCGGATAGTACCCTTCGAGCCGTGACTCGAGAGCCCGTCGCGCACGGCACGCACGGGACCATCCTGTCCTCGGCGTCTGACACATAGCCAGCACAGCCAGCATCAATTTGCTTTCGTCCGAAGGCACCTCCCTACGCGATGTAGTAGGGAATTCTTGCGAATGTTAAGCCCTTTATCTTTAACATTAAGTGGACCTATTACCAAAGTTGTTATTGTTCTTAAAGTACCTAACTAGGTTAGGTACTTATTAAACAATTGTTTAGACAATTTCTTGGAGGGCCGCGATAGTCGTGGATCCTGGTATTTCCTTCCTTTTACTTTTTTTCTCCGCAAGCGTTTCTAAATTATCTCTCTGTAGCACGCTCGGTGGGGCGAGCGCAAAGCGCTTGTCGCGAATCATCGAGACCTTGCTCGGATGCGTTTGCCGCCGTTCGGGAAGGTGATCGATCCATAAGCGGCTTACCGCTGCTCATTGGCCAGAAGCAATAGCTTCTAGTTGGTTAGCTTATATAACAGGGGAAGTCAAAACATCGGACGAGACAATCGATCAACCGCGTCCGCGCATAAAAC